ATAAAAAAGTTAAAAATAAGGGAATAAATTTAATTTTTAAAAATAGCTATAATGCTAATGCTTATATAAATTTATATAGTAAACCTTTTTAAAAATAAAAGAAAAACTTAATTACTAAAATAAAAATAGCTAACCCTTTAAATAAATTAAATAAATAATAATAGTACCTTAATCTATTATAAACTAAAGAAAAAATAAAATAGCTAGCCTAAATAATATAGTAGTAGATATAAGAAATCTAAATAATATTTAAATAAATATACTACTTATTAAAAATTCTAGAAATTATAATTACATCCCTAAAAAAAACTTTATAATAAACATAAAAACAATAATATTTAGTATACTATAAGATAATATAGCTATTATTTAAAAAGTTTATTTATTTTATATAATAATAAAAAAAAATAAATAACTAAAAATAAATTTTAAAAAAGTACTAAAAATATTTAAAGCTATTTTAAGCAATACTTAATACTAAATTACCTAAATATAATTAATAAAACTATAAAATACTTTTAAAAAAAGAAAATTACCCTAAATTTTATAAAATTTACAACCTTAATAAAGAATAGCTTAAAGCATTATAAAAATACTTTAATAATAACTTAAAAAAAAAATATATTTAACTATCTATATTACCTATAAGCTACCCTATTCTTTTTATACTTAAAAAAAATAAAAAGCTATACTTTTATATAAACTATTAATAGCTTAATAAAATTACAATTAAAAATTAATACCCCTTTTTACTTATTAAAAAATTACACAATAAACTTTAAAAAATATAATAATTTATAATACTAAATCTTAAAAATATTTATAATTTTATTAAAATAAAATATAAAAAAAAATAAAAAACTGCTTTTAAAATAAAGTATAATTATTTTAAATACTTAGTTATACTCTTTAATCTTATTAATACACCTACCTCTTTTTAAATAATAATTAATAATATTTTATAAAAATACTTTAATTATTTTATAGTAATTTATCTAAATAATATTTTAATTTTTTTAAAAATGCTTAAATAATATAAGCAATATATATACTAAATTCTTTAAACTTTTTAAAATACTAAACTTTTAATAAAACTAAAAAAAAGTTACTTTTATATATAAAAAATTAACTTTTTTAAATATATAATTTAATTAAAAGAAATTAAAATATAAGCTTTTAAAATTACAGTAATTAAGAATTAGTTAACCTTAACTAATATTAAAAAAATTAAAAGCTTTTAAAATTATATTAACTTTTACTAATAATATATTAAAAACTATAAAAAATTATTTATACTATTAACTAACTTTATTAAAAAGAATTAACCCTTTAAATAAAGAAAAAAAAAACAAAATATATTTAATAAAATTAAAAAATAAATTCTTTTAAAACTTATATTTATAAAAGCAAATTTTAAAAAAGTTTATAAAATAAGTATTAATATTTTAAACTTTACTATTAAAAGAGAATTAAAATAATATAATAAATAAAAATAATTTTACCCTATTATATTCTTTTTATAAAAACTTAATAAATTTAAATTAAACTACTTAATATATAATAAGGAATTAATAATAATTATTAAAGTATTTAAAAAATAAAAATATTATTTAATTAAAATAAAATACTAAATATAAATATTTATAAACTATAAAAACTTAATATACTTTATAATTATTAAAAAATTTAATAAATAGTAAATTTAATAATTAAAATACTTTTTATAATTTAATATTAAAATTATATATTAAAAGAAATTTAAAAATAAAAAAGTAAATACTTTTAATAAATAGTTAAACTATTAGTAAAAAGTTTTATTTAAAACCTATATAATACTTTATAAAAACCTAAATAAAAGCCTAAATATAAAATACTTAAAAAAGCAGTTTACTATAAATTAATTAAAAAATAACTTATTAAAACAATAAATTGTAATAGTCTATTAAATATAGTTTACTATAAACTAATTTAATTAAGTAAAATAAAGCTATAAAGATATCCTAAATAATAAAAAAAAATAGTTATAAAATATAAATAAAACCCTATTTTATAAAGGAAAATATTACCTCTTAATAGCTCTTTAAAAAAAAGTTATCTAAAAACTTTATAAAGCACTAGTATATAGCTATTAAAGTATCTAAACTATATACTTAAAGCTAAAATAATACTAAAACTTTCCTAATATAAAATAAAAAATAGTTTAAATTATTAATAAATATAACCTCTATAATAAAAATAAGCCTATAAAATATAAGCTATATAAGCTATTATAACTATTATTAATACTAAATAAATTATAAAAATTAATTAATTTAAACTTTATTATTAAACTTCTTTTATTTAAAAAACTAATAATAAAAGTTAGCTATAATAGTATTTTAATTATAATAAACAGATTTATAAAATATATATATTTTATACCCTATAAAAAAGCTAGTATAATAAAAAAACTTACTTATATATTTTTTAAAACAATTATTAACTAATATAAACTATTAAATAAAATTATATTTAATTAAAATAAATTATTTATATTAAACTTTTAATCCTTTTTAATAAAATAACTAAAAACTAAATACAAACTTTTAATAATAATATATTTATAAATAAATAAATAAACAAAATAACTTAACTAAATATTAAAACAATATATATACTATTATATTAACTATTAATAAAACAATTAAATACTATTACTACTATTAATATAATTTATATATAATAGTATAAATATACATACTACTAATATTTTACTATTTTATACTAATTATAAATTTAATCTAAACATTTATTAATACCTAATTTCTAATATAAAAGTACTATAAGCTACTAACTATATAAAACAAATTAAAAATATCTATAGAAAAATCATAATAAACTTAAGATTTATCTAAAAATATATAGCAAAATAAGCAAACTAACAAAAGTTAAAAGAATTAACCTTTAAAAAGGGAAATATAGTTTACCTACTTTATAAAAAATAAATTAAAACTAAATAACCTAGTAATAAACTTAACTTTAAAAAAATTAAATTATTTAAAATTAAAAAAAAAAATATTAAAAATAAATTATAAACTTATACTATTAAAAGAAATAAAAATTTACCTAATTTTCTATATTTTTATATTAAAACCTATACTAGCTAATATAATATTAACTATTAATATTAAGCTTAATAACTATAAACTAAAATATAAAATAAAACATATCCTAAACTACTAAATATATAAAAAAACAATAAAATACTTAATTAAATAAAAAAATTATAATAATAAAAATAATTTATAAAAACCTATTTAAAATTTAGTAAACTATTAAAAAGTACTTTAAATATACTATTAAATAACTAGCTAAAAAAATCTATATTAATAAACTCTATTATAAAACCCTAATTTATAATATTAAAACCCCTATTTTATTAAACGCTAAAAACAATTTTAAACTTTTTAACTATAACTTAATTAATAGCCTTAATATAATTAGCCTTCTTAAACATATTTAAAATAGCTAAACCTTTATTTATTAAACTAGCTTTATAATAGATTAAAAACTTTTTTTAATAATACAAATAATCTAAATAAGCTATTACCTTACTTATCTAATAATAAGCTTTATATAAGGCCTTTTAAGCTTTAAGCTTTTAAAAATACAACTTTTTTTTTTCTATAATAACTTAAAATATTAAAAAAATAATTAAAAAAAAAGAAAATAAAAAAATAAAAAAAACTAAAATTTATAAACACTTATTAATACCTTAAAGCTATTATACCTTTTACTTTATTTAATATAAGTAGAATAATAGGAAATACCCTTTATTATTTAATAAAACTACCCCTTTATAAAATAAAATAAATAAAGTATAACTTTAAAGCTTAATAACTTAATAAACGTAAATAATTAATTATACTAATCCAATTTCTTAAAATATAGTTTCTCTATACATAACAATATAATTATTAGCAAAACAAATATAATAAATATATAAAAAGAAATAAGAAAAAAAAAAATTTATCTAAATTTTTTAAAAATAAAAAAATAATAAAAAAGGAAAATAATATTATAAATATAATAAAAATAAAACTAAAAAAGCACTATTAATCCCCTAAAAGCATAAATAAACCCTATAAGCCAGTAAAGCAAGCTTAAAAAAATTCGCTATATAATAAAAGCAGGTTATATAATAAAGCAAAAGAATAACTAAAATAACTAAAGCAATACTTCGCTTTAAATAATCTAAATAATCTAACACTTCTATCGCTCTAAATAAGCAACACTTTAAATAAGCTATTTAAAGTAACGCTCCTATTATTTTAGTTAAAAAAATAAACTATATAAATTATACTTATTACTAGTAAATAGTATTAACTTAAAATAACTTTTTAATAGTTAATCTAAATATTTACCTAAAATAGCTATTAAGCTTTTAATCCATTATTATTATATATTGCTTAGAATATTACCACTTTAAACATTCCCTAAATATAAACCCGCTCACTAGGTTTATCAGCCAGGAACCAGCTATAATCATTACACACTATCCCTAATATAAACTTTTAACTTATCTAATACTAATAAATTAATTATTTAAATACCTAACTTACTTATAGCTATTATTAAAATTAAAATTTTTAACTTTAAAAGGGGTTAAATAATATAAATTAAAAGTATAAGTTTAAAAATACTTAATATATTAAAAAGCAAAGTAGTTTTATAATTAATTAGTAAAGTATATAGTTTTATTAGTAAAGTTTATTTAAAATTATATACTGGGTAGGCTAAATAAAAGAGCTGGGTGGGCTGTTGTGAAAAACTAAGTGAGCCACTTATGGCTGCACTTTGTCTCTAAGTTAGTTCGCGAGCCTATACAGTAATAATATTTGCTTGACTAACAAAATTTTAGTTTGACAAGGAGGCAACGCCCTGGCCATCGGAGGGTTTACGAAGGGCTTCCGTGAGCTCCTTCGGTTACGGTGGGTCCAACGGCCACGCGATTTTAGAAGATGCATACCATTACATGCGGCTACGGGGACTTCAAGGCCGTCATAATACTTCAGAGCTTCCTACACTGTCAGAGTATGCAAGTATATCTGAATATTTTGATTTATCGAACTTCGGATCGAGCTCGCCACAAGAAGCGACCTTGGCCTCACAATCTCTCGCGTCTACTCCAAGTACTGCGACGAATGGCTCAGCGTCTCCTGCTGCCATCTGCAGCTCTTCTTCCTCTCCAGCCCAATCTAGTCTTACGCCGCTCGATTCATCTTCTCAATCTCAAGCGGATGATGATACTACGAAGTCGTCATACACAGCGAAGGCGTTATTAGTGTTGTCGGCCGCGGATGAAGAAGGTCCTTCGCGAGCGTCTGACTCCCTGAGTTCGTATTTGGCTTCGGCTCAGGGCCATAAACACCAGACTCAAGATGTCCTTCATACACTGGCGGCATATCGCAGCGCTCATCCATGGCGCTCATATGCTGTCGTGAGTGACCTATCGTCAAAGGATCTTAAGGGCCTTGTACCCGCCACTCGTGCTGCTCATACATCTCCCAGTCTCATCTTCCTTTTCACCGGCCAAGGAGCTCAATATGTCCGCATGGGCCTTGAACTGATGCACTATCCAGTCTTCAGTCAAAGTCTCAAGCATTCCGGAGATTATCTCAAGAAAAGTCTGGGTTGTAAGTGGGATCTGCTCACTGAACTTGGGAAGTCAAACGAGGAGGATAGTCGAATAGCAAGTCCCGAAATCGCGCAGCCAATATGCACCGCTTTACAGGTAGCACTCTTCGACCTTCTACAGTCTTGGGGGATCTCTCCCAACAGTGTTGTAGGCCATTCGTCTGGAGAGATGGCCGCTGCATATTGTGCTGGCGCTCTGGGCCACGAAGAAGCGATAGGACTGGCTTACCTTCGCGGAATTGTTTCTGAAAAGATCTCTTCCCAGACCAGTGAATCTGCCCATGCCAGACTTGGAATGCTATCAGCAGGCATGGATGAACAATCAGCAGTCCAACTGCTGAAGGACATGGGTGTTGATGGGTCAGTGAGCGTCGGATGCGTGAACAGCCCGATCAACGTCACACTCACAGGTACAGTTGAGGCACTGGACAGTGTCTACGACAAACTCGATGAGGACGAAGTATTTGTCAGAAGGCTAGCTGTCAGCGTGGCATATCATTCTAAGCACATGGAAACAGTATCTGACGAATACTGTTCCCTCATCAAGGAGCAACTCCAGCTCCAAGCTGCCCTTGCATCCAACAAAACCAAGGTGGCGATGTTCTCCTCGGTTACCGGGGAGCGCATCGAACTCTCCGAAACCAGAGAACCCTCATATTGGGTGAGAAATCTGATAGGAACGGTGCATTTCTCAGATTCTCTCACTTCTGCCGTACAAGCCGAGAAGAGGACACACTTTTTCGTCGAGATTGGACCGCAAGCTGCACTTCGCAGGCCTGTGCAGGATACTCTCACCCCACTCCTTGGCAAAAGCGCGAGCAATAAGTGGACATATGTCAACTTACTTGACCCAAAGACCGATGACACGACGGCTGTCTTGAACTCCCTTGGCCGAGCCTGGTGTGCAGGTGTAGATGTTGACATCGCCAGCATCAACATGTCTTCTCTTGACGATGAGAAAGAACCACCAAAGATGATACCAGACTTGCCGTCGTATCCCTTCAATCACACGAAGACTTTCTGGGAGGAGTCTCGTCTATCCACCCGTTTTGCTTTTCGGAAACACAGACGGCATGGTCTTTTGGGACTTCGTACACGGGACTTCAATCCGGCCGAAGCCAGTTGGAGACACATCATTCGGTATGATGAAAACCCGTGGATTCTAGACCACACGCTGAATGGCTCCTCTATCTATCCCGGATCTGGAATGATTGTAATGGCGGTCGAAGCTCTCAGGCAGATGACCGTTGTTGAAGAGGGTATGGTGATCAAGGGCTACCGTGTGAAAGACGTCAAATTCAAACGAGCTATCAACGTAAACGACTCAGAGCGCGGAGTGGAGGCCCAATTGCATATCCGCCAACGAAGAGATGATGTCAACAATTCCCTTCAGAAGTGGTACGACTGGCGAGTCTTCACTCAGGGGAGCGGCGATGAATGGCTGGAAGCTGCATACGGTCGCATAAACGTCGAGATCGAAAACAAGACGGTCACTCCTGGCGCCCATGAACGCGATATGCGTCTATCACATGACCTGCAGAACATGTACGAGGATGTCGCCGACAGGTGCAAGTTCAAAACCTACCCAGACCAGATGTATGGCAATATGGCTTCATTGGGCCTACACTACGGCCCGTTCTTCGCACGCCTCACCGATATCCAATACTCCAAATCGGGACATGCAACCGCAACTCTGCCAATGCGGGACTACGCGGATAAGATGGCATTCGCAAATGAGGATCCTTGCGTTATACATCCTACGACTCTTGATGCGCTTTGTCACTTGCAGATGGCAGCTCTCTCGCATGGTGGCTGGAAGCCCATCCCCACAATGATGTTCACCCATTGCGCTGAGATGTGGATCAGCCACAAACTGCTCTCCCTGCCTGGGAACCCAACTGTCAGAGCAGCCTCAAGACAGACTATGAAAGGATTCAGAGAATGTGAATTCGATACCGTCGCATTCCTGAGGGACACCAATGAGCCCGCCGTCATCATCCGTGGCGAAAGAGGTACTGCAATTTCCAATCTTGACGAGGGTGCCGGCATGAGTAGTGGCGAGGCTTTTGATACGGCATGCTATAGTCTTTCATTCCGGCCAGACCTAAGACTTTTGGGGAACCAGACGACTTACGAGTTCTTGATGGGCCAAACGTTCAGGAAATTTGCTCTTCCGAACACCGATCATATCGACCGCGCAGATGCAATGGCAATCTACTACGTTGAGAATGTTCTGGACCGTCTCAAGGCCGAGACAGATGGTTCTGATTTTGGTGACTACAGAGACCATTATGTCGCGTGGATGAGACGAATGCGTGCTAAAAAGAGCGAATACACCCCGGCGTCCCGCGGACGGACCGACATCGAGGCTGGATCCCTCGTCACCCTCGACGTTGAGGAGCCCACCCAGAAGCTCATACGCAAAGTCGGCGACAATCTATTTGATATGTTAACAGGGAAAGCAAATATCCATGAGGTCATCTTCGGTGGTCATTTAGTAGATGACTACTACTCGGCGGAGATGTTCAAAATACACGCTCATCGCACAGGCTCGTATATAGACATCCTTGCACACGCGAACCCTTACCTCCGGATCTTGGAGGTCGGTGCTGGAACAGGAAGCTCGGCTGCTGGTGTGCTTCCATTTTTGACACATGATATGGGTAACGACAGAAGAATGATCCGGTGAGTCGACGTCGCCAACGGCCTTAATCCCTTGGCCCCGCTAGATCTCTGCTAACATCAGCGCCACTAGAATATCTGAGTACATGTACACCGACGTGTCAGCTGGCTTTTTTGAACATGCGCGTCAGCGATTCAGCGATTATTCCTCGATCCTGTCCTTTTCCAAGCTGGATATTGAAGCAGATCCAGTCGCACAGGGCTTCCAAGAAGGCACTTACGACGTGGTTATTGCCGGCAACGTGGTACACGCGACAAGTGACCTACACACTTCTCTCAAGACCGTAAGACGGCTGCTGAAGCCGGGCGGAAAATTCATCATGGTCGAGATCTGTAACCCACAGAGCGTGCGCGAGGGCTTGATCTTTGGCCTGCTGCCGGGCTGGTGGTTACGCACACAGCGGGGTGAGGGAGAAACAGTGGTCTATCCTGACCAAGGTCCTCTCCTTACAGAGTCTCAATGGTCCAAGGTCCTCACTGAATGTGGCTTCTCGGGTGTGGACATGCAATTCAGAGACCATGACGCATTACCTTACCACCGGTTGAGCACATTAGTAGCTACTGCCGTGGAAGACTCTACCACTCCCGTGGCCACTGTCAGCCCTTTGTCGACATACATTGTCCTTGACCCTGAATCTTCTCTTCAAACAGAACTTGCTAATTCACTTCAGTCAAGTTTACACGTGGCATCAACCATCACATTGGCTCAAGCCGAGGCGACAAATCTGGGAGACAGCATCGTGATATCCCTCCTCGAACTTGACGCAAGCATTCTCCACCACGTATCGAATTCACAAATGCAAGCCATCAAAAAGATATCTTTGAATTCGCACCGTCTGCTATGGGTCACTTCAGGTGGTGGACCAAGGGCTCAAAACCCGGAGGCGGAGCTCAGTATTGGCTTGGGAAGAACAGTTTGCTCCGAACGAGGAGACCAGGGCTTCATTGTTATCAGCCTCGACCCCGGTAGCCTCGAGGATGTGGATCATAGAGTCAAATTGATTGAGCCAGTACTTCGTCGTATCTCTTCTAAGGACCTGAACGATGACGAAGTCGAGACAGAGCTGGCTGAAATCGACGGGGTTCTTCAGATTCCTCGTGTTGCACCAAATGGGAGACTCAACGACGCGGTTGCATCAAGGATGATCAACAGACCACTGGAAAAGCAGACTTCCAATGTGGGATCCTCCACTGAGGGAACTTCGACGGAGACGAAGCCCATCCGGCTGACCATCGGCAACCCGGGTCTCCTTGATACTTTGCACTTCAAGGAGATACCTGATGCTGGGAAGCCACTACAAACGGATGAAGTCGAGATCAAAGTTATGTCATCAAGTATCAATTTCAAAGACGTCATGATCGCTCTTGGCCAGATACCTGGGACTCAGCATGGTTTTGGATACGACGGCTCGGGTGTCATCACCAAAATTGGTCCGACTTGCAAGCATGCTAAGGTCGGCGATAGGGTCATGTTCGTGGCCGTGACTGGAGCCTTTGCAACAGTTGTGAGGGTTTCTGAGCTCCAAACTCACATCATGCCCGCATCAATGTCATACACAGTAGCCGCTTCCATTCCTGTTGTGTACTGCACCGCACTCTATTCCTTGGACTACGTGGCACGGCTAGGTCCTGGTGAGACTGTGCTCATTCACGCAGGTGCGGGCGGAGTAGGCCAAGCAGCGATCCAGATTGCACAGAGACGAGGTGCAACAATATATGTGACCGCTGGCTCAGAGACAAAGCGGAATCTGCTGATGACCGAGTATGGCGTTCCAGCTTCCCACATCTTTAGCAGCCGTGATGCAACTTTTGTTGACGATATCATGCATGCTACTGGTGGACGGGGCGTCGATGTTGTCCTGAACAGTCTGGGTGGCGAGCTGCTGCAGCAAAGCTGGAAATGCATCAAAGTTTTCGGGCGCTTTGTCGAAATCGGCAAGGCAGATATTCTGCAGAATACGGGCCTCGATATGGCTCCGTTCGACCGGAATGTTACCTTTTATGCTGTGGACCTCATCGTTGTGGTCGAGAATTCCAAGGAGTTGATGAGGAAAGTCATGGCCGATGTGATGACCCTATGGGACGGCGATAAACCCGTCCATGAACCCAGACCACTTCACGTCTATCCCTCCACCAGATTTGAAGACGCAATGCGCTACCTTCAAAGTGGTAAAAACACCGGAAAGACTGTCATGGACTGGTCAGAGCCCGGAACTGTGCAATACCAACCGTGCTGGAAACCAGCCTATACTTTCAGGGCCGACGCGACTTATGTGCTCGCTGGAGGCCTCGGTGGCCTACCGAGAGCCATGGTACGCTGGATGATTTCCCGTGGAGCCAAATTCTTCCTACTTCTGTCTCGATCTGGTGTTGGAGGCCATGAAGATGCCGAAAAGTTCCTTCGGGAAGTCGAACATTTGGGCGGCACAATTTTTGCACCGGCTTGTGATATTGCCAAATGCGATGTACTCGAGAAGACCTTGAGAGGATATGAGGGCAAGTTGCCGCCGATCAAAGGATGTATTCAAGGTGCTATGGTTCTCCATGTAAGTCTGCACCTCACTTGCTCTCACAACGCTGTTGTTTCATGAATTGTGGGCTAATAAGTACTCAAGGATGAGCTCGTGGAACACATGACAGCAGACGTCTGGAACGAACCACTAGAGTCAAAGTATCATGGTTCCCGCAACCTTGTGAATCTTTTGCCACACGATATGGATTTCCTCGTGATGCTATCATCATTTGCCGGCATCATCGGTAATCGAGGCCAGTCAAACTACGCAGCTGGAAACACATACCAAGACGCTCTGGCAAGGAACCTCGTCGTACACCAGCGCCGGCGTGCAGTCAGTGTCAATCTTGGTCTGATCCTCGAGACGGGCTCCGCAAATTCCAATTACTTCTTCGTGCAGTCAACTCTGCGAGCCGGATTCAGTGGGGTCACTCAAGAGCAGTTGATGGCACTGCTGGACGTGGTCTGCGATCCCAAGTATGATTACAGTCAGCCAGAGGCTGCACAGATAGTGCATGTGGTTGATAGCCCTAAGCAGCTGTGGCAGAAAGGCCACGAGTCTGTTGTAGGCTGGATGACCAAGCCTCTGTTCAAGAACTTGCACCGAATCGGTGCCAGCTTCGCATCCTCCTCAGAGGGCAGTTCCGCAGCTGCCTCGTCGTCTACGAGTGTCGACTATCTCGCCCTGGTCAAAGCATCCAGTTCAACAGAGGAGGCGGGCGAGGTGATTTGCAAAGCTCTTATACAAAAACTCGCGAAAAGTCTCAGTGTTCCAGAGAAAGACCTGGACCCTGCACAGCCTGCTTTCAGACATGGAGTTGACTCACTTATTGCGGTGGAGGTCAGATATTGGTTCCTCAAAACCTTCGGAACTGAAGTGGCTGTTTTCAACATTTTGAAAGATTGGAGCATGACTGAATTGTGTCATTCCGTAGCTACGGGCCTTGTGAAGCATGAAGGCTGAATTGCAAATGAGGCATCTATGCCCGCTTTGAGATGAAATAGCACATTTTGATATTTGGATTGCCCCTGGGGTGGTTGCCTCGGTTTATACATTTGACGCGTACGGATAGTTTAGATATTTCTTGTTCAATGACATTCACTTCCCAGAGCGTGAGGCATTTACATCCCAGATGCATCGTATATATCAATGACGAATGGAAAGATGACCATGCGACCAAGTTTGGATTTTGAGTTGTTACTTGTAATTCTATACGCGCGTGAGATTCTGGCAGAAGCACTATCCTATATGAGCAGCCACCAAAGTTCTAAATAGCCCATTGGGGTCATACGCCATGTTTACTTGCAATAACTTCCTCTCGTTGTCTTCTCCGTAGCTATTAGCCTTTTGGAACTGGCTGGCGTAATTTTTGTACAGAAAGCCGTGTCCCAGCCCTCGTGCTGTTGCACACTCTTGCGCTCTCTTGACGAATCTGCAGTAAGTGTCCAGCACGAGTCGGTCGTCGTCTTGATTTTCCCACCTCACTGATGGGTTCGCAAGTAATAGTGGTCGTGTCTCTCCTTCAAGCCCAAGACAGTTGCCTCCAGCTTGTGTCATGTGTTTGATCATACCCATACTGATGACTTGCAATCCTACTCCTGAGAGAATACCCTTGACATGGGTGAGTGCCTTTGATTCCTCCACAAATAATTCAACAATTTCTGACAACAAATTCTCATCCAGATAGGTAGTGAATGTCCAAAAGCTTTGCCGCATTTTGTGCCCGTCTCCACTGCTGATTCCGTCGAGTTCCATGGTGAGATTACTCAACGTCCTGCTTGAACAACTGTCGCCGAGAACTTCGGGTACGTTCAATAACCCGTGGAATACTTTCGGACTGTCACTATCCGAATCTGCATCTGTATGCTGCAGTGAAACACTGCTAAAGTATCCCGTGGCTTCGGTCCACGCGAAGCCGATAATCAAGCTGGCTTTTGGGTCTTCGACAACGCCACGTTCTCCGAATGCGATCATTTGTTGGATCAACTTAGCAGATTGTGAAAGTGGATGGTACCTATTACCACCCCACATTCGTCCCTGTGGAAAGGCCTTCACATCAAACCTCGTGACCACCCCCAAGCTGTTTCCCCCTCCACGGAGAGCCCAGAACAAGTCTTGATTTGTGGTCTCGTTTGCGTTCACAATATCACCTCCAGCAGTAACAACCTCAAAGTTAACGACATTGTCACATGCCCATCCATGTAGGTTACTGTGGAAGGATATTCCACCTCCTAGAATGAGACCTCCCACGCCAACACTTGCGACACGACCTCCTACTACCGTCAACCCAATTGGCTCCAGTGTGTCGTAAACATCTAGCCATCTGCAGCCAGGCCCGATGGAGACAGTGGTTCTGTCCTCGCTGACTGAGACACGGTTCATATTTTCCAGGGACAATGTGATGCCATTGTGAATACTTGATCCTCCTGCGTATGGAGTGTGCCCGCCACTCCTGATAGCGAAAGGGCATCTGGTTTGCAGCAGGACTTTGAGGGCACTTTGGACCTCATGCGTGGATTTTGGAAGCAGAAAGCATACAGTTTGTACGGAGGCCTGTTGAGCGGACCAGTACCTGGACCTGCTGGCCGCGTATAACGGGGAGTCAGATAGGATGAGCTGGTCGGGCCCGAACGTCTGCTGAAGTATGCAGCACTATCACGATGAAGTCTCATGTTAGTCAATTTTGAATTATCTTTCATGATGCATCAAATCCGAGTCCGCGCAGTCACCAAAGAGACTTACAGTGGCTTTGACTGCCGTTGAGCCTCGTACATCACCTCCTGTAGAAGCAAGGTGTGGCTCTTCGAGTGATTCGCGGCGAGATGAATTCATACTGCAAACTCAGAAATACGATTTTATCGCAATTTGGAAAACAATCAAGAACGGCAACTTGCCCTTTTACTAAAAGAATTCCACGCGTACTGAAGATGAGCTCATTTGGTTGGCGCTCAAGCTGTCCATCATACTTAGGTATACATAAACCTAAGTAAATACACATCAGCTTTTGCCCCAGTCCGATTTCACCTGAAAACGCTGGCACAATACTCGTGCAGGCGCTCCGTAGTACCTAAAGTATGTTGATTTGCAGCAAGAGTGCTATGTTACCCCAGCCAAGACTTTTGTTCTTGAGGGTCCGACTTGACTCGTTGGTGACCGCTAGCAGAACTCAACTAAGCCAGGCTTGGGACACCCGTTTGTATGCCCTGACCGTAAATTAGCCGACTTTGTTCTGACGATTCAGTTTAACAGCCGCTGAACGACCCCTGCGACTCTGCATGTCCCGCTTAAGAAGCGGTGGGAGCGCATGGGGCTACTACAGTAGAATAAGGTTCTCACAAGTCCGGGATGCATTCGGGTCTGACTCGAGAGACTCTTTGCATCAGTCCATGCTATCTTGCTTTTTTCTTACTTGCAATGCAACTAACGAGAAGAAATCTCGAGCTTCTGCTACTGGGTACAATATCTGAGCCGGCCGTAGTACCCTGATCATGGCAGTGTATAGACATCAGTAGGACTCAATTCCTGGTTCCAGTCACAACAGGAAGACATTGGTTTGCTCCGCAAGTATAATCCGACGATGTTTTACTTGCAGAATACGTCCCTGGAGAATTATTTCCCATTTCTTACCGCGGTCTCTTGGTTGGCGTTACCATGGCTTATCTGGCGCCTAATCTCGTTCACAATTTTGCCAGCGTTGAATTCGCGTTCTCCAAAGCCACTTCCATATCTGGTGCCTTGTAAGTCTTCGGCGTAGAAGAATTCGAAAATCCCGGCTCCAGAGTGTCTGTTAATAAATCATTGTATTCTAGTCATCGGTCATGCAAAAGGTCTGATGACAGATTCGGGAAAACTCTTGTCGTTTGCAGCGTGAGTGTCAAACAAACCTGCTGAAACTCAAAGTTCGCGCTAAAATACATGGAAGGAGATATTTTGGGGCGAATCGCGACATCTTCAGTCTGACTGTAATGGGTGAAGAACTTTATGTTGCAACGTCAGCAGTAGACGTCACAGCAATCTACAAAGAGACTGAGCGGCTTGATTTTGACCCCATCATTCGAGCTCTACTCACTGAATATGGCCTGGCTTCCGGTACATTGGACAAATTATTCGATCCAGATCTTAATGGTAAGAGGAGCTGGATGTCTGGCCAACATGATATCTTCAGGTCTCAGATGCACCCTGGTTCTGACCACGGCGACTTGCTGGAGTCCCTATTCTTGGGAGGGATAGATCAGTCCTTGAACTGGGACCGCCTGTCCGGGCCCATGGTGTTGTCTGAAGATGGGGACCATTCCAAGTCCATCTCACTTTGGAAATGGTGCGGTTTTGTTTCGGTTCAGGCAGCTACGCGGGCTTTCTTCGGCGAGGGTTTCCTGCGCGTCGTTCCTGATTTCGTGGAGAAGTATATACAGCTTGAGGATGATTATTGGCACACCAAATCAGGCTCTAAGTTTTCTCAGTCCGCCGCCAAGATCGCGTTTCAGAAAGCCCAACAACATTCCTGGGATGCTTTCAAGACTTGGCTGTCTCTGCCTCAAAAGGAGCGACAGGATGCATCATGGATGGTTCGGAGGATCGAGCAAGATTTCGAGAAGCTCGGGATCGATGATAAAACCCAGCTCAGCGCGCTTTTCTTCGCACACTCTGTAGTGTAAGTCCGGTATCCATCCCAAGCTATGCTGTCTCTGAGAAACTGAAAAAAATGCGAAGCATCAACGGTAATGCCTACCAGAGCTGCTTTTGGCTGCTCTGTCATCTCTTACACGACCCTTCACTTCGTCAATCAATTGAGTCTGAGATATTGCCAGCATTTGACCGTCAATCCTCAAGGGTGGACATGGTCCATCTCCTCGACACTGAGAAATGCCCGTTACTCAACTCGCTCTACGAGGAAGTCCTTCGGACAACCAATGACCCAATGGGCATCCGCGTCGTTACGAAGGAAGTCACAATAGGCGGGAGGGTGCTCAAACCGGGCCGCAAGCTGCTAATGCCTTACAAACAGATGCACTACAACGCTGAAGTCTTTGGCCCGAATGTGGCTGAATTCGACCCTCATCGATTTATGGGGGAAAAGGGAGCACTGTCTAAGAGCAACTGGTTCCGTCCGTTTGGAGGAGCCAATGGGCATTGTCCAGGCCGTTTTTTAGCCAGACGAGAGGTCTACTTGTTCACGGCATTGCTTCTCTTCAGGTTCGAAGTAAAGGCTGTTGGACTCGAGGGCAAACCGCCCAAGTTTCCGGTCATGGACACTACGACACAGACGGGAGGTATCTTGAGGCCATTTCAATCGGAAGATGTCAAGCTGGAAGTACGACCTGCGAAGGTGTGACATTGCCTGAGACGAAGTCTCAAATTGATACAAAAAGAATACATAGGCAAGGCATTTCAATTGCTGGGCCAAGCACGCAGTGGCTTCGTTCAATGCTCAAGTGCAGATGCAAGAAATAATTAACGTGACCGTCCCACTCTACAACTTCCCAAGATGCAGCTATCCCGATGAGTTTCTCTGCTATCACAGGTGGAGTGCTCCTGAACAGCCAATCTCTGTGCCACTGAGTCTTGCAAGAGGTCAGCGGGATATCATACTTGAATCTCTTCCACCTTTTTTTACGTGCGTTATCGTGAACGAAGCCAACCCGCGTAGCACAGGGGGTGGCTGGTGGGGGTTAGGGGAGCGCTGTCAGCCACGGGACGTGGACTACGTGGCTGATGGTTCGATTGGTGAGACTTGTCCGACTTCTGCGACAAGCCAAGTCTGGCCGCTCTCCTCCACCCCGGGCCCCTCAAGTGGAGCAGGGCGTGGACGGCCTCGCTGAAGACACTGGCCAGCCAAACCAAACCACCACAGACAGAGGGTCTCTCTCTCTCTCTCTACAAAACCTCAATTGAGCAAGTCGCCGACGCCTTAGGTAGGACGATGACGGTAAGGTCTCTTCTTCATCTCAATTATTGACTCCTATTCTTCACACCGCGCACCTGGCTCTCCCGCGCACAGCCGCCGGTCCCGAGGGTCTCATAGGCTGGTGGTTTGGTTTCCCCCCAATGTCTGAAACCACCTCTAACCGACCAGCCCCTGGGCGAATCCGCGACCAGTCTTGTCACAGGATGGCGTCGTCGAACCATCTCGCACTTCTCCTCCACGCTGCTTCTCTCTCTACTTTTTACCTTTGACATTGCATTCCTTACTTTCTTGGCACCGCCTCCATTCACTTCTGTCAATTAATCTTGTTGCTGTGCAATCGGTCATTTTCTTCTTACTGTCCTTCCATTAACGAAGACAACGACGAGGACGAACACTTTAATCAGCTGGTCTGCCCACGCTCTCTCACTCACCCTACGCGCCTCATATAATACGAACGAAACATGAAGGTTGCAGCGCTCCTCCTCGCGCTGTGCGCCTCTATCGCTAGCGCTGCTGTCGTCAAAACGCCCGTGTTCGACAACCAAATTGTCCCTAAACAGGGCGATGACTGTGCTTTGGGCGTGACCACTCCCCAGGGCTGCGCGTAAGGATCTTCTCATTTATCTTTGGCTGCTTCGTTGGTGGATGATGGCTGGGCACGACAATATTCAACTCGGAATCGAAAGAGTGTCACGGACGGCACCATGAAGCATGGGACATGAAGGCCACCGGGCAGTGAGGCGACTCGTATGCTAACGTTTTCTCATGATAGACCCCGTCGTGGAGGTGCGCCTCGGAACACGGCATAGACGACAGATCTGATCAATGCGGGCGTCTGGATTAGCAAGTTGAACCGATGCATCTGAGCATTTGGATCACCTGATGCTCCCGGCTTGGAAATAATGGTCAGACCAGAGGGATGCATCGGAGAAGGCGTCGACTCATAATGAGTAATATGGACAGGTGCTTGGAGACCGGCCGAACACGCACGCATCTACAGAGTCCGGTCTCTGTCACCAAGAAACCAGCACGAAGTCGGCCTCATCGCGATGTGGCCTCGATTCAATCGACAGCCTTTCATTCTTCTGCGGACATAACTTCAGAAAGTCTCCTTGGTCGTTGGGGATACTGACGATTGTTGGACGGCACCACAACTCATGTGTTAAATAGAGAGCGTTCAAGTACTTGGTTTCTTGTGATTTATACAACCAAGGTTGCCTTTTGGAATCGTTTACTGGGACGTGATCAACTAAATCAAGTGACCAATATATCGACATGCCCAATTGGTTCTCGTGATTTCATGACTTCGTCTGTCCTGCAGCGATGGTCACTCCACTGCCTCTATAAGACGTCCTGACGGTGCGTGCCAGAAGCAAGTGCCGCAGCACTAACTACACCACCATGGCAACATCGACTACGGCCTGCTATCACGGCCTGCACAAATGCAACAGGAAAGAAACAGCCTTCACAGTACAGAACAGACCCTGACCTGATCAGGGAACACTGTCATCCTTGCGGGTCTGCACTCTGCTCCGCCTCATCATAATTCTGACTTCTGTACAATGTTGCAGGCGTTGGGTGCTCAAGCAAACCCATGCCACAATGCGGGCTTCAAATGAGAATTAAAGGCATGGATATAAGAGGCCGCCCGGCTTCCTCCCGCCAATCAGCAGTAACACGCTGCGCCTGATTCTTATATCACCATATTGAGTGACCGGTGCACGAAAGGAATAAAGCCATAATTGCAATTTCAGCCACTTCACGGATCCCATTCCCTCGAGTCCACTTTCTTGCTCGAGCAGCCACCCTGCAACAATAGTAGCCAGTCACATCCCCTTTACCACGGGCCTGCCGTCAGACGGGTACCACTATGCGGCTTATCACCGTCAAGGGTTCGGGACTAGAGTGAATCCCTCGAACACACAGCCAACCAGACCCAATCCAGAGGGTGCAGCCCCTTTATTGTCGGCCGAACTTACGAGACCAAGGTCCGATCTGACGGTATCACGGAGCCTAGCACCGGGGTATGCGATGGCCCTTGCAGTGTGCCAACCCAACTGGAATGACTTCCATTCCGGTTTAAGAAAAAAAAAGACAACTGCAAACGGACGTGTCTACGACTGTTATACGATTTCACGGTGTGAATGAACTAGGCGATCTAAATTAAGCTGGAAGAGCTGGCCATCCAGGCTTCGGCCGACCCCGGATCCGAAGCCGGGCTCGATCCCGACGTCTTGCTACATCGTTGAACCCAGACGTGAACATGCCAGGAGACGGAACTATGCACTGGTCAGTAAAAAAAAAACCCTGAAACTTGCTTCCATGTGAAAGGTTATTTTTGATAATTGTAGGCTTGTTTTGAATTCGCTATCTCTAAGAAAGTTACGTGCAACAAGCACACTTCACCCCAAGTTGTCCCAAAGTCACCGAATCTTACCCCTGAGTCCTCAGAACCTTGACCACGTCGCCATCATCTGCGGCCGCCAACGACACCGTCGGCAACTCGCTCATGTGCACCTTAGCCTTGCCATACGGAATCAGGGTATAGTCCCCGACCGTGCCATCGATGCACTTCCTGGATTGTGCGCCCGGGGCGGGAACCACATCGGGCGTCGAGTTCTGGAACAGGCCCCACTCGATCTGGCACCCCCTCGCGGTGATGATGCCGCCCTGGCCCTCCGCGTAGCTGCCAAACCCGACCGTGGCCGCGTCGGCCGGCGGCGTGTACGACAGCGTGCTGGTGTCGATAGCGACGTTCCACGGCTTCGCGTTGCTGATGTACCAATCCCGCGACTGCGGGAAGGGGATCCAGTCCATGCCCGGGCCCGCGGGCACGCGGTAGTCGTGTGGCAGGGAGCTGTGCTCGATGGAGCCGAGGTCAAGGGCGTACAGGAGGTTGCCGACGTAGACCGAGACCGCGCCGTTCCCGCGCGGCTCGGTGCGCACGCCGGCGGCGAGGGTGTAAGTCACGGTCGAGCGCCCGGCGGGCAGGTCCACGCGGTGGAGCCTAGAGACTGGGTCGGGCGCCGGGGTGGAAGACGTCGTGCTGCTGTCGGCTTCTACGACGATCTCGGTAGTCTGCGTGTCGGCCCATGCCGGTACGCGTAGGTACAGCGGGAACGGGTCCGAGGACTGGATGGTGTAGACCGACGAGTTGGTGAACGGGTAGCCCGTGTCGACACTTATGTCTACGCTGATGCCATTGGACGGCAGAGTTGTGGAGACTGAGGACGGAGATAGGAGCGCATGTGCGATACCACTGCCGTTCACAAGGACCCAGCTGTTGGAGAGGAACTTTGGCCAACCCTGTGGGTGGTTGACTGTGCAACATGGGTAGATGGGCTCAAGTCCAAACCGTGTTGCGACATTGGTGGAAGAAGTGGTGAATACGGGCGGACCGATCGGGTTATTGAGGTCGGCGGTGTTGTTAGTCCACGGCTGGTTGGGCTGCGCCATGTACTGGTGGCCCCAGCCATCCGGGTGCATCTGTGATCATGTTAGCACGTTGATTCTCGATCATGAGCGACGTTCATGTCTGAGCTCGTCAAAGACAATATAGCTGGGCAAAGACAAACCATGACGGGGAGGGCATTGAGTGAGACGAGCTCCGCCCGGTCGGCGTAATAGGAGGACCCCAGGGCCTGGTAGAGATAAGCCAGCGAGTAGCCCGTCTCTACAGCCGTACAGAGCTCACTTCCCGAGTATGGGGCGAGATCACGCTGGACTTCATCGGCCAAGATGCTTCCCGACGGTGAGCCGTGGTACGTAAAGGTCCAATTGACGCCGTCGTAGGCCGTCTCGACCAGCGAGTCGTTCTTGTTGAAGCGCCGCACCACTGCGGCCTGCTTCAGCCCCTGGCCTACGTTGACACCGTGGAGGTACGGAAACATGGGGTTTCCAGGAGTCGGGTCTGTAACGACCTTAAGGTACGTCCCTGGAGTGAAGTAGGCGTCCCACTTGAAGGTTGTCTGGTTGTAGAACATCTCCATGTTCTCCCACAGAAGGTCGTCTTGAGCCTTGTTTGGATGTTTCTCGAGAAGCCACTGGATCGTAATCATCATGTCGTGCACACGGACTTGGCCCCATCTGCAGTCGACGGCCGATGCGCAGTTGACGAATCCTTGGCTGTCATTACGGAGCATAGAATTCGTCAACAACATGAAGCTGCGCAACCCTGAGACGACCTTGTCCTGGTAGTCAAGCGGGTTGACCTCAGCCAGACTGATTAGCCCGAGGAACAGGGGCATTCGGGCCCAGAAGTTCCTGTCTTCCATCGACTCCGGGCCGATCCAACCGTCTGTGGATTGCAAACTGAGCACGGTATCTGCGACGACGTGCACTTGGCCCTTCAGGCGCTCATCCTCCAGTGCATATGCCAGCGGCACAAGGCCGTTGAACCAGTATGGTAAGGCCTCGTTCAGGTTGCTATACTCTGTTCCTTGGCCCTCGGGATCGAGCCACGACGACTCATTGACAAACACGTAGAAGTCATGCTGGTGGCCGGCCAGGCCGCTGGCGAGCGTCTCCATCTCCGCCAGAAGCCACCCGCCCGGCTTGATGGAGCCCAACGGCAACGGTTCCAGTGCCCATGGCAGGAGCTCTATTTCCTCGCAGCCCAGTTTAGTGACGGTCAATATTAAGGTGGGTTTGTTGGGGACGTACTTGCCTTGGGATGCAGCGGCCAAGGAGGGTAAGACAGCCAAAGGCAGTGCGAGAAGCATGGTCAGCGCCTGTGTAGAGGCGACAGCGAGGTTCTCAAGAGCTCTCATCTTCGCCTTGTTTTACTTTCTGTGGGGTCTTGTTCCAGTTTCGCACAAGTCAACACAGAGGACCAGACACGGAGGTTTTGTAGGCAGGTATCGTGGTCAATGGCAGGAAGGAAATTTAGAAGCCAAGCTTCACCCAGTCACCACCTCACCCCCAGTTCCCCAACTCACTGCTACCCTGTGACGCCAGGAACTCCCGTGATGCCCTGGACAGACGTTCAATCCCCAGATATTCCATCAATTTGGGACAAACGGACGAGTGCGTCTGAAACATCTAATATGGAGGGTTTATGTAATCCACAGTGTGGGGACTTGTGTGTAGTGGCACAAGGCTCAAATCGCGTCCAGCTGCAACAGTCGGGTGTCACTGGCACACGCCCACGAGAGGAGGCAAAAATTAGGAAGGTGTTTGTCTGGGGGTGTGGCACCCGGTACGGTTATCCGAGGCAGACTAGTCTGAAAATGATCCTCGACCGGTCAGCCCGAGTTGCTTTTTAGGCATGGCTTGTTTGTTTGCCAAGTGCCTAATCTGCTGCCTATCTGCTCTGTCACATTAAAATCTCACCTACACGAGATGTCTATACCAAGCCCTGCAAGCGAATAATAAATGCGAGCTCGTAGAACATGACCTATCCGGGCAAGCGGGCCCTGCGGGTCTTTGGAAGCGAACGCCATCGGGCCATGTCGCCGTCTGGCTTACTGTTCCTACAGATATAGCCGCCCTACCACTGCTGCCTGTCCTTCTGATCTCCTGCTTTCCCTTTGCCTGGCTGTCTTAAGATCACTGGGAGGCACATTTCAGTGTCCGCGGTCATAAGATGACTTGAAGCCTGGCCGCTGTTGTCGTCGTCGAGGTCATCCGACGCACTCATACTTCCGCGCTTCAAGGCGCCAATTCTCCATTCGATATCTAGTCTACCTTGCCGCATGCGCATGCTGCGAGCCGGATCCGAATCATGAGTGTCGGATACAAGAGGTGGCCATCTGCTGGGGAACGAAGTGCTGCAGTTCTCAACATCGCACGTCGCCCACAGACGCTCGTGATCCTCCTTGTGTCATTCATCCTCGTCCTTGTCACTCTTGGAACTGTCTACCTGACCGATATTGAGATCCTCTCGCCATCCACGTGGACCCTGAACTCGCAGCCAGACCCTACTAGGCTTCGCCCCCCAATACAACTTGAGGACGGCTACGGAAAAATTTACGATGACCTGCCCGGGTTTGACATAGAAACGCCAGTCAAGGTCATCGGCTTGGTTTTCTTCGGCCGCCGCGAGCTCGTGGAAGTGCTCGACTGCTATCTTCAGCGCAACCTGAAGGCCAACGGCGGTCTGCTGGACGAGATCATTTTCGTCGTACACACCGACATCCAGGAAGACCTAGACTATCTCGAGACACTGGTGCCCAGGCGGCCAGAGTATAGCAAGTACGAGGTCCAGGGCACATACAGATGGCTGGCGGGCAGCTGGGAGCCAGTGACCGATCCCGATGCAATCTATGTCAAGATAGACGACGACGTCGTGTACTTCAGCGATAATGCCATCTCCAGCGTTGTCAAAAGACTCACGGACAACCCTCACTTCTTCGCCGTGTCTGCAAATGTGGTCAACAACCCGGCGTTGAGCTGGGTCCATTCGCATATGGGCGTCTACTACCCTTACTGGCCGGTAGGATTGAACCACTGCTTCTATGTCTTGTCCATTAGTGGAGTCGTACTCAGCAAGAAACGCAAAGACTGACTGCTGAAACCAGGAAATGAAAAAGCCTAGAAAGAGTCCTCCCGCCTCCTCCTGGCGCGCCTCAGAGCTGCCTCCTTACAAAGGTCCTGAGTCTGGCCCCAAGGACTTCGCCATCGACGGGTCAACACCGGCTCCCTACAAGAACCACCGCTGGCTGCCCGTCCCACTCCTACAGGGCGAGTCTACCTACGACATCTCCGCCTACCCGGTGTCGACGGCAACCTACGACGCGCACGGCCCCTCGCTGGGCAACTGGGCGCTGGCGGCGCAGGTCCACTACTCGTTCCTGCAACACCTCGAGCAGAATGACACACATCGCTATAAATTCGACATGTGGGACTATGCTTACGACCGCCTCTCTATCAACTTTATCGCTATTCGGGGTCGCGATGTCATGGATTGCTTCCCGTTTCCCCAGCACGACGACGAGGACTACCTCACCGTCAAGCGGCCCAAGGAGCTAAACCGAAGAGTCGTCATGGACGGTACTGGAATCGCTGTCCACTATGCGTTTGGTCCGCAATACAAGGCGCATGATCGCCATGGGCTGGCAGATACAGATCTGTTGCTACGGTATAAGGCGTATGCGCAGGAGATGGTTTGCGACAAACCTAGAGAGGGGTTCGTGACTGCGCCGGAGGAAGAATAAGATGCTGTGGCTGCCTATCTGGTGTGATAAAATGTACACACCTGACATCCAGTACCAAGCTGACATTTCATTATACTACTATATGTACATGTATGAGAAGAAAGACAGATACGCACTTGATGATATCACGGTTGATACTTATATAATAAAATTAAATACGTTTAGAAATTAAGTAATGCTAATTCCCTTCGGGAGACCGAAAAAGCAAAAAAGCACTGATTCAAAATTTGAGACAGAGGCACTGATGAAGAGAATAAGTAAAACTCCTGACATCATCCAGTGCTTCGAACGTGTGAGAGAAGGGAGCAAAGATGAAAAGAAATCATAAATTATCAAAACCAGGGCATACTGATCGTGTGAAGTCGAAAAAAGCAGGGCTACGAGTCCAACATATACAGCAGAATGTTATAGGCAGGGACCAGGTATACCACTCGGCCCGGGGACGTTGCATTCTGCTGCCTCGATCTGGTGCACGCCTCTGCCCTATGGAGAAGATGACGACATGGCTTTCATTTATGTGCAGGAGATAAATAAAGAGTCAGAATCGATCCCGTTTGCCTAGAACCAGTGAAGAGAGCGGCTGATCGGAGATTCACTCTCCATGGCGTCCTCGCGATTCATCCGCTTGAAGGTGAAGACGACCGGCTCTCGATGGCAACCATGACCAAGTCCATGAAACGCATGCAGTCACGGGCAATGCCATCAATAATAATCTTACTGAAAGGCCTCTCTGCTGGCCAAAGATCGTTACCCGACCAGCGAGCGAGCCATAACGATGAATAGAGACACATAGCTTAGGAGTCTAGGGAGTGATGGACGCAGGATATACAGCGACCTAATTCCGGGAATAAGCAAAGCGGCTGTGGTGACTTCCCTGGCTTCAGCGCACTCGATCCTCCATCTTTCACGGTCATCTCCCCAGAAATGGGCACCATAGATCGATATACTTTACCCGTGAGGACCATGATCCGATATGCAACTCCATGCACACGTTCACGGAGCGGACCAAGTTATCCGCGGAAATGAGATATCAAGCGGGCAACGAGTCTCGGGTTGACCTTGTCGCGCATCTAACATCGCTGTCCTCTTGCAAGCTGAGCTGTTGTAGGAGACTCGTGATACTTGTGCCGGAATATGGAGTATAACAGCTTCTCTGGTTTCAGAAAAGACTAGTATTCCGACATTTGGGACACTTCCTAGTGGATGTGATAGATATCTCGCCTCGGTTCCTGCCTCCGTATTGGGCTGGTGGTCAGGAGTCATTGGCCCGCCTAGGGAGTGGAATTTGTTAGAGCCGGGAGTGAACCAAGAAAGAGTGTAGCCATCCTTCGTCGAACTTTCGAGGATCCGGGGGGTTTGCTCAGGTGAGAAAAATCACGATGCTGCGAATCGAAAGGGCAAGAAATGCTTGATGGGCTGTGCAGTGCAGAAACAGCAGAGGCACATGTCTGCCAAGATGTCAACCCACTGCCAAGGCCTGGCCCGCAGCGACAGCTTGCACAGGGATCCAGCAGGAATGATACCCATCCAGGCGTTGACCGGGGTTAGGCCTCTGACGTAGGGACTAGTGCAACGCTGTAGCTTGATTTCACAGCTACTGGACCGCAGCGATTCGCCAGCAGGCTGCCTCGAGAGGGGCGTCTAGGCTTGGTCACTCGGCTGCGCCTCCAAGGCGGCTTGTAGACTTGCAAACTACAAATATCACCCAACGCTCTGTTTCCGGGTCGACCTGCATTTGCCAAGATCAGCCTTGAATTGAATCTCTGAACGGACAGACCACCATCAAGCCTAAACCCAATCTCAAGATCAAGTTCAAGATCAGCACACTCAGCTACACGAAACAATCAACCAAACAACCCATCGCAAACATGGCCGGCACCGCTAGCATCATCCTCCTTATCCTCATCACCCTCTTCTGTAAGCGCCCCTCTCGTGCCTCCAACAAGCTCCCAAAGGAAGCTTTGCTAACACACAATCCAGTCCCACCGGTGGGCGTCGCGCTCGTCGCCGGCTGCGGAGCCGATGTTCTGATCAACATCTGCCTCACACTGCTCGGGTATGCTCACCCCATCTCCCCTCCACTCAAATCTCAATCCTCTCGCAACCCGCAGCTAACCCAACCAACACCAGATACATCCCGGGCCACATCCACGCCTTCTACATCCTCTACGTCTACTACAGTCGCGCGGACCGTCCGACCCCAGAGCGCGCCCCAGGCATCTACTCGGATCGCGTGCAGACCGGCGGCCACGGCTACCCGCAGGGCGGCTACGGCACCATCAACAACCCTCCCCCACCCCAGGGCGCTTAGAAAGTCTCGGCCAGCATCTGCTCGGGCTGCCTGCGCGGCCGCATCTACATGCAGCCGCCGGCGGTGGACGACGGGCACCATTGGGTGTGGCGCCACATCCAGTGGACTCTGCAGCAGGAGGTCAATGGCGGCACCATAAGGTGTGCGTACACCCCGCGGCCGGGCATCGTTGCCGATTGGTGTTGTCACGGGTGCAGGCGGCGTCAGCAGGGCGGCGATGGTGTTGTCGGGGTTGTGCAGAATGGGCAGGCGGCGTGAAGGGGACTGTGGATTGTTTTGATGGTGTTTGTACGAATGGATGATGAGCCACTTGTTTATGAATGATACCTTGCGTTGAAAGATTGCGCTTATTTGATTCTTCTCCGTCCTGGTACGAACAATAATTCTACATAATCTTGTTGATAAGCTTCCGCGACCCATTCCCAGGCTGTCTAGCCAGGCTCATCCAGTGCTTGTGGCCGTTAGTGATTGCTTGATGTGCATGTGGAATGTCTTGGTGTCTCACTAGGCGGGCACTTCACAGGACACAACGACTTGGGACCAATTCTGTTCAAAGCGCTGTTTATCCAGCGTGGATATCGCTAGTTCTATACCTATCTACTAGTAGAACCGTTTTACACTATGCAAAACTATTAACCTCCAGTGTGTATGCGATCGTTTTCTCGTGAGACTTTGCAAAGATTTATGCCAAACCGACCGACCGCGAGGTATTATTAATCAAAAAACGCTAAGAATGAGCCTAGAAAAGCACCATCAGGGCAGCAATGCCCGCCACGAACCCAACAATAGACGTCGCCGCCGCCGGCCTGTTCAGCTCTCCGGTGGATTTGGACGAGCTCGATGAGGAGGAGGAGCTGCACTCGCCAGTGAATTTTGAGGCGCCGTCGCTGCCTGTGGGGATAGCCTGCTCGTTGGTGCCGCACTCGACGTACTGTGCCAGGGAGATCTTCATGTTCGTCTGGTCAAAAACGGCGTAGGCGGACCGGAGGAAGGTGTCGCCGAGGAGGGCCGTAATTCCCGAGTTGGACTCGACGGCCTGCACACCGAGGATGCACGTGTTCGAACCGGCGCTCAGGATGAACTGGCTGAAGGGCACGCTGATGGTGACGCCATCAAACGCAAAGTCCAGCGAGCCGTCTGTGTTCTGGAGGTCGCAGTCCACGACCAGCAGGCCTGACGAGTCCTGCTGCGCGTTGAAGTCCTGGGCCATGTCACTGACGATGGCGGTTGGCAGCAGACACAGGCTGGAGCCCGTGTCCAAGACGACGCTCAGGTCGCTGTTCGAGTACTTGTTGGAGGTGCTGCCGCTCTTGAAGGTCAGGCTGTTCATCTGCGTGGAATACCGCTGGATGTCTCCGCTCGCCGGGCTCTGAATGGTGCTCGTGGCGAGGGACCCCGAGAACTTCTTCGTGTCGACGCCACCAAAGATGATGTTTCCGCCTGCGGTATCGCTCGTGCCCAGCGCCACGGAAAATGCCTTGGTGTTTGTCACACCCTGCGAGGCCAACTGGTCGACAAAGTTGGAGTAGTTGAGGTTCACGCCCTGGCCAAAGCCGAGGCCCAGAATGCCCTCGTTCAGGTCCTGTGACTCGGTCGCCACGCCAAACTGCACCTCCGTCATGTTCTTGCTTGCGCCTGGAATTCCGATGCTGTCGACCACATATTGTATGTTGACAGCACCTGAGCCGTAAACAATCTGCGAGGTCTCCTGTGTGACGTTGGATGTTGTTGAGGAGCTGGGGGTATATTTTCCATCTGATGTGCATTCTTCTTGCTGCTGTTGGGTGAAGTCCCGGTCGTTGCAGTTGGGGTTCACGAACAGCTCATCAGACCCCGTGTCGATGGCGATCTTGACTGCTTGAGCATTGGAGCCAAAGGTGAGCTCGATCAGGTAGCTCGTGTCCTGCTCGTTGATCAGGGATACCGTGGCATCGCGGGCTGAGAGTGTCTTCGATGCTCGTTTTATGGGGAAGGAGACGAAGCCGGGAGATGTGTTGGAGTCGACGTCACGAGTCGGAGTTTGAGATGCGGCGGCAACGGCTGGGAGGGCCAAAGCCAGTAGAGTCGGTAATCGAGGTGCCATTGCTGGTGCGAATTGAGACTGGCTGATGGTGTCCCAAAATTCAACTAGACAAGCAAGATGTGTGTTCCGGCTGAGATTGTTGTAGAAGTCGTGAGAAGAACCGGAAAGTTAAGTAGGAGAGGAAAGCCAACCCGTAGCAAGCCTAGATTGTCAATAGTGACCAAGAGGCAATGTGGCAAGCGGCAGCAGTTTGTTTTTCGAGGAGCCAAAGTACCACAAGCAAAGCCACACACAGCAGGCAGTGATGGACGGGACTGTCTGACTGTATGTAGGCTGTGGGTGGACAAGTGAGCGGTTTTGTTTGAGGCTGAGCAGGCGCGAGGGATCTGGAAGAGTTCAGACGTTGCAGGTCTGGACTCCGGGTGCTGGGTGGCGCCGATGATGCGTTGCCTGCAGCAGGCAGGCTTGTGCAGGGAACCAGGCACTGACACAGTGACACCATCCCTCGACTTTCCAACTTGTCCGACGCCAGCGACGAATGAGACGGTGTTTCCTCACGATGCTAGTGGGGTGGCGTGTGGAGAGGCAACCCAGAGCATGTCAAAGCCAATCCACTTTCGCCAGCCGCGTGTCCCAGGCTTCCGGTACCCGACGCCTTTGCTCGTCATGCAACAGCCAGACAAATGCAAATCGCTGCGCTGATGATGTTTTGAGCTGCCTCGACTTCGGCTGTTACCGAAATGCTAGAATAGGGGCTCGACACCCTCCTCATTTGTCCATACAGAGAGTAGGCCGACGCCCAGCGATATCATCCAAAGATCAGGAGGATCTTCGTCCTCATCAAAGGCATCCCATCTTCGCTGCAGAATATCCACAAATTTGAGGTCATGGCAGCCTGGGCAGTGCAGCGCACCAAAGCTTTGCCCCATTTAAGCTTCATTAAGCTCCGCCAAGCTTTCTCGGCTCGGGCTGGGAGGGGGGCAAATGCCCGGGCTTCTTCCTGCTTTTGACTAGCCGAAATAATTTTGCATCTCCGCTGAGGCACGTTTTCTCGACTCTCGGACTTCTGCATTCAACAACAGGAGCAAGACTGCCGTTATAATGACCACAATACTCACGAACTGGACGTCCGAAGAACCATTTCTGTGAGACCGGCACTTACGCGTCGGTCTGGGTGGGATAGCGTACAATGCTGCCCTCCTTCCTACGGATAGAGTTTCAGGACGACGCGCCACAGCCACCCTTGCCCACCTGAAGGGCCGGCTGATCGACGCTGAGGCACCTCGACTTCTCCGGCGGCAGCTAAGCACCGGCAGCGGCAGCGCTGATCGTTTTTACGTTTCTCCACACGCTTGTCCATGTCTTACGGTTACTCTCCGATGCGTTGTCTGCCGCTGACGATTGTTTGTGTATGTGTGTGTGTGTGTCTCACCTTGGCCAATGACCAAGAGCGGACACGGTGAAGTCTGTCTCACGAGACGCAGGCGGGCTGGCACATGGCAGACGATCCCATGGGCGGCCTAGTCTCAGAAGAGCACGCGGATAAACGGCCAGCGTCGTCAAGGCTCATGTCTCAGCAACCGCTCCTGGAATAGACATTTTGACGGCCAATCACCGACAGGCAGTTACCTAATTCGGACTCGACATCAAACAAGCAGCTCAAATGTTTGTGTCGTCTCGTCAACTCCATCTTGATTGTGCTCCACAGAGTGCCACAGGCCTGCGACAACGATCAACTCGGCTGCCAGAGGCGAAACCTGATGGTTGTACATGATCGTCACACAGTGGAAGAGCAGCCTGTGATAAACGAACATTGCCTTTTGACCTCTGTCGGCGACGCTCAACGGCCCTCAGCTGGCCACCTCTGGCTCCCCGTCAGTTCCAGCTGCCTCGGAGTCGCCGCTGCTGCAACACATGGGAGCGACACGATCCTAATGATGATTGATCAAGCTGATATACCGTTGTTGGATGTATCCAATCAATCAATTGACCCTTCCAAATGAGAATGCGTACTTGAAATGCAACCCCTTAAGCGACTACCAGCGAATGAGTCGCACGACCTGCTGACGCCGTAAGCAATTTACCGTTTCCAACTCCTGACAATGCGAGTGAAACCATACATTAACAACCCATCTGAGCATCGCACCGTGTTGTCATTAGCGCTCCTCCCAAGCCTTCTAGGCTGAGTACGATGGCCCATCGCCGTTCTCCTCGACCGCATCTTCCTTGGCCTGACCTGTCTTGGAATATAACTTAAACTGCACAAAGATGATCGCGTCCTCGGCAATCGTACCAAGCGAGCCCAACAGCCAGGGCAGAGCCTTGAGAATGTAGGCGCTGTCCTGGGAATACGCAACGAGGCTCGCGCCATAGGTAAGGTTTCCTGTGAGTGAGAGAAGGAAGAACAGGAGCGCCAGGCCTGCGGCACGCATGTCAGCTTGCGGAACAACAACGACAAAACCCTCGTGTGGCTCAATACATACCCTCAGTGGACTTCTCTCGCCAGTTCTTGATGATCTGCGGGATGCGCGCGCACAGATAACACAGCGCGCTGATATATCCCAGGGCCATGCCCACCACCACTACCGGGTCTTTGCCCGCGTTTGCCGGGTCGGATCCGGCAGGGTCCTGCGCATCGTCACTCTTGGACGGAAGCACCTCCCGGCTGACGAACCAGGCCACGACACCGAGCGCGTACACCGCAAAGAGACTCAGCGTGTTGGTCAGCCATGGGCTCCGTTGCGGCGTCTCGTCCTCTCCCGTCACGATCCTCGTCAGCGGGTCCAGGCCTGACGAGCCCCGTCGCACAGAGTGGCGCCTGTGGCTTCCCGGCAGCCCCCCGGCACCGGAGCTCGACCGCCGGCGGGAAAGGAGCGGCTCCTCCTCGGTGGCCTGTGCCTGCAACGAGGCGAGGTGCTCACGGTTCCTCCGTCGGGCATTGATGGCATTGTAGTATAGGGATTGACTGATAAGGATCACATCGGCGACGCAGAAGTAGCATCCTATTGCGACGGCAGAGGGGGCAAGATTCGTAACGAGCGCGCCTGTTACACAGAGACAGTCGGTCAGCTTGGCGGTGAACCAGGCACGTGCGCTTGCGCCGGGCAGGACATGCGCTGCGATAAGAGGTCCCAACAATTGAAATTGGCCCAAAATTGGACGATGGACCTGGGTCTACATACCAGCAAGGTTTGTGATGTCACCGAGAAGCCAAATGAAGAGGAAACCCATTGAAAGGCCATCTGCGCTCTGGGCCTTGTAATTGGTGACAAGCTGGGGAAGCTTTCCGGAAGATTAGAAGCCGCAGAGACCATTGGCATTGGGAAGAGGGTGCTCACAAGCAAACATATCCAAGCGACCAGACTGATGCAGCCAAAAATGCCGGATAAGGATTCACCGATCTGTGTGGAGGTCGTCACGGCCGAGGCCATCTCAGCGATGATTGTGGCCATGACGGAGGATTGAGTGGCAGGATTCTGAGACCCGTCCTGCTATGCCAGACGAATTGGATAGGATATAGGAAATAAGGATAGGAGTGGATATGGGTTGGTGACGCCAGGCATGAGTGTTGAGAGGGGAGTTGAAGGATTTGCTGTCCAAAGAGTCAGGTGGTGATGGACCTGGATCAGGGTCAAGGTCAAGTGGCTTGGATGGTCCCGCGACTCGAATGACTGAAAGGCCTTATCGCACTTCGAGGTTCAACAGTTGGTGCGAAAGATAAGCCCAAGCCGGGAAGAGTTACAGTGGGGGTCCTACCAGATTGAGTTTAACGCGGTCCCAAAGCCTGCAGCTGTCCCGCGATTGTTGACTGCACGGATCGCCAGGTGCTACGGCACCCAGGGTGCTTCTGCAGCGGCAGATGGGCCTGTGACTGCCAGCTTTGAAAGGGACCTCTGCTCATTGGGCGCCTGGCGATTTAGGGGCTGGGAGGAGGGCCTCAGCGGAGATGGCGGCTAAGACCGGGTCCGATTACCTCACCAGCACGACCCTGACGTACCTAGCTAGGCAGCTGTCCCCCTAACCTGGTGCCCACCAGCCCATCTAACCCGCGGAAACACTGGCAATGATCGGAGCAAGCAACTTCACATCACAAGACGACTGAAACAGCGTCAAGAGCATTTGTTTCTCGGGTCATCATTCTTGAGTCAGCGGAAACTAGCAATCTGTCTTAGTTTCTCAGGTAAGCATTACGGTAAGTTGTCTTGCCTTTCGCATGGGGGGCCGTGAGCCGCAGATCGATTCGCTGTCGTTGGTCGTCGATAACGCGCATGTGTCCAGGTTGCCGGATCAACTGACACCACCCGACGTGGATGATCGGCACCTATCCCAGCGCGTACTGCTTTCAAGCAGCTGAACGCAACCATCTCCGTTGCTTCGATTCCCTTTACTTTTACGTTTCAACTGCATTTCTCATGTCATCAGCGCTGTTTGTGTAAATATGAAGCTATCTTGTGTCGCCGCGTTAGGCCTCGTGGCCGTTCCGGAAGCGCTGGCATGGGGAGGTGAGCAACCTCTATTACCAAATGCACACTTTCCAGTCACTAACTTCCCCAGGTTTCGGGCACATCACTATCGCCTACCTTGCCAGTAACTTTGTCCAGCCGCAGACGGCAACCTACTTCCAAACCCTCCTCCGAAACGACACCGCCGACTACCTCGCCAACGTGGCTACGTGGGCCGACTCCATCCGATACACGAAATGGGGCCATTATACGGGCGTGTTCCACTTCATCGACGCCAAGGACCAGCCGCCCTACAACTGCTCTGTCGAACTCGACCGCGACTGCAAGGATGAGGGGTGCGTGGTGACTGCGATCCAGAACTATACCACTCAAATCCTCGACCCTTCTATCCCAGTGTGGCTCCGCGCGCAGGCCGCCAAGTTCGTGGTGCACTTTGTTGGAGACATCCACCAGCCCCTGCACGACGAAGATGTGTCCCGGGGCGGGAACGGCATTCATGTGCTCTGGGAGGGGCGTGAGCTCAATCTCCACCATGTCTGGGACAGCTCGATCGCGGAGAAATGGGTTGGCGGCATCAGGAGGAAGCCATATCATGAGGCCCAGGAGTGGGCGGATGAGCTCACTGGCAAGATCAAGGACGGGGACTTCAAGAGCCAGAGTAAGACGTGGCTGGATGGTGTGGATTTTGCTGATCCTATCAACACCGCTCTGGGCTGGGCGAGGGAAGGCAATGCTTATGTCTGTTCTCATGGTGAGCATCCGTTGTTTCCTCTCGTTCATCTGTTTGTGGCTAGTTCTCGGGCCGCGTCTTGTCTGGTGATCCAGCACGGCCCCCGCAATCACTTGCCCCTTGGGCTTCGTTTCGTGGCGTTATGTCGACCCTTGGAGCGATTTGCTAACACGTATCTAGTGCTTCCTGAGGGACCAGCAGCCATCGTGGGGCAGGAACTAGGTGGGGAGTACTATGAGAAGGCTGCGCCGGTGATCGAGTTACAGGTCGCCCGTTCGGGATTCCGGCTGGCGGCCTGGCTCGATTTGATCGTGGCGGCCCTCAAAGTCGAGACCGAGTTATGATCGAAACCTATATGGACAAGAGCTAGAATCATGTACAAGCTCTTGCGTACTCGATGCTGTGACAAACCACCATTTTCAAGAAGTCAGGGCTACGCAGCGCTCTTCAAGCCCTATCAAACCCTGTGACTGAATGAGAGCACAGGTCTAGTGCTTGCGTTTAGCTTTCTATGAGATATGTGCGATCTGGCAAGTGCAAAACGGCTCACACTCCTTCAGTCTGGGTACAGATACGCGACGACACTTGGCACCTCGATTCGTAGCTGTCGCATCGCCATGTTCAAACAAGTCATCGTGTCGAGCTGCGGCATGGGCCTTTCGATCTAAAGCCCCAAGACCGGTTCCTCGAGTCGTGAAGTCAGTCAGGCAGAGTTATCAGCGGCTTGTCGTGATCGTGAACCGACGAACAAACTGACAAATCGAACCGAAGTCAGGCTCGTGAGAGAGACCGCGCGTACCCACAGACCTTCGACGACGTCGGTTATAGTTGGCAACTCAGGATCGCCAAGTCTACTGACTGTGAGAAATGGAGGCTGTTCAGGCCCGTGACATATATGCAAGGCAGCACGCGTTCCTGCATGCATGCAGCAGAGAAAGTTCGTTGACCAAAGCTTAACGTCGGAGTTTGACGTCTTGTCGACGGCCAAAGGCTATCGGCGAAGCTTGGCGGGCCGGTGTCGATGCATGCGGCCCCGATCTTGGTTGGGCGGGCAAGCGACCGAGAGCGTGGGACATGACCTACTCGGAATGAGGTCATGGTAATATCTCAGCAGCTATAGAACGCAGGGGAGAAAAAGCCAGGGATGCCCGGGCTATTCCCGAATTCAGTTTCGCCGAGAACCCGACCAATCCTACTCTGCGTTCTCCCACCAGGGGCAGTCAAACAGCCAAGGCGTTTTGGGTGAGGGCTGGCTCTTCGCGACTCGACACCTCTGCACCTTGAACGCCCTGCTCTGCTGCAAGTCTTTCGTCTCGTCCGACATCAAGCTCATCAGCTTGGTCTCAACTATTTGCACAGAAACAATTGGCGAGATATATTAGATTCTCAACCACGGAACGAGGATGTTTTCGACATTGCGATCAGCGGCTCCACCTGGTTGAGACTCGACCGTGAGGGTCGCGGCGGCAGAGTGGATAGTCGCTTGTTTTGTTCCCGGTATGTGGAGTGCCTTTGTGTTCCGTTGCCCAGAGCGAGGCCAAGGCCAAGCTGCTTAACCGATCAAACTGTTGAAGCTGGAGGTCTGGTGCCGAGATGCAACAGGGTCGGCCGAACAGTGGTGGACGAGACAAAGACAAGATGACAGATTATCCGATGGTGTTGGCGTTGGCGTTGGAGCGTAAATCTCGGGGTCTGACCGACATACACCTCTCCACACACACACTTACACATACCATACACAGACAAGGCATGATTATTCTTGTGTTGATTAGTAACATACACGCGCCGTGGTTGTGGTTTGACACTATCCCCGACGTCCCCTCCCCATTTCAAACCGTATTCAGCCACCACCCTGTAATTTACGGCGAGGATACGAACATGATCTCCTCTGTCATGTGCTGTACCCTGGGGGGAATCATCGCCGGACTAAACGGTGATTCTCCCATAGCGCTGGCGCGAGAAGAGCAAACTTCGATCGTCGCAGGGGGAGCGAGGTAGCGAGAAAGTACCTGTGGACCAGCTGCTGGTCTCGGTGGGGAGGATGGGCGCAACCATGTCCCACGATTCTGCCTGCTTGTGGTTGGACACCGAGCCACAGTCCAAAAACTATGGTGGTACACTTAGCGCCGCACACAGGCGCTGTGGAGGGGTGGTACCCAGCTGTTGAGGTGCTGGCTCACGCTGGCTGTATCGAGACTGACTGTGTGGCAGATGGCCATATTGGGAGGAGAGACAGGGACAGACAGGGGAGAGACAGGGGGGCGGCGCCGTACCAGCCATGCGCAGAGTGAGGTTCGGCGCGACGGGCTGCCACTGTGTGCCCTCTGCCCCTGCGGCTCACGGTTGCCGTGCCAAGCCGAACTGCGCAGTTTTGTGCAGGCCAGGCGGTGCAGGCCAGGCGGTGCAGGCCAGGCGGTGCAGGACAGGACACGGCAGGGCAGGGCAGGGCAGGGCAGGTTCTGTACCTAGTCGTGCTAGTTAGAAAGCGCTTGGTGCTTGGTCGGCGGGAACATCTGAGGCATGGTTTCGCCTCATCGGCCCCTGGGATGAAAGCCATCCGAAACCCAGCGTGCCTGATCAGCACAACGCGGCCAATCAGCACCGCCAACGGCGCCCTAGACCCGCTACCACAGCCCGCTAACCAGGGGCCCAGTAAATAACCTCTGACATTTTGAGCCGCATCAACGTCTAGGGGCGACGGCGAGAACTCCACCCCAACCTGCACCATCGTCCGTAGTCTTCAGCCTGAACTGCCCGAACGGCAACCGAACACCAGCTCTCGCTTTGCACACAGTCCCCCCAATTATCAGACACGTCCACGATGGGCTTAACGCCTCGGTCCAGCCTATCAGACTGCGCCCGTCATGATCGTCCGGACTGACCGTGCCTGAGATGCTCTGGGGGCAATCCCGGCTTGCGAGCCAGTCTCGCCAGTCCTCGCTACCCTCTCCGAACCCGTCCTGGCCCTGCAGTGCCCTGCAATGCCCTGCAATGCCCTGCAAAACAGACGAGATGGCTGCCATCCGTAGCAGGCCCCTCGGCCCTGGTTCAGGCTGGTACTTGAGACGGTACAACGGCCCGTGCCAAGATCGACTTAAGATGGGCATCATTTTGCTCATCACTTGTGCCCCTTCAGCCCTGCCCATCATCTCCACCCCGTCTCGCATCTTCCATCGCGTCAAGGGTCTGTTCCCTCTAGTCGCATTTCTTCTCGTCATGGGACAGGGGCCCTCTCTCGCTCATGCCCTTGCCTCGAGGCGCTCCCTGATCCCCTTGATGCACTCCTTACCCAAGAGAGGACATCGTCTGTACCCACTCACACTGCATCCTCGGGGGGCGCAGGGTGGGACTGAGTACTCCCGTACACACGGGAGTGCAGGAGCCTGATTTAACCTTAAAAACTTGGGACAGGGATCCAGCCCTGTTGGAACAAAATACTCGACTAGTAGTCGACCCCTGCGTCTCGCTCCGTGCCCGTGGGGCGCTCTGCCTGCAAGGCGGCTCGCCTCCTTTCCCATGTGCGCCCTCCCACGGCGGCCATCGCGAGAGAGACAACAGGCCCGCGAGGGTGGGCACCTTGCCCACTTAAACCACCCCCGGCAGCAGAACTTCTTGGCGATGGGGACAAGCGAAACCAGTCAAGCATCTGAATATAAAGCGGCCGGTCTTGGCTCGCCATAGCTATATCTGAATTCCCCCTCGCTCCCCAGCCCACATTCTTTCACGCTCTTTATCTGTTCGACCTGTCGTCTCATCTACTTCGTGTTGTCGCGCGCTGGTTGTGTATTTTTTACATTCGTTCGCTCTCTTCGTCGGATGTAACGAGGTTTTCTGAGTAAACCTCATGGTCATTCCTTTACACACACTCCAGAGTGTCAACCCCTCTTAAACCTTTTGGTCTGGTACCAACCCTCGTCTACGACGACGGCTTCACTTCTTCAACCTATTACCGACTAACGAGCAATCCTTAATTATCACACATCTACTCAAGATGCAGCTGAACACCCTCGTCTTCGCCCTCATGGGCTTCTCCGCCGCCATCGAGGCGTCTGCCATCCACCGACACCAGGACGGCCTCCTGGTCTCAAGGCAGTTCGGAGGCGGCGGCTTCGGAGGCGGTGGCTTCGGCGGTGGACGCGGTGGTGGTCAAGGACAGGGAGGACAGGGACAGGGACAGGGACAACAGGGGGGACAGGGACAACAAGGACAGCAGGGCCAGCAAGGCCAAAACGGACAGCAGGGTCAGAATGCTCAGCAGGGCCAGAATGGACAACAAGGCCAGAACGCACAGCAAGGTCAGAACGGCCAGAACGGTCAGAACGCACAAAATGGCCAGAACGGCGGCAACAGTAAGTATTATCACAGTCCTCCTCTTTGACAGTAGCGGACGCTACATGAGGTCATGAACTGGCTCTACCGTCAACGGTCGCTAACATTCGTGCCAGACAACAACGCCAATAATGGAGGCAACAGTATGTGACAGCTTCAGCCTTTCAAGTCCTATTCAGGGATGCTTCTCTGCTCACGACTTGTTCCCCTCACTCAACCCCATCATATACTGACTTTTCTGCCGCAGATGGTGCTCAGTGTCTGCAAGCCAATGCTGTCCAAGACGGCTCGGCATCAGATGGACAGGAAGCCGGTGCCGAAGCGGGCCAGGCCGCCTCCATCACGGATAAAAACAACTTCATCAACTTCTGCTCGGGCAAGACCCTGACCAATGGCCTCCAGAACAAGGCTGGATCTTGCAACGGTATCCCCATGGGTGAGATCCCAGCTCAGAACAACATGGCCTCTACCATCATCACAAGTCCTGTGCCCGGCAAGGAGCCTCAACCGAACCAGGACTTCGATGTTAACGTGCAGATCGCAAACATGGACCTTGGCACCTTCACCAACCCCGACAACACCTACTACTCCGCGCCCCAGCAGCTCGGAAATGGAGGCAATGTCATTGGCCACACTCACGTCACCATCCAGGACATGGGCAACTCCATCACTCCTAACCAGCCCCTCGACGCTTCCCAGTTTGCCTTCTTCAAGGGTATCAACGACGCCGGAAACGGCAACGGAGGCCTGAGCGCTACTGTCACTGGTGGTCTCCCCGCCGGTAACTACCGTATCTGCACCATGGCCGGTGCTTCCAACCACCAGCCTATTCTCATGCCTGTCGCTCAGCGGTAAGAATCATCCTGACCTGCGGTTTGTCACATGCCATTAGAAGAGTGTTAGCTGACATGATTGATTTCTAGTGGTGCCCAAGATGACTGTGTGAGAGTGAGTACAGCCCTTGACCCCAAGTTGATCAAGCACCCAAAAACTAACTGTTTCAGATCACTATTGGCGGCAACGGTGGCGGCAACAACAACAATGGAGGCAACAACGCCAACGCAGGCCAGAACCAGAACCAGAACCAGGGCCAGAACGGACGACAAGGCCAGAACGGACAACAGGGCCAGGCCGCACAACAAGGCCAGGCCGCACAACAGGGCCAGGCTGGTCAAGCAGGCCAGGGTGGCCGGGGTCAAGCAGGCCAAGGACAAGGTAATTCCCAATCCTCCCAGGCCTCTGCATCCAGCTCCAACACCGACTCCAATGCCTCTCAACAAGCTGCTGCGACTCCTTCATCTGCCACTTCATCTTCCAAATCAGGCTCCTCATCCTCCACTGGTAAAGGCAAAGGTACAAAGGGACAGAATGGTAACTCCCAACAGGCCGCAACGGCGGACGGCAATAATTCAACCGCTTCCGCATCCGCGAGCGAGTCCGGAGGCAACGCTAAGAGCGGGTCCTCTTCCTCTTCCTCCTCCTCCACCGCCTCCTCCTCCTCCCAGAGCGGAGATGCCATCGGAGGCATCGCCGCCCCGGCGGTGACGGATTCCGGCAACTCCGACAGGCCCTTCTCGGTCAACGGCAACACTTTCGTTAATGAAGGCGCCGCTGTCCAGCGTGCCTGCGCTATTCAGAACAACGCATGTGCGGACGCCGTCAATTCAGGAAAGGTTTCCGGCAAGACAGTCGGGGACTGCAACGCGCAGGAACAGGCGTGCAACGCGAAGGGCGCAGCATAGAGAGCATTTCTGGCAGATCTTGAGTCCTTTTTTCCTCCAGACGCAATGGTGGTCCACTGTCTGTGATACCCCTTATTGGACTGGTAGGCCACCGACCGATCGCTACAGTCTAACTCACTTCGCCACTCTCTATGCTCGCCGTCGGAATTTGTACGCTACGTTGCCTGCCATCTTGATGATGATGGATATGATGGGTCTACGAAAGTTTTTTTTGCACTGCTGCTGCTCCGATGTCACACTATCTTTTTCACGAATTGCTACATTTTTTTCTCTGGAGGAAAAAAAACACAACACAGATATGCTTGTAATTTAGAATGGGACGAGAACGCGTTGACGCTCACAGTCGTCCGGCGTGTGAAAGTCGAATGAAATGGGATGGTGATCCAATTGAGACGAACTCCTTGACAACCCATCGTCCAAGTGATTAAACCCCCAGCAATGCTTACAACCCACCTTTTCCACGGCGTTGAATGTGCGACCAGGCCCCAAAACGCAGGAACGTGGCTATGTGGCCTAGTGCGGCCTGTACAGGCTGGGAGAGGAGATGTCGTCAAACATCGCCAAAACCTGCCGAGGATTTGCCAAGGACAACCTGGCCCAGAAGCGAGAATCAAGAAGATCTGGATCTGCGCTGCGTTGTCTCAGGTTTTTGAGGGACCCCTGTCGTCCACAATACGCGCATGCATCATCCGTACCCACGCGAACTGCTGCGACTCCTAAGCCACGCCGGAACCCCCTGTGAGTCCTGCATGGGAGCATGTCCATGGGGCCTGTTCAGCCCATGTTAAGGTTTCTAATAAATACTCCGGAGAGGCCAGCGCTGCGCGGGACTCCCCCGGCTCTTCACGCCGTCGGCGAGCAACAACTACAATTGACTCGTCAATTCGCCCAGACAGAGAGACTCGGCCGAGACATGATCAGAGCATCTTGGCTGTGATGACATTCCAAATCACCTTTCCCTACCCAGTTCAATCATTTAGATCACTTTTATGATAATCTTTTCAAGCGTGCGGCTTTTCATGAGTCAACCCTTGCAGTGCAGGATGCTGACGGCAACTGGATCGCCAAGATCGCCGAAACAGATCCGCGGTAGGCTCTGGGAAGCCCCAGGGAGAAGAGGTCAGAGTGATCGCTCGGGCATTAGAATAGCAAGACTGTAAAGCCCGTGAGTCAGGCAGTTGTTTGTGATGCGCTAGACGACCCCGCTTCCTGGAAAGTATCGCACATTGAAGACTGAGTGAGATATTGAATCGGTCTGAGGCCCTCGAGCTCGGTATTCCTTCATGTGCAGCACAGATGTTAGATGCTACTCCAGAGTACTGTATGTTCGAACAAGGCTTCATATTATAGAGTCTCGCTCAAGAGGCAGGTCTCTGTTGTTTACGACTTGCGATCCCTTAATTTTGCACTTCTAAGTCCAGCTGGATAGTAGGTTCAGACATGACTGTGACACGCCACCTCATGGACTCCATATTATTGGCTTCCGGGTTTGAATATAGGGTAGGGAAGTTGACCGACACACAGTAGCTTGCACGAATGAATTAAGAGACTGAAAGGATGCGGTATACAGTGCTCAACGTTGTCCGCGCGCGCGCCGCACCGTGATCGCACTGATGACTTTAATCCATCCTCTTGTGCTCACCATCCTTGTTCCATCCAAGTACCTCGGCGACTACATGTTACTACTCAGTAATCCCCACCTTGACAGGACCCAAGACTAACATCAGACGCCATGCTGACCTAGCCTCCGTTGATCAACGTTGGCACATACCGTTGGGCTAGGGCGAGTGACGAGGGCCACATGGCGATCACACGCTAGAAGTCACTTTCTATGTTTAATTTGGTATCTTTGCTCATTGTCTGACGACTTGGCTGATTATACTGTTTTAATTTCCAGAGCTGTCAAAAGAAACCTCCTGCTTGGCACGGTAAGAGATTAATTATCTACACTCACCGAGAGAGCGGGTCAGACGTCACAACAGCCGTTGATTCGTCCAAGAACGGTGGAAGCCCCGGACGTGTTGATACGCTTGCGAAGATATCAAGAGCTCAGAGTCATGGTGTGTTCGCACGAATCATACAGAATTGTATCGACACTGTTCCGAAAATCAAACCCGGGTGGAATCTTCTGAGTGTGTTCTCAACTTCGTAGGCGCAATCAACAATTGCCTCCCACGAAGCTCTCGGTTGTTGAGACCAAAGCACTGCGTGACTTCTTGCGAGAGCTGTTCTGCAGTTTGACAAGAGACACTGCGGAGCATTCTCCACCAGCGATGTACAAACGGGAAACTAGCGAGATGTTGTTGTCTCAGAGCCTTCCGTCAGATGGACACAGAGCCCGAGGTATTAGTCTCATAAATTACCCTTATATTCACTCATGACCGATCTTCCTTATCCATCGAAGTCAATCAAATCATCACTACTGGATGGCTATCCCGATAAAAAGGCTAAAAAAACTGCCAATGCATGGATTTAGACTAAGGACCACACATTCAGAGGAAAGTAGATATCATCGTATGCATTCTTCGGCTGGTCGATGACAATAGCAAAGTGAGTGCTCTAGAAGCGTAATCTTACTGCAGCGCCGCGGAATACTCCGACGGAAGCAAATCTTAGGACGAAGAATATGTAGAACATCGATATATTTACTACGGTGTCCTGGATCCGAGGTAAAGATCCAGAGATTGTGCTCAGCTCAATACTCAACAGAGTAGAAATTCAAAGCACATGTGTATTGAAGCAAGCGCAAATTAAATCGACGCCGTCGGCCGGATAGACACGAAGCTCACATCACAATAACAAACGTCGATTTATATTTGGAACACCGATTCGAGGTGGCCGACTCACGCATACATCTCATTCTCACTTCCGCAAAGGTGACCATGTAGATACCCAAATATCAAAATTCTCAGGTTGTGAGAGTTCGATTGTTTTGGGAACGAGAAAACTCCCCGTAACTCATCTCATGAAGCTAGCCACTGGCAGAATCGCAGGACGTGCCCAGATCCACGAGGATGAATAACACCTCAGGACTGGTTTGCCATTCGCCTAATAATTTCTTTCTACCTCAAAAGAACTTCCTTGCTGTCTCTACCAAGTTGCCACTTGGTAATCGGGTTCGAAATAGATCGAGAGTGAGACGAGTTATGAGGGTTGAAGAGTTTCACGTCGTTCGTCCTCTTGTTACTGTAGCTGCGGCGCAGATCTTGCAGCACAATCGATTCGGAGCCTTTTGTAGAAGAGGTGTTTGTTCCTTGAATTTCCCAAGGCAGTATTGTTGCAGGGTCACCGACATACTTGTCACTGGCCCCGCTCCGCGTTCCGTCCTTAGTAGCCTGGTCCTCGATCTGAGTGAAAGGCCGCGGTTCGTGCGTGACTTTCACTTCCACTTCGCGAGTGATCATGATTTTGTCTATATTGCGCCGCAAGTGCGGCCAGAACACTGGTAGAGAGGCCACAATTGTGGCCAGGTCGACTTCTAGAATCGATAGGATGCAAGTAGATGCGCCATACCAGCTCGGATCGAAGGTCGGGGATGTCGTTGCGCGGGTGTGCACAATTAGGATGAAGCGAACTACCGAACAGATAACAGAACTGGAAGCAGTCAGCCATGCAGAGACCAAATCACGAAATGTGTTACTAGGACTATGCAGCTCAACTAGGAACAAACTTACAGGCCTCCGAGGATGTAGAGACCGATCATGGCTATTCTTGACCTCATCTGGTTGTCCGTTGTCACCCACATAGATTTTGAGAATATGGGTATAGCAAGCACAGCAATGTCAATAGCCATGTTGCAAGCAGCGTGAATAATATCTTCGGCGTGTCAGCAACATTTCTTGGAACCCAAATTGACGTTTTCTGGCGAAAGTCTCTTTGGATTGAGACAGATTTCAAGACCCCCAAGAGACGATATAAGCTTGTACGTACAGGTGGCGACGAAGATGGGGACTTCATCCGAGCCATATCCATACCGTGTAGCAGATTCTTCGAAGTTCCAATGAGCTTCCACGGGAATGCATGGAACCCAGGCCAGGATTGAATATACGATGCCCCAGATCGAGGTGACCGCAATAAGGCAGATTATAGCAATCCTCGTTCTAGGCTGCTTCTTATCCGGATTCTCGTCGAGGAGGCGAAGGTATTGAAAAAGAAGTGACAGCTTTACCAAAGCTAGAGCCATGTTGTAGCATCCATTGCACCACCAGAATGTCTGTGGTGAAGAAGGATCCTGACGTCAGCTGATGCGAAGCGACTATGCTCTTGTGAGGTACGCAAAAAGACCGGGTATGTACTGGTTGCAAATACACGAGGACGTTGTATTACCTTGACGAAATTCGTCATACCAGCTGAGCCCAGCAAGACGAAGTGTTGCCCCAACCCATTGTTTGTCACTATAGACCAGTTCATCAGTCAATGATAGTTCCAGACAGGTTCCTCATGCCACTCACAGATACATGAGCCCACATTAGTTATCCATGTTGTGATCTACACACTAATTAGCAAGGAATCAACGTGTAATCGTAGACCCGCATGCAGATTATACCTACAAAAAGGAAGACTACGAAGATGTCGTCCCACCCAGGGCATCGTGTTACAAAGAATCTGACGTAGAGCCTTAAGCTGACACACAATGATGTGACGATCTGAACCAACAGTCAGTTTATCTATCCAAAATTGTGTTGGGCACCCGATCATCTTACTAGGGAAGTAAGTACTAGACCAAAAATAGTCGTCCGGCGGTTTATCAAAGGCGTTGGCTCATCTAGATTGTCAACGGCACCGATCAGTGCGAAGAGAGACATGACATGCTGTTCCCGAACGGCTGTCACATAAGAAGAAAATAAAAGAAGAAATAGCTACGTTCACGCGACGTTCATGTGTTCCTCGCGACAAAGTGTAAACATTAGCAATGACATAAGAGAGGGAAGAGAAAAAGAAAGTTTTGGGCGGCCGACAAGGAAGCGGAGACCCAACATATCTGCAATGCCAGTAAACTCATCCGGCCAATGCTGATCATTACCTGCCTTGATCATCAAAGTCCCTCCTCGTGCGCAAGATAAATGGAACTCCACTATATGCAACCTTGAGGAACTGCTGCTGATACTACTCGAACGACCTGACCCTCTCGGAAAGTGGGCATGGTGTCCCTGTGCTGACCGCAAACAGAGACGCAGTTCATCTCTCTCCCCGCTCGTTCCCATGTCTACCGAACTGCCGCGAGTCAGAGCGGTGCCTCAAAGTATGAAGGCTCAGCTGTTGAGCCCGTGCGCCCGGGACTGTGAGCACGGAATGATACGTGATTCGGATTATATCCCCGGATGTAGCTCGCAGGGATGTTAATCATGGGTCTGTGATTTGACCAACTCGCAGTTCGCGTATCTCGCTTCAGATCAATGTGAAGTCGAACATTTCAGCGGTTTCGATAAATGTTTAAGCGAAGTATCCTGGGCTGACGACTCAAATTGCGGAAAACCAACAAAAGTTTCACATATCCTGGGATGTCTTAATGCTGTTTCTATCGGTTGCAGGGCGTAATCAGGCACCTAGGGTGCGTTTCTCCGGTGGAATGGACCAGAGAAAGTACAGCACACAGTAAAGCAAAGCCTGACTCAGCGGACTGGTCTTCGCAGTATGATAAGGATTCTAGCGAGGGCAGCGCTTGATTGAAGGGCAGCCCTTCTGGCAGACTTTCGTCCAGGTTGAGCAGCACAAATTTGCGACCAAGGTATAATACACAAACAGGATATCACGTGTCTTCACTCTCTCAGCAACGGCTGATATGGCAGGAGGCAAACTTTGTTGAGAAACTAAGAGCGTATGCAGCCGATTTGCCTTTTGTCAGAAACCTTGGAATAAGTCTAGACTTGGCATAGTCGTTGTCGCCTAATAAGCAACTTCACTTTTGTCATTTAGAGGGCCTCATTTTTTCGTTGTTAGCCACTTACCCATCCAAAAAAGCATTTACGATGAAATGGCCAGGTCCACCAAAAGATAACTTGCAAAGCTGATCACGCCCGCTGCGGAATGTGGTGTACCCATATATATATATGATGTTCTGTGTTCATTACGTGAATTGATCCGAACATGATCCAATACTGTGCGACCCTGGTCGAATGTTTCAAACCCAATAATTCCCATACAAAGGATGGCTATAATGTCTCCCTGAGCGAGGAGAATAATCACGGTACTGGGCATTTCTGCCAGGCAGCTAAGGCTACACATCAAGACTAATGGAGACCTTTATTGACCGACTATGTTGTTTCACGTAATGCGTTTTGAAACATGGTCTCAAGTATTGTTTATAGGACTTTGATGTACCAATGATGCCCTTAGTTCCGCCGCCAGGAGAAAACGAAAGAAGCACTACCGAGATGTCGGCAGTTTTAAAGTATGTAGAATTTTGAAGTGAAGCAAAAAGGCGCAGTTTAGCCGTAGTAGCAACGGCCCTGCCGTCGGTTGCTTGAATGACCAGCATATGAACAAGCTTCTGGGGGAGAGGCAAGCTGAAATCTCCCTCCTCAAGGTCGTTTCGTAGTAGCAGCTGGTGCCGCACTCGAGGGCTTCGCGCCACCAGCAAGCAGTCCACCTAAAAGAGCGTCAAGACCTCCCGCACTCGCTGAAGGAGCGGGCGCAGGCTTGCCACCCGTGGCTGCAGCGCCATCCTTCTGGCATGTTCTACACGTTGAGGTCAATTAGTCATGTGCTTTTTCGGGTGGCAGAGAGCACGTGTTCATTCCGAGTGGATCAGGGCAAGAGTGCTTACCCAAGAAGCTGCCCAGCAGCTTTATTGCACTGGCCGCCACCCTATTGAGCGTGTTAGTATACTTTGCTATAGAAAGTTCGAGGGTTCACTTAGGTAGAGTCACGTACTGAGAGAATACAGTCACCGGCGTCGAAGCATTGGGCTTGGGCCTGGGCTTGGGCGGAGACGTAGCCGAAGTAGAGAGCTGAGATGATGATGAAGGGCCGCATCCTGTCGTAGACTATAAGGAATGGAATGGAATCTTGACTCTAGATTGCCGTGATGATGTGCCCTTGAATGTACGAGGATAAGAGGTACTTGGATTAGCTCGTATTTAAAGATATTCTTATCTGACATGTACAACTGTGAGTGCTGTCGTCGGGCATGTGCGCCGAGGTACGATTCCAGCATTCTATCCATAGGTGTATGGACTAGTGATGTGGTGATTCCGGACTGTGTCGATCCGGCCAAGTGTTCAAGTGCATCGTTTCAACTCATCTCTGCACCTGTTCGTGATGGATCTGGCAGACCGCTAACAGCTGTCAATTCAAATATGAGTTCACGTCAAATCGTAGTGGTGCAGTCATCCGGTCAACGATCTTTGATTATTAGACGGGCCCGGGAGCCGTCTCTCGTGAAGACCGCTGTCGCACTACAGGCCGGAACCCGGAAAAGAGGCTGTCAAAGCACAGCTTGACAAATCGGGCGAACAGTTCGGTCTCGGAAACGTGCTGCTGCGCCATGTCATATGCACTCAGGCTTAAATTATCAGGCTGTAGAGTAGACGCAAAAAGAATGAATGAGCACCCTAAGTAACCAACTATTTCAAATATCAGTAGAAGTAATGGTTTAGTTCCTGCAGCATCGTCATCAATTCTGTGAAAATCATAGTGCTCACCACTTTATGAAATTGGTACGTCCACAACGGACCATCAATCCCCCCCCCCCCCCAACCCACCATCCTTTAAGCAAAGCTGTGTGATCTTTTAGCGAAGCGGTCAAACCAGCCCACTACGCTGGCCATGCACTAAGCGAAGAATCAGATAGACTACGCTCTACTATTTGAGCAAAGCGATGGTAGTGGCGTGCTATCTATCAATCGTCTCCCTAGTGAAACAACTTGGAAATACTAACCCCAGATCCCCCAAACAGCAAGCGTTTTCGAAGACAAGCTATCAAAAAAAGCCCCATCTAATCTTCTGAGCACTCCCTTCCAATTCCTCACAAAGGATCTCAATTACACTATTGTGATGCCAAAATAAGTTCTTATTTACCTTGTGGCTGCCATGGAAGGGGAGGAAGTCCCCCACAAATGCGAAAGAGCTAGAGAGAAGAAAGTCAACCGCAGCTCATAAAGTGGCAGTGTCCTTACGGCTTAGGTCTAAATCAATAGAGAATCATCTACTCTAAGCTTGTAGTTCCTCATCCTGTAACCCCTAATACTGTAATTTCTAGTATTGTAGGCCCCAATTATGCATAGAATCCTAATCTCGCAGCTTCAAATGCGTAAAAAGCGTGTGACCACTCAAAATCACCACCTCTATCTATGTGTACAGCAGCACAGTAAGTCATGGGTGATGATTTGGGTATCGATAAGACTCGTGATCGCCTTACGCCTTCGATACCAACTCCTCTACCGTTTCTTCTTTCTCGATAATCGCTGGTGGCTTGGCGATCTTTTGACGGAAAATGTGTCGTTTGATGAAGTATGGAAGCCAAATAGTGAGCTCGTACGAAATGAAGCTCTTCGTTGGAACCGAGAAGACCTCTGAAAAGAGTCAGTGACAAAATGTCAAAGTGTGTGGCGTTTTGCTTACGATCGATTTCCTCTAGCGTAAGTTGCTTAGTCTCTCTAACAAAGCAGAATATCATGAACCAGGCAATCAAATTTAGACCTGCATAGAAGCCAACTGCATAGGATATTAGAGACGGTCTCATTCGAAGTCGTTACCCCGGAAGCACTCACAGGCACCCGTTGGTGTCATCACGGTCTGCATTCGAGGAAACGTAAGACTTAGAATTCCGGCTAGAAAGGTCAGTTCACCGAAGCTCGCCGAAATCTACAGGAGCCCTTACCAAAAGTGTTGTTGATACAGACAGCCCATGCCATACCCTGCTCTCGCTGAATGGTTGGGAATACCTCCGCAGAGTATTGGAAAGCCACTGGACCCTCACCAAGAGAGTAACAGATGGTGAATAGGTAGACGAATCTGGAATTACCTGGTCAGTCTCACCCTAACGCACGAGAGCTTTGGTTCACCTACAAAACGACAGGTCCCAGCCGTTCTGCTTTGGTTCCAGTGGTCTTCAACAGAGACAGGCCTCCGGCCAATAAAAATAGGCACATGAGGGGGAAGGTCTATCGCACGATTAGCTGCGCCTCAGAAAAGGTGACATGGGTGAGAACGTACGGCCAAGGTCAATGTCCGTCGTCCTTTAGTGTCAATCAAAAAGAGCGTAGGTATCGTGAAAACGACTTGAATGGCGCCGTAGCCTAGGGATGCGTACAACGCCTGTTCTGCGGTGTACCCGAGATTCTCAAAAATTGACGAGCTATAGAACGAGATGACTGGGCAAAGTTAGCACTGAGACAGAAAGATGGGGCGTGCATGACTGACTGTTTATACCGCACATCTGCTGCGCTAACATGACAGTCGATGCACCATAGTTCGCTCGCCTGATCCTAGGCACTGAAAAACAGTCCCAAAGACGGGAGAAGTAGGTAGAGCCCGCAGACTCTTTGCGCTCCTCCTCATAAATGACATGGGAGTAGTAAAAGTCTCTGGCGGCGATAATTGGATGACTTCTCAGTCGCAACATCGATTGAAACGCTTCGGCGTGTCGATTATTTTTCATAAGCCAACGAGGGGATTCTGGACAGAAAAAAATGCCAATGCCGAGGATGAAAGAAGGGATGAAGGCGGATCCAAGTTGTAGGCGCCAGGCTATATCACCAGTGTCTTTGACAATCACGTTGGCACAGAACCCCAGAAATATACCTATTAGAGTTAGTTTCATGGATCCTTAGAGAATAGAACAGGCAATCCCACCTGCTACGACCCAGAGTTGCCAGAACATGACAAGGGCTCCACGAATACGAGCTGGTGCCATCTCTGCAGAATAGATGGGTACGGTGGCATTTTTCGCACCGATACCGATACCCATAACAAAGCGAGCAGCGAACAGTCCTTGCCAGGACTTTGCGAAACCGGATCCAATTGGAGTCGCGGTCAGACAGCAAGCCGTGATAAAGATTTCGCCTCGACGGCCGAAGTATTTGTTGAGTGGGTCGACAATGAAAGCACCGCTATCCAGAGTGTGAGAAGAGGTAGACCCTATCATTGACGAAGAACTTACATGAGGCCTGCTGTCAAGAAAATAATGGCGTTGATCACACCGACGATCCATTCGTCTCGGCCTTTCTCATTGATACCGAACTCCTTAGGGAATGACAAGTTGGCACCATTAGAGCCAGTCTGATCCCACCCTTGAGTGGCAGCCCCAATTGCGCAGAGGCCGATCGAGTACCACAGCATCTTGGGGCCATGCCATTTGTGGGCTTTCTCGTAAGCAAGCGCCGCGCGTTCTGCTTCCTCGAGCTCGGAGACCGTGTCGAACTTGTCTGGGTCGCGGGCAACGAGGGCGGCCCGGCTGAACAACGAGGCATGCTCGCTCAGCCCGTGGGACTCCGCAAACACGCGTGCATTTTCGGCGGTTTGTTCGTGGGAAGTCCGCTTCAGCGGATTCTCGACGATGTTCACGGCAACAGACTTGCGGCGACCGCTTGTGTCGCCAATATGGTCCACATTGGTTTGTTTTTCCGACATTTTGACCTGCAATTGAAGGAAGAACCGAATAAACCGGAGAAGGTTTCCAACAGTTTAAAAATCAAGGCCCGAGAACGGAAATCAGTAGAGAGTGGCTTATCTTAAGGCAATTTCTAACCACTTGCGTCGAGAAGTGATGTGCGGATCATCTACGCAATGCGGACTAGGTCATAAGCATACAATGTAAGCTGCAGGCCCAATAGCACCCCACGGGGTTACACATGGCAGATCCTTCGAATCCGCACGAACCTGGAGACATGACTTGTGCTCTGCTTCTCGGGAGCAGCTCGGTGTAAAACCGTCCCGGGATCGCGGTCAAATAACATCATGAGACAGGCTCTACAAGGGACTCTCACGTAAGGCCAAAATCAAGGATATGCCCCTCACTTCGTCTCATGCCCAATTGCCAAGCATCAGTCCCCCGCCTATAGCAGAGTGTCTCCGCGACTTTTCTTCGGTCATTGGCAATATCAATGAATAAGTCACGGCTATTAAAGTCATACCGATTGATAAAAATCGTATCGTGACAAGAGCTCACCACTTCACGCCGAGCTTCAACTTCTTCACAAGCTTCCCCAAGAGTTGCCCAAGAGATGTGGAGGACTAAGCTTTTCGCTAGCGCCGACAATCGCCGCGTATGTCGCCGTTTGCGGCTTTTTACTAAGCATTCCGCGTGCTCGCCATGGTCGCTGGACAAAACCTCTCGGCTATCCTTGGCACAGGACATGGCTGGAAGAGAAGGTTATTTTACTTCTGTGATGTCTAATCAGGGCAAAATCAAATACTCGAGCTGTTTGCACAGAAGGAGTCATATTCTTCGCTGAGTGATGCGCCGACTTATGCGGCAACTTGCATAAAGGATGGCTTACTGATTTCTGAACTGGCACAACCGCTCGCACGATTCCTCGGTTCCTTCGGAGATCGCCTTGTTTTCCTGACCCGGAAACGGCATGTCCCCGTGAATCCGAGCAGTTTGCGGGGTTCGCGAATCTTCAACTGCTCGAAATAATTGGATAACTTATTTACCTCACCTGAATATATGCCAACCTCCCAGCAACTCTTCCAGTCGGCCAGCGACGGCATTAGACCTACGAATACGAATCATGTGGCCTAATTGTGCTCCACTGAACGAGACACACTCATCGAGGAGTGGACAATTTCCGGGGTTTAAGGCAGATATGTGGACTCGCTTGCTAAACCAGCAAGACGGGGATGGCACTGCAGGTCGTAGCTCTAATGGCTTTAAAAATAACCCAAGATCTGGATGTATGCAACAAATGCGAACGTTGGTATCTCCCGACTACTATGTAGTCTTTTCACACAGGATTGGGTTGCATCGCATAATGGGTTCCTGTGTTGGAGGATGTACTTGATTGTGATGCTACCCAATAGATCCTATGCCGGGAGCTGACTCTAGCTTTCCAACGCTAGCCTTCTCTTTACAAGAAAGAAGAAAAGGCTACCAATGCTAAGAGCATGGTAAACACGGACCGTGACGGCACAGTCACATAAGACTGCACTGTATTTCAGCAGGCGTTCTGGAATTTTGGCCCATTGGTAGGAAACCGGCCGTGGCTATGTTCTAGCGGTCCTAGGCGTTGTCTCAAACACCAAGTCCAGCTAAAGCATCTTAGGAAGCGAAAAATGCACAAAGCTTCAGTCTAATCATTGTTGTGCTCTTTTTTTTGTAAATAAAAGAAAAAAGACTGAGAGGATCTCTCTAATTGATAACTTTTACATTGTTTTCAGAACTGGCAGAAGGCAATTCAATACTGCAGCAATTAGTGTTGACAGTATCATGGGTACTGGCTTACACGTCGGAGGCTAGTGATATTCACTGTGATGGGAAGAAGTCACGTATTGTGTAAGTGGAGTGAACATGAGGTCTACACCATTGGAACTCAAGTCGCCGTATCAGTCTGAGGGACCAAGTCTTTAAAACACACAGAACTGTCCCTTGATTGTTGGTGTGGCTAGTTGTACGCCAGATCACCAGTGCGGCCTATGCGGCAAAACAGCGGCAGCAACTCAGATCCGAAGCTACCCAACTACATGCTTTCTTCGTTTATGATAGGCTCGTTTTCCTCGTTTTCCCCCATATTCTATGCTAGCTAGGCTGGGATATCTACAAACCCTAGTTCTCCCAGTTTTTTGAGTGGACTTTATGTCATCCAGCCGCAACGTGGCTTGTCATATATTGTCCTAATTCAAAGTCCTCGTGAAAGTGTTCTGATCAAAACTAAACCTGGCTCATTCCTTGTCGTGTTCAGACGTCCAGGTTTGAACTTTCTCCTTTCTACGATAGTTCGGGCCAAAGTCCAATACAGCTGTACAGCACCAGACTTCACTGTGGCTGCACGTGTGTATGTGGGTGATCTGTCATTGAACATGTAGATGTGGATTGTACTATGTCAATCTAGAAGGAGCGTGGTGGGTATTTTGCAATGACAATAATCCAGAGACCCAAACAGAAAGAAAAAGGAGTGACCAAGCTATGTTCCTCCAATCAATGCCAGTTATGTCTTCTGGTATCCGTTCCCTAACGCCAATCCTTGCCCATATTCACTCTTCTGCCTCGTCGGATGTTTCCTATTGCAGTGGGATATGGACCATGTGCCAGGCCTACTCGCCCACTCCTCGGCATCCTAACTCTTGATACTCTGCAATATCTTAGGCCCTCTCGACATGGTTGACCTCGGCCTGTTCATAAGAAGGAGGCAGACCCTCCTGGTTGTCCATCAAGCCCGACTTTTCCTCATCGGCAGCAGCCTCCATCTGTGCGGCCTTGTGGTGGCGTCCGCCTGGGTGAAGACGGCAGCGATGTTGAGGGAAGAAAGACTGGCCGCGGACAAACTTTCGGAAGAGACCAACAAGGACGGTTCCAACCAACATGCTCACGACGGCAACAGTGACTCCGGCAACAATGCCCACAAGGACAGGGAGGATGATGTGCGAGGTCACCTTGCGGAAGAACAAAGACCAGCCATTAGGACGGTTGAACATTCCGTATTGCTCGTCGTGGTGGTGAGCAGGTTGGGTATGTTCGTGACCGGCCTTGCCGCCCATCATGCCAGCGCAGCCGTGCGACTTCATTTTGTTGAGCTTATCGGCGATGATAGCCTTCCACTTGCACAGCATGGTGGTGCACTCTTCACCCTTCGGCGATGAGACATTCTCAGATGCGGTCTGCTCAATCTTGGCGATCAGGAGGTCATCTTTTGGTGACTTGATCATGTTGATACGTATGTTGGGAAGGCCCTCGACAAATACCGAACCGACTTCGATAATCTGGAGGTCGAGAACGACGAGATCCAAGTTGTCGTCGGCCGTCTTCTGGACAGGGTGGATCTGAAGGCCGAAACCGAGTGGCTGCTCGACAACCTTTGGTCTCACCTGATGACCTGGTCTGAACTTGTGATGGCTAGGAAGAACCCTGGAGTTGTCCCCATCGCCCTGTGTGTGTTTGTCGTGTTTCTTGTGGTCCTTGTGATGCTTCGGCTTGTCGGCAACTTGTGGGGCGATGAGAACGTTGGTAAATGGGTCGGAGTTGGGGTACAACTCGAAGCCGTTGAGCATCAGACGGTCGGACTCGGCGGACCGATCAACAGAGAAGTCGAGCTCGAGGTGGCTGCTGTGCTGCTTATGGTGCTTCTTAGGCTTTCCATGGTGGTTCTTGAACACGGGAGGGCATCCAGGGCAGTCAAGACTGAGTGACTGGGTCTGTGCGAGGGAGGCACTCTCGAATGGAAGCGTCTCGACGACTTCGGCGTCGTGTGAACTTATCTCGGGGGGAAGTAGGAAGGCGTGGGTGGCGGCAGAGAGGCCAGCCACGGCGAGGAGGGGCCGTAGTAGCATTGTCGCAGCTGTAGTTTGTGATCGGTGGTGGTATGACGTGGGAGACCGATGGATAATGAAGACGAGACGCAGTTGTTGTTATCAGGGGGGCGTCTCGGCTGGTGAAAGGATGGAGGCGATGAATTTCGTGATGCTTTGATGTGGTGGTTATGATGTTGATGGAAATGGTAATAGAAGAAAGAAGAGGCCAGCCGTCGGGTTGAAGTGTGAAATGGTTGTTTCGAATTAAGAATAGATTTGGGCCTTGGGAAGTGGAAGGCGCGGAAGATCAAAGGAGAGCGAGCGAGTGACATGGATGCTTTGAGCAAGTGATGAAAGTGACATGTTCCAGCCCGCTGCTCAGGCGACCCGACCTGCCCCCGTCCAGCCCATTCAGCCCGTTGGGACCCTCAGTGGCTCCCCTGTATTGCTGATTGCCCAGCCTTAGAGACGTCTGGCTGGGCTGTCTGGCGGCATTTGTCAGGGGATGCGGTGTTTCGGCACACGAGACATCCCTGTCTGGTCTCGTCATTGCTGCCTCAGGCACCCAGAACACTGCCGCTACAGAGGACCCTTGACTCCACTCTTCATGCCTACAGTGGGCCAGTGGTCGCGCTAGGTACCTACAGTACGTTGTCCACGCACCTACGTAACAAGTGCATGTGCATGTGCTTGCATGCAGAACCCGCACTGACGGGCTGCTTCAAAGACAGTCAGACTGCACATCTCAATCTCCATCTCCATCTCAACTTGCCTCCCGCTCAGTCGACGTCATTCTCATCGACATCTGTCAAAGCTCATCTTTCTTTTTCTTCTGAGAATACATCTCTACCAAATTTATCACTGAGCAGTGTAAGCTATCAGGGCCTTCCCAATCCTGTGAAAAATGACAGCGCATGCAGCTTGCAGATCATGCGATGCTGACTTCCGCTGCATCCGAGGGTTCCCCAGCTTGCAGTCCAGGAACCGTTAGAGCCGCCTTATCGCTCTCGCTCAGGCACCTACCAACTAGCATATCTCAAGCGTTCTGGTGCCTTCTACAATGCATCGACCAATTCGACCACGATCTTCCCAGACCTGCACTTGGGACAACTCACCCGTTCAGTTTCATCAACTCTCCGTCTCTACTCATGGGCACGCTTGCGTCCAATGATCGAGGCATCAACGTGCCAGCTCACAACGTCCTCAAATTCGGGTCAACCCCGGCAGCGGCTACGTAGATCCTCGCGTGTCCCAGAAGCTGATTCATCCGCAGACGAACTACTATCAAATCAGATGACGTTGGCTGCAACCGAGGAATGGCCCGTGTTATGCTTAACGCCCACGAAGCCACTAACAGGCATTGAAAGTGATATAGCCTACACAGACCTTCCATGTCTGCATTGTCGATACTGCATATACTTCCATGCGTATTGCTGGCACCGTCTAGGAGACCAAAACAAGGCTGACTAACTGGTGTCCCCTCCAAGCTCGCATAGCGTCATTGTATAGAAAAGTAGACAGTAGTAGCAATGACAGCGCATCACGTTGCTCAGCTCCTGCTGTACTTGTTGCTTCTTATGAGACAATGTCTTCCCTACCATTGGCAGCCTCTGTATGCTGGCACACGAAGTTGAAGTATCGTCCATGGTGTGTAGTGCTAAGTTGACAGAGTATGTTCAATGTGCAGTGCAACGTTTGAGGCCATGTCCTCGCGCCTGCTCTGTGTGGATGTTGTCGAGAACAGGCTCCTTCTGCGCCATCAACTTGCCGCAGCCGGGCGTGGCAAATGGCCGTCACACTTGCCTGTAGTGCGGGAGCGCTAGAGATGTTATATGCTGCTTTGGCTGTAAGCTCTCTGTTTTACTTACCCCCATATTTTGCTTGATTCTGCGAAACATTGTGCAATATAGATGCCGGAGGGTGACCAATGGAAGAGAATGAATTCCACATGTAGAGGGAGTGTGACTCAATGTCCGCTACTTGCAACTAAGCTCCCCACAACCATAGTGGTGGAGAAAGCGGCCAAGGGAAAAGGGGGGAGCAAGTGGCTGTTATTTGAAGATTTAAATCCCTAGATCCTGGTTTCATAACCTGGTACGACTGCCGGGTCTGTCGTCCGGACCCAGTCTGAGATGTTCAATTCGGTGTATGAACAAAGCAAACCGACTCGTACAGTTTCGGACCCGGTCTGTTTGGAGTCATGTCTTTCTAAGCGATGCAGCCTCCACTCGAAGGAAGTAGCAAAGGCCGAAGTCGCCCAAATAACAGTGTGAAGGGCTCTGCGGCTGACAGAATACTGCTGTCGAACTGAATCGGGTGCACTTCTGCCCACTCTGCGAGTGAAATGCGGCTGAAGAGATTTCAAGGAGTCAACAATATTCTATCGTCCCAAAAGGGGGCCTCAGAGAGCGCCGGGAATAATCTAAAGGCTCTCAGACACGCTATCTCCTTGTTCCACCTACAGGGGACGGACCGCATATGAGCTATGTGGGACGAGATCTTGCTTTATGGATGGGCGCGTTCATATTCCTTCGTACTCTTCTGGGTCCGAAAAATCCTGATCAATCAATGTCACATGCAGACAGGTGAGTTGACTAGTAGAGAGTGGAAGCCATCAAAGACACTATCATCTCTTGATGATAGATGATTCAGAGGGTCGTATCTGCCGGTGTCGCTAAGATAGCTTCAGTGCTTTACAGAAGCAAGATCCTTCGGAAAATTTCTGACAGATTTTTTGGTTCGGAATGGAAGCAAGGCCGCGGAAAGTTCCTCCTGGTCGTAGGCCCGCAGCAGGGTAGAAGCGAATTCCGGGATGAGCGCCCGGAAGAAGAGTCACGATCACGGCGGTGCGGTTCCGGAGATTATACGGCTTTTGCGGAATGCCCTACACTGGTATAATGTGAGCACATTGCCCAAGTTGAAGCCTTGCTTCGACATCCAATATGTCTGAACAAATGTCCAACTTGATATCTCTTAAGTTTGCAGTCAACTTGACAGTAAGTTGATGATGGTGTTCAGAAGCAGTTAGGAAAGCCTGCAGCAGTCGAGTATTGAGTTGGCAAGCGTTACCATAGTCAGCCTTGCCACCGGCTGAACATGGGACGAAGGAGCAGGGCTGGCTAAACAAAGAAAAAGTTCAGCCCATGCACATCGTACAGCCAGCTCACATGACGTATCCTGCAGAGATCATCCTGATAATTCTTGGCCGAAAAGAGACTGCAAAAAGTGCTCGGACACCTGTGAAGAGATTAGTTTCGGCCGCATGCCCCAGATGCGGTTTTGACAACCCTCCGGCCGCCTTAAATTCCCGATGATTGTGGCTTCCAGAAACTTTAGACCCCGGATTCACATAAGATCCTAGCCGGCACTTGGGACCACATGGCTGGTCCGACTTCGCGAAATTGACGTGCTGCGGGCTGCAAGTCATGCACCGCGCACACGTTTCTTTGACCGGGATCAACGATGCTTAGATACGAAGAACGAACACTGCCTTCCGACGTGAAGCCCTACGGGGCTGCGGACTGTCACACTATCACGCACAATTCGCTTCGGTTGTCCCTTTGGGATACGACATTCATATAATTCCTTCTTCGGGGCCGAGTGCAAAAGCCACCCTTGGTCCTTTGCGCAGCATGAAGTCCACGGTGATGCCGTTATCTTGTCTGCGTATACACATACACGTGCCCCTTGCAGCCCTCCCTGTCACAAATATCCACCCGGATCCACGAGTCAGAGGATCTTCACTCGCCGCGCGAAAATCAACGCATCCCCCGGAGGGCTACGGGGCAGACTTGGCTCCAGTAAACATGTACTTCGCTTATGGAGGAGAAAGTTCAATTCGCCATGATGTTTCAAGTCAGACCGTGGGGCCGCCAAGTCGGAGATAGATGTTGTGCTTTGCTCCCGCCCAGACCGTATCCTCAACGGAACGGCATTCACACGTTCTTTAGAAAGGCGAACTCTTCTTATAATCACATTATCTGTGTTCCTGCCGCTCCTTCCGACCACACGGCTGGTCTGATGTTTCGTTCGTTTGTCACTCCGCTCCTTAGACGATACCATTATCATGGGTGTCCAATTCCCGCTCGAGAAAGCTGGGCAGCTATCTGTTTTCGCAGTTGCTCTAGTCTTTGCAGTACTGTCTTTGGTTGCCACGGCTCTGCGATTATGGAGCCGTCATAAGCTGGGACGATCATTAGATGCTAGCGACTACTTGATGATTGCTTCATGTGTAAGCTACACCGTGATCGAACCCGAAACAAAGGCGACCCTTCTCTGACATCTTTCAGGTAACAACAGTTGGTCTATCGATAATCATCGAGCTCGGTACGCCCCTCTCTCAATTTCAACATACGGAACATAGCATTGATTTCTTGGTATAGCTATAATCAACGCTGGCTTGGGCTTCCATGTTTCAGAGATCATCGACAGATTCGGTGTCCAAAGCGGATCAGAACAGTTCCTGATTGTAAGGTCAACCCCCATGAACCTGCCGCCCAGATCTTGCATTGCCATTAGGTACTGACAAAGCACAGTATCTCCTAGCCGCTCGAATAACCACAACTCTAAGCCTCGCCTTGAGCAAACTCTCCATCCTCGCGTTGTGCTGTAGAGTTTTTACTGTCAGATGGTTCCGCACTGTGGCACATTGGACGATGGCTGCCATTGTGCTTTGGTAGGTGCTCCAATTGTCATTGACGGCAGCGGCACCAACTTACAACTTACGTTTGTAGGGCCATTGGAAACCTTTTGATTATATTCCTGATCTGCCAGCCACTTTCATTTAGCTGGGACAAGACCCAAAACGGTATGCACTTACTTTCTCTTTACATCAAGTCAATGCAGTTACATATGTTCCATCAGTGCTCAATAGATTCTGTTTTGGGGCATGTGAGAGTTGGCCACAAGGCCCCTTGACAGCCTTGGGGGTCCTCGGCTCCGTTCCATCTCCACTTTTCGTATGCGACGAAGGCTAGAGCTAACCATCATTCCTAAAGGTCATTGTGGTCCCTCCACTGAGCTTTGGATTGTGGCAGGATCATTGAATATTCTGACAGACCTCATTGTGCTCATTATCCCTATGCCTTACCTCTTTAAGCTGGAGATGACAATGTACAAAAAGGTTACTTTGATGGTAACGTTTGGTATGTGTTCCCCGCCTAAATTACGAGAAACGCTGCTAATGTTTGCTAGGTCTCGGGCTGGTGTAAGTTGACGCAGGCTTCTATAACTCAATCTCATGCATTTCGGTTAGCTGACCAACCATTTTACCACAGCGTCTGTATCATAAGTGCCGTCAAAGTCGCCCTCCTACCATCCGTCGATACCGGCGACATCACATTCTCGATTCAACACGCCATGATCATGACAGTCCTCGAATCATCGCTTGCCGTGGTCCTGGCGTGCATCCCGGTCTTACGTCCTCTGTTTAGGAGTGCGGTATCCACGCTTCGGACAAAGAGCGCGTTGGGCAACTACAGTACCGCGGCCAGGAAGAGCCAGAAGCCGAGAACAGGAGGCTTTTCGGTGATCGAGGAACAACCACTGTCTTCAGCTCCTGCGCCTCTGCCGAGGAGGCCTGAGCTCACCTACTTCAGCGCGGAAGCTGTAAGAGCTAGTTGCAGTGAGAGCAAGGATGGTGAAGATGTGGAGATGGGAGGCATTACTGTGAAAACCGAGTTCATTGCAAGGTACAGTCATGTTAGTGCCCTGTCATAGCTCATTTTATATGTTTTGAATCAGGAGTAGCTCGCCAGGATACGCTGGTTCGTGTCTACGTTGCCTTTTGAATGCATAATTTTGCTTGCTTTCTTCATTGCTACCTATATGGACGACCTGAATATTCAGGCCTGGACCTCATCAGAATCCACTAGGAAATGCTTTTCCGTCATGTAGCTAGGACCGGCTTTATTATCTTATCATCCTTCAGGTCAGCCAGCACTTGAGGCAGATCCTCCAGCTTGTAGTGAGAGAGTAATCTGTCGAACGGAAATTGGCCAGCCCTCCAAAGCTTGATCAGATATGGTATGAAATTTTGCGACACAGAGTCACCTTGATGTGTCCCTCTATAGGTCAATCCTTTGACAAGCATCTCGTTTATATCCAGAGGAGCCTGTGTGGCACCACCACCGATGGTGACCACCATTCCTCTTTTTTTGAGAGCTGTACAACCTTCTGCAATGAGATTGCCATTTCCAGCACAGTCCAGGGCATAGTCAACACCTTGCATAGCAGTTAATCTTTCGATCTGCGCTGCAACTGACCCTCGTTCTAATCCCGATGAGCATATGGTATGAGTAGCGAGCCCCGACGGGATCAAGTCGAGCTTCTTCTGTGAGATATCAATGACAATCACATGAGATGGTGAAAACAGCCTAGCTGCCAGCGCTGCGGCCAGACCAACTGCACCAGCGCCAAAGATCGCATAAGCAGCACCTGGGGAAGGCCTGCAGACGTTGAGCACCGCCCCTGCTCCCGTCTGCACCCCGCAACTCAGCGACGCAAAGAGCTTGAGCTCGTCCTCGGTTGCATCTACCTTCACCGCGCTGGTCTCTCTGACTAGGGCCTGTCGGCCCATAGAGCTTTGGCCAAAGAAGAAGGCATTCAGTGGCTGGCTATCCTCTGCCGTGGCAGCTTTGCTTGTGTCGCTTTCTTCTCGCAACCCTCCAAAGTTTAATTGATCCATCCTCTCACAGTAAGGATTGTTGCCTGCCACACAGGCTCCGCAAGATTTGCAGCTGCTGTAATGCAGAACGACCTTGTCCCCCGGCTTGAATGCCGTGACCTTGGCGCCGATCTTTTCCACAATCCCCGCACCCTCGTGGCCCAGTATCATAGGCGGCTTCATGAAGAACTTGCCCGCAGCAGCCTTGATGTCCGACGCGCAGACTGACACTGCAACAGTTCGAAGGAGTAGCTCATGGTCGCCTATATGATCGTAGTGGACAGTTTCAAGCGTGATTGGCCCGCCGGGAGAGCGGACCACGTATGATTGGCTTGTTAAAGACATGTTGATAGCAAGTGATCCCAAAGAATGCTACTTGAGTGCGAACTTGAAGTCTCTAGAGGCTTCCAAATTCATTGCACAAGCTTACAGAGCAAGGAGAACTGGAAGAGCGCCAGAGGAGCTAAAGGGTGAAACGATGACACGGAAGCTAGGAGTGCGGAGAATCTATGTAGGGCATCCTCGGGAAGTGTATCGGCTGACATACCGGCTCTACTGAATGACGCAAAGCTGCAGATCCAGTGACACAATAAAGTTGAGAGAGCGATATAGTTCACTTGGTACCCAATGCAATAGAATTACTTGTTGCTTCTCTTTCCGAGGTGTTGTAGCCAACATTTCAACTGAGGAGTCCGCCTAAACTTCTTTAGACTCGAAACAAAGACTTTTTGATTTGTTTAAAAAGAAAAGAAAGAAAAAAGTGATTGAAAAAAGGAAGAAATCGTCTACTGGCTACACAATAGGTGAAAAGAGATATGTGTCTCTAAGTCAATGGTCTTCAAGTAAGAAAACTTGGGACAGGACTCTCTGCATATGCTATGGAGGAAGTCTTGAGCGCGGTATCTCAGCATCTACAATCGATTATCTCCGTAAGAAGAGCAGTCTCCGGGAAGAGCCTACCATTAGAGAAGAAATAGTGTTCCAAACAGAAGGAGACAAAATAGCAAAAAGGAAAAATGGGTGCCTCTATATCGTTGCCAGATCTTGGAAGGCAGTATCATTTTTTAAGATGATCTCATGCATTAGCTGCTTACTCGGTGCTTGGCAGTCTTAGAAACCTTTAATAAATCCAAGGTGAACAGTATAACATTTATATTTATATTGTAAAAGGACTCGAGGAAAGATGATTGTACCTATTGCGATGGTAGTATGTGACGGGTATAACGGAGATTCAAAGGAAACAAATCCACCAATTCATCGCTGAACGCCTAATACGGGAATGAAAGGTCATTAACATCCGGCGAAACTTATTTCGCTTCGCCCTTCGCAACCAGCTTGCTCTTCTCCGCCGCTGTGGTCGCCACCTGCGAGATGCTCGACGCGTTGGTCATGTCGAACACAGACACCTCCGCCTTGAGCTCCTTCGCTATCCACGACCGCAACTCAACCGCAACCAGTGAGTCCACACCATAGGCGTGCAGCGGCTTCCCAGCATCTAGGTTTGACACATCCACGCTCAGGACACGAGATAGTTTGAGCAGGAGGGCCTCAAGAACCACCGCCTCGGCCTCCTCCGGTGACTTGGCAGCCGTAAGCAGCGCGGTGTGGTTGATGGACTTCTTGTTATCGGTCGTGCTCTCTGCTGTCGCGGCCGTGGAGCTCGAAACGGCAAGATGGCTGAAAAGGGGGTCGAGTCTCCAGGCCGGCAGCTCGTGGCCAGCTGTGGCGGTTTGTTGAGGGAGCCAGAACCGGGGCAGCACCTGCGAGCGGATGAGAGGTACCGAGCCATCCACAGGCCGGCAGTGGAAGTCGAGGGTCGCATGGAACTCGTTCTCCTCCATGAAAGCCCAGCCCACGGAGCGAAGGTGGTCGAGAAGCTCTGGCCGTTCTTCCACGTAACCTACGCCGCGGATGATGGGAAGGTCTAGCGACACGGCATGAGCGCCTCGCGCTGCCAGGTGGCGGGCCAGGGCATCTTGGAAGGTATTGCCTGCTGCGTAATTGGCTTGCTCTGGGCCGCCAGTAATGCCAACAGTTGACGATAGGATGATGAAGAATCCTAAGTCGCGGCCTAGGACATTGTGAAGGTTCCACGATGCGTCGGCTTTGGGACGAACGGCGTCATTCCACTCCTCAAGTGTCATATTCTCGAGACGGTTGTCCTGCTCGAGATTAGTATGCGAAGGTGGAACAGAGGAAGACAAACTTACCTTGAGGACCATGGAACCCTGTATGCATCCTTTGACGGGAGGCATAGTTGTCAGACACTTGTCAATGACGTCCCTGAGGGCTTGGCTGTCTGTCACATCACAAGCCGGCGTGGCTACTTTGTCACAGGTAAGCTCAAGCTCCTTGACGAGCTGCTTGGCAGCTTCCTGTACGGGGCCACGCCTAGACAGGAGAATGAGGTTCTTCGCTCCTCGGCCAGCCATCCATCGCGCTACAGACCTTCCAAGGCCACCAAGACCACCAGCAATCACATAGGTCGCATTTGGGTCAAGCTGACAAGCAGGTGTACGTCTTGAGAGGACCGAGACGACGTCCTGGTCGTGCGGCTCTAGAACCAGCTTGTCAATCTGAGTTCCAGACTGCATCTGACGAAACGCGTCTGTAATCTGAGAGAATGCATAAGTGGAAATCGGTGTCCGTCGAATTGTCGACTCTGGCCCCCTCAGGAGCAATTGCTCAACCATCCCCTGGAAGCTGCGCTGCGTCCGCACAGGGTCATACAGTGCTCGGTACTTGAGGTCAAAAGTCTCATAGCGAATATTCTTCTCTTGTAGGTCACTCAAAGAGATGCGTGTGTTGACGCTGTCGCCTGCTGGACTGAGGTCCACCAACCGACCAAAAGGAGCGACGCAAGCCACGGTCTCTGCAAGCAATTCGCTCCCGAGAGTGTTCAGTACAGTGTCAACACCACGGCCTTTAGTCATCTGATGGACAGCGATTTTGAATGATGCGTCCTGGGCCGAGAGAATGTGGTCTTGCGGAACGCTGTACGCCGTTGCGAAGAAGGAACGCTGACCCTCGTCATCAATCGTGACGAAGACTTCGGCCCCGGCAAGCTGAGCAAGCTGGACGGCAGCCTGACCAAGGCTACTCGCACCTGCGTGCACAAGTACCTTATCACCCTTTCGGATACTTCCCATCTCATGAAGGGCTGCATATGCCGTGGTGTAGGCGACTGGGATGGCCGCAGCCTCAGCCCAAGATAGGCGATCAGGTAACTTGGCTACAAAGCCGTCTGAAGACCTAACATGTGTCTTGAGCGCACCGGTCAACGCCACACCAAAGACACGGTCTCCGGCCTGGAACTTGGAGGCAGACCCAACCCTGGTCACAATGCCAGATGCCTCAAGACCTAAGGGGGCTTCTTTGGTCTTCCCCTTTGCCAATGCTAGGTCGAGGGGAACCAAGCCACAAGCCATAGACTTAAACTCAACTTCATCATCAGCAAGTGGTGTTTCATGCACCAGGTCGTCTTCAAATCTTAGAGACTCAAGCTGGCCTGGAGTGCCAACCTGTAGAGTCAGGGATCGCGAAGCCACTTCTCCGAAGACATCCTGGACCACGTCCAGAGAAGCGGTCTGAGATCGAATATGATCCGCGAGGTAGTCGGCCTTAACAAGCCGTGGAACATGCGGCACGCCACCAGTGACCCTGAAGGAGTTCTCCTTGTCATCTTCCGAGGCACTGAGGGTTCGTATGCATTGCTCTACAATAACACCCGGAGCTTCGTTCTGCTCGAACGAAAGTGCTATGAACTGGAAGTCGGGCCTCTCAGAGCGAGCAACTCTGGCTAGTCCAGAGACAAGCTCCATATCAGGCGCTGGTGCGAGTGAGTCTCCACCCTTGGTCACCCACAACAATGATTTGCATTGGCTCGTCATCCGCTTTATCGATGTGAACACAGTTTCCGTCATATCTTGGAAGAGGGAAGACTTGAGTTCGGCAAGAACAAGGCAAATAGAACCATTCAAGTCTTTCTCGCCCAGTGCCATCAAAGATGTGATATCACATGCCGAGCTGTTCGCGGCCAAGGCCTTTGAAATTTGCCTGGCGACATCAACTTGTTGTGCCGATAGTCCATCGGTCACGATGTACGTCGTCTCAGTTGTGCTCTTTACCGTATTCGCTGCCGGCACGCTTGACACCAGGATGGAACTCATCTGATGAGCAGACTTCGGGAAGTCCTGGAAGACCGCGTCAAGTCCATTGAAACCACACTGCGAGAGATGGTGCCGCCAGCTCTCAGCAGACATCAGCGGGCCCCATCTCCGATCCTTGTCCTCTGATAGCCACCAGCCAGGGAGTGTCCCGAAGCAGAAATGGCTAAGCAGTACCTCGATGTTAGTGATTTCGAAAAGCAGGAGTTTTCCTCCTGGCTTAAGCAGCTTTCTCGTGTTTGACAGCGAAGTATCGATCTTTTTCGTCGCGTGCAGCACGTTGGCAGCTACGATCAGGTCGTACCGGCCGGCGTCGAAGCCCTGCTCGACAGGATCATTCTCAACGTTGAGCACGCGGAAGTCGGCGCTGTCGAGCTGATCTTTGAAGATGGTGTCCTTTGCTTGCTCAAAGAAAGAAGGCGAGATGTCGGTGAAGCAATAATTCTCATATCGCTTGCCTTGAGCGGTCAATGTCTCCATAACAGGCCTTGTCGCACCACCGGTGCCTGCACCAATTTCGAGAATCTGCATGGCTGGGTTCTTGTGTGCTAGAGCATCGACATATCCGCAGAGCTGCTCGTAGCACCTTTGAGAGCCTAGACCGTAGCGATATACGTTCTCGGCGATCTTGTCCTTGAAAATGACGTCGAGCGGATTCAGAGGACCTCCCAGCATCTCGTCCAGTGCTTGGCCCACTGCGATGATAAGAACGCCTTCAGGTGTAGCCCTGGACCTGACTTTCTCCTCGAGCTCCTCGATTCCAGAAACAGTCCTGTCAGTGGTCTGGCGGGAGATGTGCTCCATCCATGAGACATACTTCATGTGGTGCTCCTCCATACGGCCGATGCGGTCTTCCGTGACGGAAGCGAGGAATCGGCGAATATACGCAAGACACAATGCCTCACAATTCTCCATCCAGTCTGAGGGGTTGTCTTCAGCGGCCATGGGCACACCGAACACCTTCGAGGCTTGTACCTCGCTCAGGAGCGTCGGGTCTGGCTTCCACTCAACATTGAAAGCATCGTGCAGTGACTCAGCAGCGTCCTGGGATGCACCGACTGGAAGGGTCTTGAAAATCAAACCGGAAGCATAGACTGAAGGAAGTTTAGTTGTAGAGCTGACGGCTGTGAAGGATGACTCGGTCTCGCTCCTGCCACGGGCCGAGGGCTGAGCCGTCATCACCATGTAGGCGTCGTGAGATTCCGGGCGAGCTGATATCCAGAGGCTCTCAGCATATACCGGCACTCTGGGCTGTTCAGTGCCGGCGGAGTTTGACACCAGCGGTGCGATGTTCGCGTGCACGACACCATCCAGCATGGCGGGGTGAACCAAGTGAGGTTGTACATAGTGACTTGGCATTATCTCCCGGATTTTTGACAACGGCGAGTTGATCTGTGCGAGCAGTGTGGAATCTTGGCCGAGCTGAATGTTGTCCAAGGTCCGGAAAGTAGGACCGAAGTCCAGCCCAGATTGCCTCAGTTTGTGGTACACCTTGTCGGCTGCTATGTCGGAGGTGCAGGTTTTTTGAGCGTCGTGAACAAGTTTGCTGCACTGTTCGTGCACCATGAGATCATTAGAAGTCTGTTCATCCTCATACTCAGTCTGTGTCAGTCCGCGGCAATGCTCTCTCCATTCACCATCATTGAACGACCAAAGTTGAAACTCATTCCAAGTTGATGGGCTTGGAGAACTGGTCTCTCGGTATGGCCTGAGGTAGAAATGTGTTTCAACGCCTTGGGAGTCATCAGGAACACGTAATGCCAAATGGAACGAGACATCCTTGAACCTGAAGCCCTTCAATATCTTGCCACCATCAGCGATCTGTCGACTGGCTTCGATAGCCATGACGAGCATACCCGCGGCAGGGTAGAGCACATCACCAGCCACCTTGTGGTCCTCGATCCACGGGTTCTCAGACAATCGAATATAATTTCGCCAAGTTGCGTTACTCTTGTTCCAGTCTGCTATCGGTACACCGAGAAGATCATGACGGCCTGCTGAGCGTAGGCGGAAACTCTTGCTCAGTCGGCTCTCGAGCCAGTACTCTTTCGAATGGTTGAATGGGTAACTCGGCAGGTCAATTAGCATTACTGGTTTGCGGCCATCTGATCCACAAGCCTCATTGACTGCGGACAAGTTGACCTCGTAGCCCTGACAGAACAGTGAACCAGCTGCCTCCAGGGTAGTCTGCACAGCAGATGATTTGCGCCTAAGAAGCGAATGATAGGTAATAGCATCTCTGCCTGAAATTTGTTTTGAGATGTTGGCTAAAGGCCCTTTAAGGGCAGCGTGAGGGCCAATCTCGAGTATGTCCGTGATGACTGCCGAAGGAGCCGACTTGGTCTTTGCATATCCATTGGTCTTCGGCTCGTCAACTGAGTCTTTGAGGAGCTCCGTAACAGATTCGCAGAATCGTACAGGGGACACAAGGTTGGCAACCCAATAAGACGGCTTTCGGAGTTCAGCCAAAGAGATGGAGGAGCCACGGGTCGAAGAGAAAAATGTCGCCTTGAATTGATCTTGAGCTTTTCCAGGTTCCAGTTCGCCCATCGCTTCGAGATACTCGTCCGCAATAGCCTTCATGTACTGGGAATGGTAGGCAATCTCAACGTTGAGCTTTCGCGCGAAGACTTTCTCCTGGTTGAGCATCTCGACAAGCGTATTGATCTTTTCGGCATCTCCGCTAACAGTATGGCTCTGCCAACTGTTCATGCAGGCGATCTCCAAGGTTCCCTTACCACCCATCTGGTTTACGCGTTCAATAGCGGCCCACGTGGCTTTAGTGTCCAGGCCCACCGCAGCCATGGTTGTCTGAGGCAGGGACCCGGATCGGATCAATTTTGAGCTCAGCTTTCCCCTAAAGTGGGCAACCTTCCAAGCTGCCTCTCTCGATATTGCTCCGGCGGCATAGGCGCCTGCGACCTCTCCTGAAGAATGGCCTGTGATTGCGTGGGGGAATATGCCCCAACTAGCCAGGAGGTCCACAAGTGCAACTTGAAGAGCGGTGCAGATTGGTTGACAAAATTCAGGATCATCAACACGTGATGAGCCTGCGTGCTTGGAAAGCTCGACTGTAATCGGTCAGCATTATGACAAAGCTTCAGCGAACAACAGAGACATGGTTCCTTCACCACTTACAAGACAGGGACCAGGAACAGCCGAGATCGTTCAAGTATCTGTCAGCAGATAGGATGCTTTGTTGGAAGACCGGGTATGCCATGAGCTCGATGCCCATTGCTGGCCATTGGGCACCTTGTCCAGTGAAAATAAAAGCCAAACGAGGCTGGGACTTGATCCTCGTCGCGCTTGGCATCCCCTTCAGCGTCTTTTGCAGAGCGTCAGGGCAGTCTGCGATAGTGAAAGCCCGCCATGCATGATGAGTCCTCTTGGCAGCTAGCGTGTGACTGAGATCTCTGAGTAAACGCTCCTCATCAGCAACTGAGTTCTTGAGAGACTTTGACGCCAGGTATGCCTCGAGCGAGTCTCGCATCCGGATTACGCCTTCTTGATCATTGGTGGACATCACAAATAATTGACTGGGGGCTGCATCAGCGATCCCATTCACGCTCATGTCAATTCCGCTATCTGCTCGACGATGGCCTCCATTGGAATGTCCTGATTATCCGATGTCAGCGTAGCTTGCGAGGCTGAATGTGGCAAAGACATACCATTCATGCGTGGTTGATGTTGGATGCCCCGCGAGGCTGAACTGACGACAGTTCGATGGTTGCCAACCAGCCGATACTGTTGTAGGAAATGCAACGCATCATCCATCACTACGTGAGCATTGCTGCCACCAATGCCAAAGGAATTGATCGACATGCGACGAAGGCCAGTTTGGGGCCATGGTGTTGCCTCGGTGGGAAATTTCAAGTGCCATGAAGCCTTTATCTTGGGATTGGCCTTTTCAAACCATATATTTGGTGGAATGACGCCCTTCTCGAGCGTGAAAACTCCTTTGATAATTGCTGCAACCCCGGCCGCGCCCTCAAGATGTCCCACATTACTCTTCAGTGCGCCCACATAGAGCGGCTCGTCTGGCGACCGATGAGGCGCAAAGATTTCGGCGATTGCACTGGCTTCAATAGGATCGCCTACTTGAGTGCCCGTTCCGTGTGCTTCAAAAAACCGAGTCACAGAGGGGTCGAGCCCCGCCCTTTTGTAAACGTGTCTGATGAGTGCAGCCTGGCCAGCCTTAGTCGGCTGCGTGATACCGGGAGATTTGCCATCCTGGTTCGTAGAGGAATTTCGTATGACAGCGCGAATAACGTCGCCGTCACGGACTGCATCAGAGACGCGCTTTAACACCAAGGTGCCGAACCCCTCTCCACGAGCATAGCCGTTGCCTCGGTGATCGAAACTGTACGACTTCCCATCGGGGCCGAGAACGCCAGCTGCATCCAGCTTCAGGGTCATCTCAGGGGAGAGCATGAGATTACAACCACCAACAACAGCCTGTCGACGTCAGCACAATACTTTCAAGCCTCAGCTCATTGCCTGACTCACCATGTCAATCTCACGAAGCTTCAAGCTCATGCACGCCTCATGGGCCGCTACGAGACTGCTAGAGCAAGCCGTATCGACAGTTATACTTGGGCCTCGGAAGTCAAAGAACCATGACACCCGGTTGCTGAGCATACTAGCCACTGTACCAGTGGCGGCGTACTTGGACGGAAGGTCCAAGTCCTTTACAATTATGTCATTATAATCATAGGCGAAACAGCCGACATAGACGCCGGTCTGAGATCCCGCAGCCTTTGGGATGGGAATGCCAGCTGAACTCTTGTTAGAACACATTCATCAAAGTGTTGGCTATTGACCAACCATTCTCAAGTGCCTTGTAGACAGACTCCAACATCCCTCTCTGCTGAGGGTCCATCCCATTGGCCTCGGCCGGCGTGATGGAGAAAAAGGGGGCATCAAAGGCTGATATGCTGCCCCTGAGGAAGTGTGCATGTCTTGCTCGGGTCTGCATTGTGTTAGTGAATAGTGATAGCGGAGGCCAGCGCCCCAGAACAACTCACAGAGCCACTCCTCTCAGCTTCAGGATGCCAAAACGAGTCGATCGTGAATCTCTCTGGAGGAATCTCAGACCTAGCCGTTCTTCCTGCCAGGAGTGATTCGTAGAAGCTCTCGGCCGTGTCTCCCTCACCAGGAAGCCTGGCATCCACGCCGATGATAGCAATGGGCTCGTCCATTGTGAATGAGCCTAGGTCACTGGATTTTCCGAAGCACGTTGAAGTCTATCGGACCAGTGATGATAATTATGACGATGATTATGAAGAATACTGATGATACAGCAGCCCTCTGTAATCCATCAACTTTGTAGACGGGAGACGGATGAACATGTACGAGATCCTGTTCCGGGGGCATCGGCCCCTCGATTGCCAGGGGCCATCAGCCCATCCATTCTCGTGGAGTATTGCCCCATCGTGCATCAGTGTCATTGACGGTCTGGCAAGTCATCAATAAGCTGCCGAGTCTTAATCCTAATCATGCGCCCACGTCTCCTGTATGTTGGGTGGCGGAGACACCACAGTCTGGACGTAGCCTTGAGCACAGTACAGTGCGTCCCCATGGAAGATAGGACCTCGGGCCAATCGTAATGTTCTGACGTGCCTGTTGGTGCTTCCAGCAGGTTGGAACTGATGCCCACAAGACCCTCTATATTGCAGTAGGTGGTGGCGCTATCGACGCTGCCAGTCGAGTCGAGCTCGTCGATCAATGCCGCTGCTCCGGTGATCGCCAAAGGGCCATTTTGTCGACCTCATGCAAGCAGGCGCAGGCCAGGTCCAGGAATCTTGACACCTCGGCGATGCTTCTAAACTTGGCTGCACGCAGCTGGCATGCACCGATTCGCTGGTGGTTGTTTCGTGGCATCCCTTAGTACGCGTGTACCCTGTACGCGTGGTTTCCTGGCCTGTCTGGCCTGTCTGGCCTGTCTGGCCTGTCTGGCCTGTCTGGCCTGTCGCCTCGGCTGGAGCTGGACCAGCTCAGGGGGGACGGAAGGTAAGGCCAAACCGACCTGTCAGTTGTCAGCCGATCCACCTGGCTTTGTAAGGGACGGATTCAGCATTGGATTCTAGTCCAGTTTCAGTGGGCGGACAAAGTGGACTGACGTCAAGGCGAAGCTGGGCATGGAAGCTGGGCAATGGAGTCGTGGGGCCCGGAAACCCACGTGTCGAGGTCCAACAATCTGTCCAGGGCCTCGCAGGGCCTCCACCCTTCACGACATTGAGGGTGGAGCGGGAGGGGCCCTTCCCCCTTCCCAAGCCAATCGGGTCGTGCGCCCTAACCCAGGTTCGTGTCGTCAACAACTCTGTTCAGACTTAGGGTTCTCACTGCAGCGCACTATGGCCACAGTACCGAGCATGTATGTACTTCTTGGCCTCTTGGCCGGAACATTCCTTACCCATCCACGCCATCACCTGACCCGAGATACATCTCGCTTTCGTACCGGGCCGCCAGTGAGCGAGAAGCATCTGTCTGCATCTCTGATAACAAGGTTCCATCTCGCAATTCCGTCATTTCGTTCAGTCAGCATTAAGGAGCCCTTGCTCTTCCTATAGGGACTCACATGTCCTCACAGAACTGCCGGAAGCTTGGTGAACCTTGGAGCCCTCCTCCTCGGGGCACACCCCAACTTGAGGCGACGTGACGACCCGGAACTGGTTGCCGACGGGACATTGCTACAGAAACCGTCCTTCAGGCACACCGGTCCCCACCGTCGGGCGGGTCCATAGTCTATTTGTACCAGGGCCCAGGGCCGGAACTGGGCCGTCACAGGCCTGAGAGGCCGTATCCAGCGGCGGTCGATCGAATCCGAAGCGATCGATGTGTCACCTAATCACAAAGCCGCCCTGTAAGCCACAAGCCCCGCGGGCCCGACCTGAAGTGCCTAGCTGCCAGGCTCGAGCCAGGCTTGCCAGGGTGGCAGTGTTATTCCAGTACTATGGGACGCGTGAACGGTATGGCCGGGAAGGGCTGGGGGGTCGGTTTTGGATGACCTTGCCCTCCGAAATGAGGCCTGGCCCAGGTCCTAGGATCTTGGGATCCTGGAATCTCTCGACACAGGAGATCCCAAACAATTGAGGCCCATTGTTCCCCCCGGACTGAGGTTTAAAAACCAAGGAGTACCCAGACTCAAACAGAGATTCATGTTGAATCTTGTCCCTGACCCGAGCCTCTCAGACCCGACTTAAAGTTTCACGACCCATCAGCCTCTCGGAGCGGCCCGCCGGTCCATGGATTTTGCCAAAAGTCGCGGCCGTCCAACAAGCGGCAGTGAAGCCAACTCTTCAACCACAAATATGGGACGGCCATCGACCAACGCCTCAAGCAACAGCAGGAATTCCACATCACTCAAATCGCCCCTCACCGCTACTTCGTCGTCCAACCGAACGTACCCCCACAGCATCATCGCCGACGAGGGCGAGTGTCCTCTGTCCAATGACATCTGGTCACGGTCCGACTCGGACGATTCAAACGACGATGCAGAGGTCGTTCCTGCGCCCTCTGAACGGTGAGTCTCCCCTCCAGCCCCCTATTAGGCGCGCATGGCGCGTTGCCTGATCTCGCGAGGCTCGCCGGGGTTCGACTGCCGAGTCATGTCATGTCACCTCCGGATGCAAATGAAGGCTGACTAGGTCCAATCAGAGCCGGCACAAAAGGAAGTGGGTCTCGAACAACAGGATTCTTTCGCTCTCTGGTGCACAGGATCAGCAAATCCTACAGGCGTCAGTCTTGTCGCCCTGCCTTGCGTTGATGCGACAATTAGCCCATACTGACATCCTTCACAGGCTATGGCTATATCCCAAACAATCAGGTGCGACTATTCCGACCGAGGGCATTTGGGCACATGCCGGAATTGTGGCTGACTTAAGGTTTGGAACTAGCAAGAGCAAGACAGAAACGGTACGGAATTCCGGCAGCATATCTAGCTAGTCCTGACTGCGACTGAACTGACTGAGTGACTGACTGATTGCAGTGCTGCAACATGAGATAATAAAAGAACTTTTCGACGGGAGATTCCACTTGTGTCCGGCGAGACGGCCAAAAACCGTGTTGGACATCGGTACCGGGCCCGGCCTCTGGGCACTGGTAAGTTTAATGACCCTCGCCTCAAACCCACCTTTCCTCGACCCACCCCTGTGGTCTATTGCATTCCGCTAACCCGTTGTAGGAATTCGGCAAGTCTACCTGGGCAGACTCTCATGTGTCTCTAGCTAACAACTGATCACAGCCCAGCAAAATCCACGAAGTTCTGTTTTGGGAATCGACTTGGAGCCCGTCAAGCCGCCGTATCTAGTGTCAAACTGCCATTTCCAGATCAGGGACGCCACGGAAGATTGGGATCTCAACACGACTTTCGATTTTGTCCATGCCCGGATGCTGGGTGACTTGCCAGAAAAAGAACGTCTTGTGCAATCTGTTTGGGACAATCTCAACCCAGGAGGCTGGGCTGAGTTTACCGAGTGGATCGTCCTGCTCCAGTCGCCCAATCACTCTTTCGAAAACACCTCGTTCCACAGATGGAACCAGCTCATGTCCCGAGGAAAGTTCTTGCACCAGACCATCTCAAGCTTTGCTAATTCTGACTTTATAGGCCTCAAAGATCTCGGCAGCTCTTTGTATTACCCGACCCAGTACAAGCCGCTTCTTGAGAAGGTTGGGTTCGAGAACATCACGGAGACCAAGTATGGTGCCCCAACAAATGCGTGCTACCCGGGGAAGAAATTACAAAAGATCGGAACCATGATGACCAAGAACTGGAATACAATTATCGAGCCACTTACGCTTTCAGTATTCATTGACGGACTGGGCTGGACGGCAGATGACGTGAAGAAACTTTTGCTGAACGTCAAGAGGGAGATCCCAGATACGAGATATCACTCCTTCATGACGCTGTATGGACCACACTCTCAAATTGGAAGCGACCGAAACCTGCTAACTCGTTATGTCTTAGAATGACTGTCTACTGTCGGAAACCTCGCGTCGGCTCAGCTTCTACATCTGTGTCCTCGTTCCAGAGCACGCCTGTCCCAGAGCACTCGACCCGGCGGTCGACCGACCAATTACAGCACATAGCCGAGGGCCAGGAACCATCTTCTGCCTGATTTATTTGCTACCAAGATACCCCTCAGTTTTACGAATCCATCTTCCGAGGATCCATAATCAAAACCGACCAATGACTCAAGTGGACCTGTTCCTTGCATACCAAGAAGCTGTGCCAGCTTGAAATGGGCGGTCATATCAATTGCAGAGCCCCAGCCGGCTCCATTCATGTGCATAATGCAGACGCATATCTGGTGTGCTGACTTTCGCAGTCTGTCGAGGAGAGGAACCTCCATAATGCCGAGATGCAGAGATGCAGAATGTATGTATAGCGACACAGTGCGGGAAGCTTATCCACTTTCTAATGCAAGGCGAACACTAGGCATATGCGCACAGTTCAACTGACCAGTGAAGACGAGACACGATTGGAGCTATGGGGAACGCGACCAAGAAGAGAACAATAGTCATAATAAGAGCCATTATAGCAAAGTGATAACATCCCAGTGGAAGCCGGATATTCTTTCGCTCTCGCGTTGCCGACTGACAAGTCTGAATTACTAGACCGCTTCGAAGAAGAATAGGCCGAGGAATAAGGGCGCCTACGCTACGCCTAGCAGTGCTAGACAATCTCAAGTCTGCTCGCAATAACCCCAGCTATCACCACCATCGACAGCGAATTTTACCATTACCGTGGAAAACTCACCTAAAGCCCACGCGATGGCAGATTACGAAAATGACGCCCTGTTCCGCACAGGCAAAGATGCCAACGCCACAGTCTACACCCGCTCAGCCCTATCCGTCTGGTATGATGTATACGTGCTCGGATTCAATATGCGCTGCATCTGGGGCTGTCCTACGCCCTCCGTCCTGCTCCCTTTTTTCGCCGAGAACTTCTCCCGGCGCCATCTCGATATCGGCGTTGCAACAGGCTATCTGCCAGCAGCAGCGCTGAACAGTATCTGGCGCAAGAACAGCAGGCATCACATCACGCTCATGGACCTCAATCCCAACCCGCTCAGGGCCGCCAAGGCTCGGATCCTGTCGGTGGCCACGAGGGCCGAGGTCGACCTGGTGGAGGCGGACGCCACGGAGCCGCCGTCCAAGGAGCTCGCAAGTCGCAAGTACGACTCAATATCCATGTTCAACCTGTTCCACTGCATGCCCGGCGGCAAGGACAAGTTCAAGGCCATCGGCGCAATGGCGAAGCTCGTGAGCGAAGACGGCGTGCTGTACGGGTGTACGGTCCTGGGCATCAAGCAGACCAAGTGGCACCAGTGGCTTACCAAATTCTACCTCAACTGGTACAACAACTGGTGGGGCGTCTTTCGCAACTGGGACGACACGAAGGAGGACGTGGATGCGGCTCTGAGGGCGCACTTTGAGAATGTTGAGACGTGGGTGGTCGGTCAGACGCTGTTGTTCAGAGCGACAGTGCCACGTAGGGACGAGTCGTCAGTACTGATTGACTTGCCATAGCCGACCTTTGTGCTGAGAAATCCAAAGCTCTGAGCGTGACTGTTGCGTGGAGAATCAGGCCTTGAAAAAGATACGTTTGTTGGTAAATGTCCATTCACTCTTCAGCTGAAGGGTGACGGACTAATCTGTGCGGAATTCGCGCCGTGGTACACAGCCTGACTTCGTCAAGCCTTGTTTTTACCTAGGTAGAGTAGACGCAGCTGCGGCATGAAATGCACTCAGTTCACTTACCATTATTGAAAGCTCTTTGGTGACATCATCGACACCGAGTGAAATTGATTGTGACATCTAATTGCTTTTCCAAGCCCGCATGTAACACCGATTAAGTTCAGGCGTCCAACGCCGCCCACAATCGGCTCCATGGATCATGCAAGCATTTTTGATCCGATCGATTGCAACGGCTTCCTTGAAGATTCAGGGCCCAGCCTTGTAGTTAGACCCGGGCATGGATTCCCTGTCGATGTTCATGGCGCACCTCGCAAGAGTCGCGCGTTTCCAGCTGGTTTAAACCTCATCCTTCCCGACAAATGCATCCGAATCCTAGAAATAGGCATATGTCCGCTCTCTGTTCTATGTTTATTTCAGACCGGCATAAATAATTATATCGTACAAACTTAAACAACGAGCTTTACAGTACATATTACGATTGAGTTATGTATTCGTGTTCAGATGAACTGAATTCAAGTTCTCGAGAGTACCAGGCCATCTGGTATTTTCAGCTAACAAGAAGTTGATGTGGGCTTTGAGGGCCTTTCGAGAGCACCTCCTTCAGCGCTGTAGCACCTAGGCGGCCAGGAGCACCTTGAGCTACAGCGCGCATCACCCCAGCCCAAACCTTAATATCTTCAATCACCTCAAATCTTCAGGACCCGGGCCGGGAAGCAAGATAATCGAAGGTTGATCACCTGTGCCATCTTGACGAGCTTCTGTGGCTTCGAGCCGTGTCGTGACCCTGGGCACTGTATCCGCTGTACTCGGCATCTCCGACCTTATCATTCAGCTTTTAACTTTGGGCTACTGTCCCCACTCTAGAGCCACTTCTTACTCGGAGTCATTGATATCGAACCTGGCGGGTCGAACCCGCCTGTCTTCGAGTCGTCCATGTGCTCATATAGATGATCTTAGAAAATTGAAATTGTCCGACGACGTGGTCTCTCCGCATCTCTTATGAGCTTTCCCAGCCTGAGGGTACTGGATGAACAATTGCAGGGCGAATTTCAGAGGTAATTGCTACGTGATTCTCTCGTATGAAGCCATAAAAAGTAATTTGACCGTCTCTCACATCTAATTAGCTGATAGCGTGTCGGTCGTGAAAAGCTCAGTCTGTTGAAGGGTTCTGGCAAGAACACGTAATGAGAATCATTGGAAGTTTGAGGGCCTGGATTGCCATTCAGAAATGTGCAGCTAAACAACACAAGTAAATTAACAATTGAGATAATTCACTGGAAAAGGTCGGCAACCAGCCCTCGTGCACACACATTGAAACTAACAAAGAGCTTCCTCGCGGCATTCCACGCAGACAACAGCTATTATTTGGACTTTGACTCGATAATCGTGCTGAACAATGCCTTTGTCTATCTTGACAGCGAGGGGTATAAATACCACTCGTTACTCTCAGCATTCTCTCAACAATTCACTCCCTTGCAATCACCGCTTACGACTTACAGTCAAGAAGAAGAGCAAGAGCTTGCAACGCAAAACAGGAAACTCTCCATAACAACAACAATCGAGTCAGTAGTCTTCGCCATGTCTTCCTCTGGAAGCTATGGTTACGGTGGTTCTGGCTCTGGGTCAGGGTCGGGGTCGGGGTCTGGCAGCTCCGGAGGCTATCAGTGGAGTAGCTCCGGCTCTTTCACACCTCGAGGCGCAAAGAATGAGTGGGACAAAAAGGGTAGCAAGCGAGGCGGCTCTTCTGAGAAGGACAATGATTCTGGCTCAAAGAAGCCGAAGAAGTAGATAGCCAACAATAAACCAAGTTGAGTGTGATTAGCATCGAATTTCTGATGTGAGCCGTCCATGCCCAAGTGATTGAGAACTGCCTGGAATGTCCACACAGACTCAGAACAGCGAGACACCCCATTTATGTACAGAAATCATCAAAGTAGAGCAAATCAGGACATTACAGCCATCATTAAGTCAAGTGATAGAAAGAGTGAAGCTCCGGTCCGCATGTGATAATATTCAGATGATTCGTAAGATGATATGCTTTTACAGTATTTTACTCTTTCAGCTCTGTCAAAAGAAAACATGACTGCAAATAAGCTGCCTTGTAATCTTTTGAGGTGAGCATATGGGGTTTGTGTATGCTTTGACAGTTGCATATATCGTGATGAACATTACTTAACAACATCGTTTTGTGTTGTATATATCCAAGCATGTCACAAATAAATGCTTTGTCTGTGACACAGCTTAACGAGTTATTGTACATTGGCTGTCTATCTGGCTGTAAGGTCCACATCGAGAATCCATGACTGCTGTGAACCAAATATTCACAATGAACATCGGATCAGTATTGCAACGACAGTATAAATATTCGCGATTGCATGGTCTTCAAATGAGTTATTGGAGTGAAACAAAGAAAACGCATCCACCAAGACTAACACAAGACTCGTCACCAGTTCAAAGATTCAGAAACCACACCAAACGAGCAAAATGGCATCAACAGGAGGAGGTGGAAACAACCCAGGTGGAAACAACCCAGGTGGATCTGGACATTCCGGGTCTGGTTCAAAGAAGCAGAAAGAGACCGATCCAAGGGAGCCTCGAAGCGGCTCCTGGCAGCACGTCCCACTGACGGAGTGGGAATGGGCTGAGGAGCCAGCTAGGGTCAACTGTGTTAGAGGCAACTGTGAGCGTGATGCGCACGTGCATTCTGGTGAAAGCAATTACACTCATGAGAAGAAGAAGTGATATGAAAAGACATCAGGATATGCGTCAAAGGTTGACGGACTGTAGCCACTACAGCTCAGTTCTAATCAGTGAATTAATTCATGAAACATGATCCCATACCTTTGCAAGGCTGCTGTGTGTGATCGTGTCTTAGCTCTCAGTGTGGCTTGTTTAAGGTTCATAAAATAGGTCTCACGACCTATTTGAGCATGAATGTGAAGAGCCACAAGCGATAAATCTAAGTTGAAGCCAAGAAATCCGTGTACTGTGTTGTTGTTTTTTTTTTGGGGGGGGGGGGGGACATCGTCGAGGGCGGTCTTGCTCGAATACTGCAACATTAAGCGTTGAAGTCGTCATTTTGTGGCAAGCAATATGGTTGAATACCGAGTTTGGTACCCTATGCTACATTCGAGCAGAGAGCCGAAGTAAGACCTTCAAAATTCTCTCCCATGAAATTTTAATAATGCACCGATACTAATGTCCTTCAGTACATGAACAACGCCACCTTTTTAGAGCTGCTTACCAGACCCGCGGACTAGATGCTTGACCAAGATTATACTGCAGGTCTTGAAACATAAAAGAGTGCCAATGTTGCCAGAGATCTAATAATGGAGTGATTGCAGTCCTTCCCCACTTGGGGGGGGGGGGCTCTTCGACCGCGACTATAAAGCTGTTGACCGACGACGGACAGCGACATGCTGGCTCGCAGGACAGTGAACTGTATCCATTTGAATTTCCCTCGATCGTGCACTTGAAATCAAATGAAATTGCCGCTTCAAGTGGGTTGTTAAAGTCCAAGAACTTCAGCGAAGCAAGGGATGATGTCTCGGATAGCTGTCTTACTACGGAGGCCAGCTGGTGGCCACCTGTGCCGTCCAAGCATTGCGCCGAGGGGCCTTTCTAACTTGGCGCGTGTCACTCAATGAAGTTCGATGTTTGAATTCTCGTGGCGAATGCAGCTGCCGCGAGAATCACCAAGTCCGAGAGGGCGCTTGAGGATCCAGGGGTGCCTTTCCTGCAGTAGAGGTATTCTGGAATATGTGGTAAGGCCATGAGAATCTTACATTCGCGTCGTAATGGATTTCAGGCACGTCGAAGATTGTTTGATCGGCGGTCTTTCCATAGAAGAATATGACACTCGCTCCGTTCCGATCGGATAAACCTTCCCTCGAACGCACGTTCTGTTGCTACGTTGAAGGTGAAGGCGCTAACCATGTCTTCAACCTTAAGACTCTGCCAAGTCCTAGAGAAGACACGACTCTGGCCTCTGGAGCGTACAGAAGCACGCGTTTTAGTGAAAACTTTGCTGCCAATCGCACAAGATGTCTCAAAAATGTCGAGGATGATGTCCATGTTCAAATTGTTGACACGGTCTGCCGTGAACTTTTAAAGATATACAAGCAAACGCACAAGATAGGATGAGCGTACTCTATCCTGCTGTATCCATAACCCGCGTAACAGTTTTTGTCTAGAAACCGTGTGTCAATCCTGACAAAAGATTTTGTGTAATCCGTATATCCATGTGTATCGTGATCCCTCAGGTCATCCAGTCATACATAGCAATGCTCGCACATGATGCATCCACGTCGTAACGTCGCCACAGGGCCCATCATCGCTTCCTGCCAAAAATGGTACCGAAAACCTCGCTCTTCTGCCTCCTCAAGACCGGCATCACGGGGCTCTCGTTCTCTTTGTCTTCCGTCTCATATTCCACTGCAGGAGCAGCCTTGGCGTCTGTGGAAGATGAGATTGTGTCTGCCCGTATCCTTCGCAGTTGCTCCTTGGCGATGTCGCTGCCTTTGCGCGAGCGTGGCGCAGCGGACGCACTGCGTGCGCGCTTGTGAGGGGTCAGGTTCTTGACGATCCTCCGCGCAAAGTTGGCAGCGCTGTCGTCGTCAGAGTCCGAGTCGGATTCAAACACCGACACAGGCATCACTGTTTGCTGTGCCAGCGGCGTGGTGGGCCGTGAAGCACCACAGGGTGCGTGCGACACAGCGCTTTCAACGGGCGATGGTGTTGGCCTTGGCGTCTCCGGGAGGTCAGTTGCGGATATGGACTGCCGCAGTTGCGACTGAGTCCTTTGATGTGTTTGACGGCCACGTGGTTTTTCAGGGGCATGACTAGGTACGATGAGTTGCGTTGCTGAGCCTTGGGAAGGAACATCGGTGGGCGTCCAGTAGACCATCTTTGTGTCTGAGTGAGTTCTTGATATACTGAAATTCCTTTGAGAGGGAAGAGTCTGTTGGCTTCGTCTTGAAAAGGCGACAGCCGTAGGTGAAGCAATCAGGAGAGTGGGCGTCCCGGGGGCTGACTGTGTCAACAACGAACTGTCATAGCTGATAGCTCCATCCGAAGCCGGTAGATGAAGTTTTCTTGGCTTCTTGCGTCTGTTCGTCAGGGATAATGACACTGTCGATGGATACTGTTGGGGTGCGTCCCATAGAATCTCGCTCCTCATTTGACCAACCGGGCGCCTAAGCGGCAGACTCTGCTGCGCTACAACAGTTGGCTGCGGGAACAGAGAGTAGGTGGGCTTGGATGGCTTCGGTGCTGGTGCGACCGTGGGTTCAGCAACTACCAAGGGCCAGCACGGTTCTGATTCATGGTCATTGACGTGTTCTGAGTTCTTCTGTGGAGAATTGTGACGATCCTTTTCTGGAATCGTACTGTCGGCAGGGTGTTGAAGAGCTGTTGCGTGGGTGATCGGTCCGATAAGCACTGTGTTGCTATTGTCTCCCGGTTCGACGCCCCAAAAAGACTCCGAATCCTCCCAGAATGAATCAAAAGTCTCGTCGCCAGCTATATGAGACTGATTGCTGTCGTCTACCGATACGTCCGACTCTTGGTCTTCGACCATTTCAGGCACAGAACATTCCGATCCCACTGAAGAGCGGCCATTGACCGGCTGCTCGCCACGATGTGTTGCATCAGGTCTAGGATAGGAGTAGTTGGAGATGGATGGGTAATACTTGTTGACGAGCTTGAGATCTGCCAGCTTGGTGGTTTTCTCCATGGCGATCGAGGTTCGCGGAGGAATCGGACTCTGCAACACTTGCCAGTGATGATGCGGTGGCACAGTTGCGGAAGTTTTGCGGAAGTCTTGCGCAAGTTGAGGCGGAAACCAGATCTCATTCAATCAAAAGGGGGCAAGCAAAAGTTCATGGCGGAGGTTAAGACACAATCAAGGGGGCCGACGAAGGCTTCAAAATGGCAGGATCGGCCATATATGTAATTGCTAGCTCGAGGAGACGGCCCCTCGACGTTGAAAGGCATACGCTGCGGGAGAAAACAACAACACGGTGTGAGGAATGGAGTGGCCAGGAATGAGAGGACGGAAGTGACTTGGATTGAGGCTGATTTTCCTGTGGAGGGAATGTACCGCGATCATGTGTCCGAAGACTCCCCTCCATTCCGGTGTACACGTCGGAATACTGTGGTAGTAGAAGGGAGGGGAAGATCTGTGTCTCGGCCACGGAATGCATCAGGGCAGTCCTCTTCCCGTGTATGGCCTGCATACAAACGACTGATGTCAGTGAGCACGCGAAAACGGAAGGAGAGAAAAGAGTATGCGAGCAAAATGCGCATAACCATGCCCAGGCTAATACGTCAGAGGTGCAGGAGAGTCAGGAGTCACGCCAACGGGAGCCGCTGCTACCCCCTGCGGAGTGTTTATTCCTTTTTCCCTTCCCGATATGTCATTTTGATGAGCTAGCATGAAACGCAAAGTTCAAGAGGTTGGGCCCGGAAGCACGGACGGCCATGAGGAAGAAGCAAGTGTGAGCGAGGGGGAGCCTCATCCATGGTACAAAGATCGGAAGGACAGTGTGAGTAAACAAGTATGATAGAGGCTTTTGATCGGCTCGTCACTCACTCCCGTTGCCCTGCTGCAGTAAGACAGAGAGACAGGCCACTGGCCAGATCAAGCGCCAGCTTGACGCCAAACAGACGCCATACTGAACAGCATGAGGAATGTCTCCGTTTCCCTCACTCTTTCGCTGAATACCCGTCATTCGAAACCAACAGCACACATCCAGGCTCTTAGGACTCCGAGGAAAAGACCTTACTGCCAGTCTTCCAGACCATCAGACTCTCCCTTTGAAAGCCTAGTCCACCATGTTTGTTCGGATGCTGATCTTGATCGAGGGAGGCAACCATCCCAGCATGCGTCTGAGCAGCACCGAGCACCGAGACATCGACCCATCCACCAGTTGGATCACAGCCCTGCTCAACGGTCGGACTATGGTTGTTGGAGCGCACGGTGTCAGCACATCAGTGTCGATCTCCCGCTCGCGTATCGGGCATTTGCCCTGCTGGAAGCTGCTTGCTTCACCGAAGAACACGTACTGCGCACTTTTGCTTTGCAGTTCCTGGCTCTCGTTTGTAGCTCCTCACCCTCAAAAAATGACGAGTCAAGTGGCAGGCGTGATGCGGCAACACTCCCGGAGCCTCCTCAGCTGAGCTCAAATACCACCTATCAACATGATCAGGGCAAATCAGCTGACGAGGCACTGCCCCGTCATACATCAGTCGACTCTCGGCGGTTTCATGCTTTGGGCCAGACGCGGCCAGATGCAGGAGAAGGAGGCTGAAAGGTGAAGAGGCAGAGAGTATTCTTGACTAAACAAAGACAGAACAAGAGTTCCAGGCTGGACTGGCCCGTCTGTGTCTGGCTCCAGGGACTTGGCTAGTCATCGGGGCGGCAGCCGCATCCGAGAGGCGGATGGCATGCATCGCGCTACACCGCGCTACGCCGCGTATGATATGCCTTGCAGAGAATGACATGTCGCTCCCCACCTTCCCAGCCGAAGAAGACATGCCGATTGGGTATGAGTCTGCAACTACCGGCAAAAGGTGAGCAGAAGTGCTTGCATGGTGTTTTGCAACCAGTGTGGGTAGTGAGATGAGAGGAAAAGGGGCAAGCTGACGGCTGGACCCAGACCTACCTGGATGAGATATGTGGAGACCTGACGATGCCATGTCTTCGCTGTCTTGGTTCTGGTTGACGTAACATGATGTTGAACATGCGGCGGACGTGCCTCCCAGCTGGTGTCCAACAGGAGCTGGCCGAAAGGACCGAAGACGCAGGATGAGTGCATGCAGCGAGAGTGCTGCCGGCCTGCATCAATCCATTCTTCATTCTCGGCGCTCCTTTGTCTGCTGCAGCAGTCCTTTGCTTTGCATGGAAAGCTTAGACGATATCTCAGAAAATGCTCAGTGTCACTCGAGACGCCGTCCCCTCGTCCCAAAAAGAGGCAGACTGCGTCCCCGAATGTCGAATGTGCTGCATCTTGCATATACTATCCGACGGATGGTGACAGAATCGGCGAGGCCAAGTGAATGTTGCCACGCGCAAGACCTATGTTTGCCTTGCGTGTTGCCTCGTGTTTGCCACGGCTGCGTCGAAGTGGGCATCTGCGGCGACACAGTTGATGACAAGTCTGACAAGTCACGGTTCGTTTGAAGGCACAATGGCCATCAACCGTCGGCACGAAGCGGAAAGCTTGCTCGTCCTGAATTCGACTGGCCGCTCCACTCCTCGACGTGAAAATTTCTCTCCTGCACGCCCTGGCTGCGCTTATGCAAGGGCCGTTTCAATGCCGTGGGTGCCAGATAGACGAATGCAGGTGTGTAGTCTGCGTTATTGGGCGACCAGGGCAGTCCTGCGCGATCTACAGATCGCTTGGAGACTACTGCAGACCATCCGCGGCCCGCTCTTGACTGGTCTGAAGTCTCCCGGCTCAACGTCAATAGACGGAGTCTCCCCTGCAGCCCCGGCCGCGTGGCCGCAGTTCGCCAAGGCGGCTCAAGTCGCCGGTAGCGAGATCTGTCTGCTGTATAACAGCAACCAGGCAAAGAAGCAGCGTCGAGGTCCATGTGGTAGCAGTATGTAGGTGGGATCAACAGGAGTGCGTATGCAGTTCTCAGGGAGCCAAAGCTCTACGCAAGAGCATATAGGGAGAGACTGAGCGAGATGTACTCGGAAGGTCATCTCGCATGTAGGAGATATTCCCATTGAACGTCAACTCAGGATTATTCGATGGTGGTCGTCCTCCTCGAAGGTTGTTCTGCTAGCTGTTGTCTTTTTTGCAGGCCACCCTATTGGGAGATTGTGTTGCTGCGAGGTTATACCCGGTCCCGGCGGATGGCAGCTTCGAAGGCGTGCTCGTCAAGTTCCACAACTGGAAGACCGTATCGGAACTGGGATGAATACGTCGCTGCCGGAATGATTCCGACCGTTTGACCATCGAAGGCAAGACCTTCCTCCAGCCACAAATTCCATGCGTTTGCATTTTGTTGACATCATTTGCGCTTCCTAAGAGACGCCGACACAGAAATAATCGCAAGTGGAAAGATCCGCTTCTTGTTGGTTGGGAAATTTCAATGGCGTTGCCTGGATATACTCATGGTCTGATTGTCCGGGAAAGATGCCAGTGTGTTCTTAAGTCGACGTGAACCGGACAGGCCCTGAGGGTGGATCATTATGTATTACGGCTCTATCAAGAACCCTCTGCTTTACTATGTCCTCTCTGTCCGCAGTATCTAAAGGTCGAACCGAATCAACCAGAACTGCTTGAAATTCTATGTCTCGTCCCAAGTCTGTACCAAGCCATTCGTGTCGTCCGTAAATCTTCGTCACATAAAATCGTCGTTCGTCGTCCCGAGGTGGAAAATGAAACAAATACAAACCGAGAACGCCCTGCCATGCAAGTAAAAGTTTTCCTCCATGCAGAAGAAAAAGGAAAGGAATAGCTCCTAGAGTCATCCTCCTCATGTCCATCTAATTGTTGCCCGCGAACACATATTGCGGGCTGACTCTGACATCTCTCTCCGCTCTCCTCGCCTCTCTCCTGCTGCTCAGCGTGCCCGTGCCTAGACTCGGCGCCGCCGTTCCTCGCGAACTCATCAGCCTCGCGCTCTCTCCCCCGTATGCACCACGCGATTCAGTAAATTTGCGGACCTTACGCACACTAAGCCTGTCGTCCTTTGCGCCCGCACCACCGATGCTGAATACCCAACGCGGCTTCTCTTCGTCACACCTGTCCACGCCCAGCTTGCCCACCAATGTGGTCTTGTTCCTAATCATGCCCTGGAAAGCCTCGTCGCCCATCAGGTCGTCGTTTGCCACGAAGCTGATAATCTCAGCGAGACAGGTGACCCTGTGAGGCAGGCGAAATTGTTTCCTTCTCGGATAAATGATCACTAATGCAAGCCAGTAGAGGACCAGTAGGGCCAGTGTGAGAGCGAATAGCGGTATTTGCGGAAACACGCGCACGATATTGTCCTCTGGTGTCAGGGCGATGAACATACCCCCCGCAAAGATTGGCAGAAACACGAAGAGTGTGGAGAAGAGCGAGATATAGGCGACGCGCCAGTGACCATTTCGTAAGGCATGCCACGAGCTCTGAAATGGGTAGCAGGACGCGTAGTCGGCGAGGATAGATGCCTCTGGGAGGGCGCCTCCGGAAGGGGGGTTGCTGAGTTCGCCCCAGGGTTGAAGAATGCGCATATGCAGATCGAGGTCTTGGAACACCATGAATAAGATGAGCCCGAGCAGTGCCGGAATGAAGCTGTAAAGGAAGTCTGCTGCTGAGAACGCGCCGTGTATGGGTGCTGCTGAGAGACGGGGAAGGAAACCGTTGGTGATCCTCGTGTGAGGTATGAAGGAAACAACGAAGACGGCCACGACGATTCCCAGACCAAAGATGATGCAGCAAAGGAGCGTGAGGCTGTTTAGACACCGGGGTATGTACCGGTAGCGGACGGTCGGCAAGTCTGGCGAGGTTCGGCTGATGCCGTCCCATAGTAGACTTCTCCTCTGCGCCCTGCGTTGCGCTGGTGTAGGTTTTTCATGGGCCTGAGACGAGCTCTTCTCATCAAATGCTTCTCTGAATAGGGCGGGTGAACCCCACGCGTCCTGATAGCTGCCAGAGCCCAAGGCATACCACAAATCGTGGTGCTTGTTGTGTTCCGCCGAAGTCCAGTACGCGAGCAAGTCAGTTCTTCTGTCTACCAACACTCTTTCAAGGTCATCTCTGGAACCAAGGATTTCCGTGTCCTTGTACTCCGCCAAGGTATCGCTGTGAGAGACAATGGCGATGACGTCTGCGATCGATCTCGGATCCCACATCACGCCAGTCTTGGCCTTCAGCCAATAACCCAGCTCGATGCCAATAGCTGCAGCCAGCAGTATGTACAGTGCCACCAGCGTCCAGGCAACCCCCTGAACCGTGGCCCACCTCCAATGCCCGTCCACATAGATGACAGTGAACAGGCAGCTCTGTAGTGGCAGCGTGATGTTCATGACCCAGGTAATAAGCATTGGCAACCATGTATCCCATGTTCCCACCAACTGCGGACGCAGAAACGAAGTGGGGTAGAGCTCGTCGAAAATGGCATTGTGGCGTCCCTTCTTCTCTGGCGAAGCTAATCTCGCATATGGACGCATGCGAATCATGGTGGTGACGATGCATTGGGCATAGAAAAGGATGACGGCGCCTAGAATTGCTGGAAAGACCCGGAATAAGAAATATTTGCCGTTGTAAATTGAGCCAGAATATTCCCAGAGCCCAGCCCATCTCACGGAGTAGATTGCGCAGAAGACAAGAGCCGCGATCATCATGATACACAGGATCATTAACGTTATCAAAGACGCGGGCCGTAGAATCTTGGGCTTGAAGACCAGTCTGGGGTTGATTCTCTCTCGGCCGTCTGTCATGAGCTCGGGCTCAATCGGCCGCCATGCTTCTGTTGGCTGGACTGGTGGAGCTGCAGTGCCCGTGTTAGTGCCCCTCACCAAAGTCGACATTGAGGAGCGCTGAGAAGCTGGCGTGAGGTCAGGAGCCGCAAGAAGTGGCGCGCTCTGTTCCTCATTAGGCCCTGTCAAGTTTTCGGGGCGAGAAGAGGCGGGCTGCGGCGTGACCGGGGCATTCTGATGCTGGTAGTATCCCAGGCCATGGTCAGGAACGAGTCGCTGGCCCTCGGAGCTCATAGACGACGGGTCCGACTGCCCTTGTTGCTCCCGCGTCATGGCTTCCAGGGCATACTGTATGTAAGGAGTGTCGTCGACTCCTGGGGTGACGCGAGCGGCCTCGAGTGCCAGCTGATCGCGAAATACTTCAGCGGGCCTGCCAGCCATTGGCACGACAGGAACCGAGCGGCGACGTTGTGCCTCGGCAATGACGCGCAACTGTTCTGGAGTGTACTGTGGTTGTGGCCATGGCCGCGAGGGCTGATCGGTTTGGTTCGCCATAGTGGGAGGAACCAGAGGACGTCCGTAGAGCCGCTCAGGGCCGTATATCTCTGAAGAGGAGTGAGAAGGATCGGATGAAGACGAGCTCAAAGTGTGGGGGGTGGCGGTTGGTTGAGGCGAGAGTGATGCTTGATCGAGTGAAGCATGTTCTGCGTCGTCTATTGCGCCATGGTAACGGGATGTGCTTGGTAGTCTGGTCGAGGTAAAAATTGTTGCTGGAAGGATGTTTGGGCGTGTAGCTTGCAAGCCTGTAAACAAACGAGTGTATGTAAGTCAAGTTGGCCGCTGGAGATGGTCTCGTAGGCAGGCAGTCAAGCAGGCGAGGACAAGGTGAGGGAGTAAGGAAGTAGTGAAAGACACTTACGAGGTGGCTCCACGTAGTCGAAGTTCAGGTTTTGAAAGTTCATGCTTCACGCGTTGCAGATGTCATGACGGGGCGTTTGTTTAGGCGACGATCCAATGTGTGTCTGTGTGTGTGTGGTGGCAACGAGATACTGTGCTGTGCATTGCAGTGCAGGATGGGGCCAGGCAGGGCAGGGCAGAGCAGTCAACACGAGCATCCACTTGGACGCGATGCTAGGCCAATTGCTGGCAGGATATGCAATGCAGGTCAAGGAAGTCTGCATGCTGTGTGATGCAGTTGGCGAGATATGGTTGGCGACACCTCACCTCGGCTGCCAGCTGGGCCATACTGGACCATGCTAGACCCTGTCGCTGCGATGTCACCGATATGATGGCGATTGCGTGGGAGGAGGCTGGGTGAGCGGTGGATGCGATGCTAGAATGCCAGGTGGTTGGGACTGTGGAGAGAGGGTAACACCAGCCACCCGCATGCAGCCCTGGCCGCCAGGGGAACATGCAGGAGTCCGCGCCAACGAACTCATAAAACCAACCGTCTGGTCTCGGATGTTTTCATCGCTCACGATGTCACCTCTCCTTGCCATCTTTGCAAGGTGACGGCCCATTCGAAGTGAGGTTCCTGGATCACTTGGAACAACCAGTGGGGCAGAGCTGAGGTGACCGAGGTGACTGAGAGTGACTTCATTGAGGATGCAAACTCAATCGAACCCCGGGGAGGGGCTCAAGCTTGGGAGCTAGTCGAGCTAGTCTAGAAGAGGAGCCATAGCTCTTAGCGCTGGTCTGTGCGGCCCCAGCCGAATAACGGGCACGATGTGGGGCTGCCGTCGAACGACTGAACGCATTGCAGGGTTGGGACCTGGACCAAGCCTCAAGCTTCAGGTTTCTTGGCCAGGCACCACTCTGACTCACCATCAACTCCTGTCTCCATCACGCTGTGATCACACGCTGTGAGACAACCTCTTGCCGGGTCTGCTGTAGAATCACTCGCCTCAATGGGATACGATTCAAAGGATAACCGCCTGTGGGATAACTTGTGGGACAACCCGTGTCTCTGACGGGATCGTCATTCATATGATAATCCTCTGCAGACCTGTCTGCTATCTCCAATAAAATAACTTCGACAACTGAGATGCGCGATTGGGCTGATATCTGACTGAGCTTAGAGAACACGAGCTTGAGGCTCTCAATAATGTCCCTCAGAATATTTCTATGGTTATTCAAAAATAGAAATGTTCCTCCCGGTTCAGATCACCTGGACGAATCATCAGACAGGGTCTCCCACGGCCTGGGCTCTGGAGTTGAGCTATTAGTCCCACTTTCCTGGACGATCGCCAAATTCTCCGAGACCAATACTTCATCATCACAAAGGATCATTGCCACTGTAGAAGCGTAAGTACCGTAAATACCTGATCATGGGCATACCTACCCTTGCCTCTTCCCGCGCTGTTCCGAATTCGCAGGTCATTTACTTTCTGAAGTTGAACTTCTCACGTTCTAGTGAGACCAAATTCTTATCGAGGTGGAATTATTGCAAACGTCTAATATCTTGGGAAACTAGGAACGGTCGAGAGGGACAGGACATACCTCATCGTCGTGACTAATGGTTTTGTCAGGAATTAGAGAAGAAAAGTAGTGTTGAGACTGTGTATCGTGCAAATAAGTACTATATGTATGATAATTTAACTTATGCAGAGAAGTGTTTGTCCAGTTCTCGATTGCTGAGCATGAATGGAAGGATCCAGAAGATATTCGCATATTCCAATTTTTGAAAGTGAAACTTTGTGACATTCTTGGATGGATGGGTTGTCCTTCCGATATTGATAGATAGTCCTCCTTCTACTTGCACCCGCTTTTCTCGATACAAAATCACCGCCTCCAGCCCATATCAAATTTGTTCTCTTCTCTCCTCGGGCACACTGTCTAGCCGCATGTCTACGTCTTGGAGCACGTACACGAAGACAAACGGGAAGCCAAAGACTACATTGCCTATAGAAACGACCAGCATTGTTTCGGAGATAACTTTAAATCCTCGCGAAAACTAAAGTCCGAGTGATATTTTCGACTGAATAAACAAACAGCAAAAAATTCGATCATTAACTTAGCAGTATGCTAGAGACCTATTGAAACCCTTGAATGGTGTCGTTTCCATTAAACAAAAACTTTCCTCGGCGGGCAACGGGACACGTAGATCGTGTCCAGGCACGATGTGTGGGAGTAGCCTGGAAAGTTTGCCCAACTCTAGTCACGAGCGGTGGAATTTCAGATGATAGAGAATACGTCTACATAGTCATCTATCAAATTCTTAGGGAGCCATCATCGCGCATCTACAGTCTACACTTAGGAGGCTAAGAAACACTCAATGTCAATCGCGGCGTTGCACGCATCACAGTCCCTAGATATCGAAATGTGCCTAGACCGCTTAATGGCATCCTCTGGCCTGACCTACGCTGCTTGCCGACCCTCCGGATTGTAGACCAACACGTATGTCAGCTCGAATTTCTACGGCTATTTTTTTTGTCGAAAATGCCGTCTACGCTGGGCGATTCAGAAATAAAACTGGTCCCCTATAATAGGCTTCTATTTTGCATTAATGCGAGCTCTCGTCCAGCTCTTCTAGTTCGTTGTGGGAATATCAGTCCGCATAACTTTTGCATTCGGATTGAGAGCTATAATCCCCTGGTCGAAGTGGTCGTTGGCCCTGGACACGTAATCGACAGCGAACACGTAGCAGGAATTCTACGATTTGTAATCCAAAGCAGAAGGTGTGGATTCAATATGACCCACGTGTCATAGTCAAATTTCTTCGATCGTGCTGCTGAGCTTATATCTCGAAAGGGCTTGAGGGAGTGCACTGCCACGCGAGAATTAACTTTGGAAGTGCGGTGCATTTAGCACTGTGCTTACATGCGGAGAAAGACACATACATGTGGATCGAGCAATGTTTGTAAATCGAACAGGTCTAGAGATTATCAAGTAGTCTACATGAAGTCGCCTTTATCTCTCCCAATAGGGGTATTCCGCGATAAGGCCATTCCTCTGTAAGGGCTAGGTCCAGCGGCGTGTCCTGTGGAGGTTCGAGAGAGGGTCTAGTGCAAGCTAGCGATTTGGATGGGAAAGAGATTCTTAGATACGCAGTACAATAACGGTTGATCGTGCGCAAGAATTGCCAGAAGCTTGTTGTTGAGCCACTATGTGCAAGAAGGAGGGTCTCTAGGCTGGAGTACATACATGAAGAGGGAAAGGCTGTTTCCCCCGCCACATGATCGTAAGTTTCCGTGCAGCACCCCATATAGCAATTGCGGCCTGGACCCAATCGACCCAGGATAACTACCCACTCAGACCGGCACCACAGCTCATGATCTTTTGTGTTTGTGGTTGTGATTTTGAAGATCATGAGCTGTGGTGCCGGCCTGAGTGGGTGGTCATCCTTGGCCGACCGGGGGCAGGCTGTAAGTGCTATATAGGGCGCTGCACAGGATTTTTTGTGTTATACTACTCTATACTGTAGTCTCAAATTAAAGCCTTTTCTCGTCACTGAGAGTTTTACTTCAGGTACCACGGTCTCCGGAAATGCCGTGATGTTTGTGAAGGGCGAATGCGGCGAGCTCGTCGATAGTCAAGGGGCAGTCGTCAGGGTCTCGGAAGGTTTACGCACGTCATAGATTGCGACTTTTTCAGCTGATACCTTGGTACTTTTCTAGCATAGACGTGGCTCTAATTTCTAGCTCAGGGGGAGGGAGGTATGCTGCCGTTGTAACGGTCTGCATTCGGTACCTCCCTCGGGCCTTTTTCTGACCAGTCGACCAACACCCGGGTCTCACAGCCCCTATAATACAACGGAGGAGACTTCACGCCTTCCCGATTCAAGCATACGTAAAATGACTCGAAGCGGATCGATTCGCCTAGCATTTACCCTTTGCTCCGTGTCAGCTCCTGTCAGTGCCACCCTGCCAGGCGGAAGACCGTGCGGGACGCAGCCCATTTGTGGGGAATCAAACAAGCTTCTCCTTTCCACTTCCGATCGTTACGACATTAATCATTTAGACATCGCACCTCAAACAAAACCCTTCATCAAGCCGGCATCTCACGATCTCACGTCAGCCCTCTTCACGAGGACGAGGTGGGCTCCCACAGAAACAGAGTCTTCAGGTGACCCGGCGTTATTCCCGGCTGTGCGCTGCCCCATGTGAATCTCCAGACCGGCAGCTGCTGGCTGACCCCTGATGGAGCACTGGGGATGTCATAGTAGCAGTCCGTATCGCCTTGGCAGAGAAAGTTGTATGCCATTCCATCCTACACGATGCTCATGGTCAGCCACGATCTTACTGCCGAGGTGCTAAGACGAGAACACAGTTCTGCTCTGGAAGAGAGGGGTAAAGGGGTCAAGGTTGCGACTCACGATGGTGTACAGCTGATCTGTCACCGCGGCCTCGTGAGGCCAGCACGACCAGGCATAGCTGTTCGCCCCGTAGTGGCTGTCCGTGTTCGCCTGCTGCGACGAGTTGGTGAAGGAGCAGTTCCCTGCGCTGGTGGAGACGCCATACGGGTACGTGTCGCGGAAGGTGAAGGTCGCGCACTCATCCACGACAAGCTTGCCCGTGGCATCGACGCAGCCGATGTTCATATCCGGGGTCGCGGTTGTGAAGGAGCTGGAATTAAGGACTGATATCGTGCCCGACCCGCTGAGCACGGTGGCGGATGCCAGCCCCGGCAGCAAGGCCGTGGCGGCAAAGAGGGCGGTGATGGGTGCGAACATTGTAGTAGATAGGGGATTGTGTCGAGGTTCTCACGAAATATTAGTCTAGGTGTCTCGCTGGATGCTGTATAAAGTCTTGGACACAGTAAGCCGGGGATGTCTTCGACTTATATCACGTTCAACCACACCCTCGGGACATGACGGAAGTGACAGGAGCCGCTCCGTTGCTTCCTACTTTGCTGAGCGGTCAAATGGCGGAGTCATGCCCCTTGAACGACCGCTGCTTTCAGTACTATGGTACGTCTGCTGCGAGTCGGAGGCAGCCACTGACTCCTCCCATTTCAGTAAACTTCCAATCCCAAAAGTCGTCCCACATGCCCTTTTGCGAAGTAGCGCGCTCGCCGCTCTCATGTCACCTGCCTTATACAGGGTTCTGGACCTGTCCATCTGTGGGAGTGGGCATATTAACAAGGTTGGCTGTATTATGGTTACTGGGCCGGTGGGGCCTTCGACGATGCTCTTTTGTTATTCCATTGGCAGATATGATTTGAGAGGGAGAAAACTTGGCACATGTCAGGCGGAGCCTCGCGAGGAAATGGGCTTATTCGAGCTGGTTAATAATCGTTTGTAATTTCAACCGGGGCAAACAGAAAAAAAAAATAAAGAAAAAAAAAGCAAACCTGCTCGCGTGAATATGATGCCTTGAGAAACGAACCCTGCTCGGGTTGAACCCCTCCTCGCTTGCACAGCTTGCAGGGATCTCAATAGTAACAGATTGCAAGCCACCTACCACATAATCAAGGAACAAGAGAAGAAGAAAAAAGCGAAGACTGCTTGGTTATTCCGGGGATGCCATCCTGTGAAGGCTATTCGACAAAAGTCCACCCCAGAGAGATTATTCCAGGAGGGTTGTCCCAAGAAGGTTATCCCAAGGAGGTGTTCCCAAAGAGGTCATCCCAGGAGATTATCCTAAGGGAGGTGTTCTCAGAGAAGGTTATCCCACTGGGCGAAGAAGGGTGTGGTAATCAAACCACTTGCCACCTTTTGGGACCTTTGCGAGCTATGCTACTGGTCCTCGGCTCCGACCGCGGGCGGTTATAATTACGGGGCATTTCGGAGTTGCGAGAAAGCCCTCCTGTCGTTCTTCACAATCTTATCAGATCTGACCCACAAGCGAGGAAGCGCTATTGCCGATGTGCCTAGGTAGACTGCGGTCCCTGCATCGGCAGTCAATATTTTCACCGATCTCTTTAGTCATCCGGATTTTCCGAGGTTTGATGTATGAGAACTTGAATTTTTCATCACGCAGTATATATGTGGAATGGTGTTGGATTTCGAGGAAGTTATATGGAGCTCCATTCCTATTTCGACCAGAGTTTCGAGCTCCACACGTTCGTGAATTATGAGCATGATAAATGAGCTACATATCAACGCTTGTATGGTGTAGCGGTAACATTCAACCCTTCCAAGGTTGAGCTTAGGGTTCGACTCCCTATGCAAGCAGTAAAGTAAGAGATACTACTACATGTATCTCGGGATCTTTTTTTCCCCTTGTAGTTCGTCCTCCACAGGCATGTTGATGATATTATCCTTTCGCCGATTCCAAAGTCTGAGAGGATCTCGGAAAGTTTCCCTGTTAATGTATTTTGCCCTTACATATCAGGGTGGAAATACCTCTCATATGGTCTAACTGCGACGTGTACAAATCTCCAATAATTCTTGAGAAAATCCACTGCTCCCTATAGTGTTCACCCAACAACAAATGTTTTGGAGAAAGACTTTGAAAATGAACCAGTCAATTACAGACCGTGTGACGGGAAAACTTGTGGGAATCTTGTGCGCCGTATTGCTTTGGTTGCAAGTGTTATTCACCACGTGAGATGGACTGACGGCAGTTTGTCGGTCAAATTCGCAGTATCCCTGTGCGCCGGGTTCATGCGGAGCCAGACGGGGAACTTGTAAAATTGTAACGAGGCTGGTATAATCGGTCACGTCGGTGTTGGATTCGGCCATGAGATCAGGGAAGACGGGTCACGTCGAGTACCACAGAGCTCTGGGTGCAGCCTCCATCAACCTCCGCCCGTGTTGGGGGAAGTCCGTGCCGTAAGAGTCGGGACCGAAAGCCCCGGCTCCTTCCGGACTGCCCTAGATTACGGCTGAGCCTGTCGGAGAATGCGCACATCAATGCAAACTGCTGCCTCGCGTCACGCAGCCGTGCTGATTTCCTGGTCGACCTTGCATCAAATTCATGCGGACAATGAGGTCCTCGTCAGCTTCCAGCTCTTTGTGCGATGCGTCTGCCTGGGCACGGAGTAAGGGAGAGTGATACCGGAGGAGCTGTTGGCGGGCGGATTTGTTGGTCCGATTCGAGTAAGAGGGGCTATTCTCGTTCCTCGGCAATATAGGCCCGTCAGTTCCAGACGCGATTCCGTCAATTCCGTCTTTATATAAATCAAGCTCGCATCATCGAACACAATTGCAAGTCAGAAGCAGACCAGAACAAAACGAAGCCCCGAGACCAAAAACAAATCAGTATCATTATCACCAGACAGACAACATGTCCAAGCTCATCAACCGCGTCACCATGTTCAAGCTCGAGGGAGCTGAGGCCCAGGCCAAGCTGCTCGCCGCCTACGACAAGCTGGCTAAGGAGCAGAACAGGGTAAGTCTGATAGTCAAGGAGATGTGAACCATGGGAATCGCTATTAGAAAAGTGAATTCTGACGTGATCTACAGGATGGCAAGCCTTATATCGCATTCCTGAGCGCCGGCATCGCTCATGACGATCCCCGCTCCAAGGGCTACACTGTTGTCGCGCAGTCGTCATTCTACAGCCTTGACGACATGAAGTACTACGACGATGCGGACGTTAGCCACCAGGAGCTCAAGAAGACCGCCAGGGAGGCTGGGTTGTCGGAGCCGCCTTTGACGGTCTATGTCGAGGCAGCCCCAGCCATTGACTTGAAGAGGGCTTAGGGAATTTCGCGTCAGACTATTGATAGATGCCTAGCCTCTGATCGTGGTATCTCGGGAATTCATACTAGGAATTGGATGTACCTATTACCTATCGAAAGTCGAGACAAAGTATCGCCTCTAAAAGAGACAGCATCTAAACTACTTGTGCCTCCCGAAACGCCGTGCATACACGTCTCCGTGCCATTGAAGTCAACAAAACTCTCTCATCTCACCTGAATATACCCACTCGCTCACGCTCACTCACTCACTCACTCACCTAGCGGAGGAGCAGTCTCGGTTTTGACGCGCTCTTCAGACCTCTTCTTGAGGTCCTCAGCCCAGCACTGAAACCCCTTCTCCAGCTTGCCGCCTGTGGTCAGCTTGACGACGGGGCCCAGGAAGCCGTACATAGTCTCCCAACAAGTAAATTCGGTGCCCCCCTTCCCATCGTCGACAAATTCCTGTACGCGCTCGCCCCGCAGCGCCATATTCGGGTAGCCCGTAGGCTTCCACGCGATGCGCCAGCCCTTCCTCCCCGCATGGTCGTACGGCTCCAGCAGTGTGACCTGTATTGCCTCCTTCCTGCTGCTGCTCGGTGTAGCGTTGTCTGGGTCAAGATGAACCTGGAAGTACATCTTCATGTCCTTTTTCAAATAAGTCGAGCCGTCGCCGCCTTGTATCAGTGTCTCGAGGGCATTGGCGTCGGGGTCGGCCTCGGTTGCGGGCGGGCTGGAGATGACGGTGAGCTTCCTGATGAATCGATTCCACTCTGGCCATTTCGTGTGGTCTGCCAGAACGGTGAAGACGGTGTCGGGCGGCGCGGCAATGTGTGTCGAGACGACGATGCTGAAGGATCCGCCGGCGCCAAAGGTTGGGGTTGCGATGGCATTGGGGATGATGGAGCCTTTGGTCTCGCGCGGGACCGGCGGGTTGCTGGTCGTGAATGTCGATTCTGAGTCTGCAGGAGAAGCCATTGTGTGCCTGTGGAGTATCTCAGGGCATTTACGGTTACCTAGAAGGGAACGGAAGCTGAATTTTGCTCGATTCGGTCGTCAGCAGGTCAATTGCGTAGGATGAGTGCCCGAGCTGGATCCCGGTCGATACAGGGCGATCAATCCGGCCCAAGCTCCTTGCTATTTACGGACAGCAGCTCCCAGCTCTGAGACCGTCTCGTCTGCCCCTCCAACCCCTCCATGAACATGAATTTGAGGTGCGTATGGACAGTCCAGTCATTTGTGTAGTGAGATGAGTGAAGAGAAAGAGGGAGGAGGGATGTCCCACTGCTTCCTGGTTCACACACATGTGAAAGAAAGACTCTGTCATCTTCATCCAGCGTATCAAATGGTCGGCCCTATGTCCTCTTCAACATGGGAGATGCCTCGGTACTGTAGTACACATCTAGACTACGTGCTTATATTAAGGACGGGATATCCTGGGCGAAACGACACACCGCCATCCAAGCCTGCAGCGCCTCATGCGCCTTATCAATGTTGCCAACAACGACTGGAGCATGCCTGTCTCACAATTATTCAGGGTCCCTATATCTCTCTCTTTCAGGGCTATCGACGAGTCCAAGGGCAGTCAAAGGCCCCACAAGGAAACGTCAGCCTTTTCCTTCCATGAGAGAGCCTGAGAGGCAAGATCTGACGACTAGGGCGGGGCGTTTGAGATGGATTGCTGGAATGTGGGGGGAGGCGGCTGGATGATCGCCCTTGTGTCCCCTGGGCTGCTGGGTTGACAGATGACGCTAGCCGTATATGAGCGGTCGATACAACGTAGCAATCATCGACCTTTGTCCTTCGTGATTAATTCGCCATTTTGCCATTCCATTCCACCTGTTAGCTCATTGCTATCTTCAACACCAAGACCAACACCTTCATCCGTACATCAAAAGAGACAACGAGCACAATGGCGTCTACCTTTGACTTAGTTGGAGCTTCTAAGCGCGACCACCGGTGACCTTCTCGTCTAGATCCGAGGGACCCGGACCCTATTGTCGGACTCAGTGGCCACCCACACTACACTCCAAGGAGGCACCATTCGACAACGGTCTAGACCTGAGACATATTGCTTACGAATGAAGATTTTTGCTGCCATCGAGCCAAGATTTCATCCTGTTTCCTATCAGCCGAGACTCGTCACTAGGCGGCACCAGAGGTGCAGGCGCATGTGAGGCGAGCCTCTTGACTCGCAGCATCACGACCCATCGTCGAAACACATCCTATCCTGGGCTGTGGATATCCTCTAGCGTGATTGATCCTCAATCTCAGCCCTGGTACGACTCATCACCAGCCTAAGCCCTGCTACAAAACTGCCCCATTGGCCCCCTTCTCGCCCGTCCCTTCTCCAGGGCAACTTGTCCCGGTTTTCGTCTCTGGATCGACACCAGGATGGACCTCTCAAGCCTCGACCAGCGGGTGCGAGACACCATCCAGAAGCACTCGTCCGACAATATCCCTTTCCGCGCCACCACTAGCCACGCTCACAAGACCTGGGCTCGCACCTTCACCAGCAAGCCAGAGCTGTATATCCGCCCGCAGTCCGTCCAGGAGGTCCAGAAGGCCGTCAATCTCGCCCGTCAGTGCAGACGGCGCATTACTACCACAGGCGCAGGCCACTCGCCCTCCGACCTGACATGCACGTCGTCGTGGCTCGTCAACCTCGACGACCTGCGTGATATCATCCATCATGACACCGACACAAACATCGTCCACTTCCAGGCCGGCATCCGCTTGTGGCAGCTCGGCGAGGAGCTCGACCGCATGGGCCTTGCCATGCCCAACCTGGGCAGCATCAACGAGCAGTCCGCCGCCGGCGTCATTTCTACCGGCACTCACGGCTCATCCCTGCGCTACGCGCTCATCAGCCAGTCTATCGTGGAGCTCATGATCGTCACTGCCGACGGCCAGGCCCGCACGTGCAGCCGCACCAAGGACAACGAGCTTTTTCGCGCCGCGCTGCTGTCGCTCGGCGCCCTGGGTATTATCGTCGAGATCAAGTTCCAGACCTCCCCGGCCTACTCGCTCAAGTGGACCCAGACCATCGACTCCGACGCCGTCATGTTCCGCGACTGGGCCTCCACCCTCTGGGACCGCGGCCACTTCGTCCGCGTCTGGTGGTTCCCCTATACCCGCCGCTCTGTGGTCTGGACCGCCAATGTGACCACTGAGCCGCATCGCGACCCGCCGCGCAACGGCTACGACGGCACCCTGGGCTACCTGGTGTACCACAACCTCCTGTGGCTGGCCCATTACGTGCCGCGCATCCTGCCGTGGGTTGAGTGGTTCGTCTTCGGCTTGCAGTACGGCTTCCCCAACGAGAGCACCACCTCCGCCATCCAGCCGCAGCGCAAGGCCCTGCTCATGAACTGCCTGTACAGCCAGTACGTCAACGAGTGGGCTATCCCACTGAGCAAGGGGCCCGAGGCCATCAGGAGGCTGTCGTGCTGGCTCAACAACCTGCAGCCGGGCGACCGCGACTACTGTGAGCACCGCATCCCCTTCAGCAGCCGTGGCCTGTGGGTGCACGCGCCCCTCGAGGTACGTGTGACCGACACGTCGCGCTTCCTGGCCAACACGGACGGCAGCGGCGTCGAGCAGCGGCCGTACCTGGACCCCACGTGCAAGGACGGGCCGACTTTGTACCTCAACGCGACCTTGTACAGGCCCTATGACTTGGACCCGCCGTCGCTGGAGCGCTACTACGAGGCGTTCGAGTGGCTGATGCGGGACCTCGGCGGGAAGCCGCACTGGGCCAAGAACATTTCCAATGTCAACGTCAAGGACATCGAGAACATGTATGGCGAGGACCTCGAGGCATGGAGGGCGGTTAGGGATAAGGTGGACCCCAGGGGCTTGTTCGTTGGCAGTTGGCACCGACGGTATGTGCTTGGCGGCGATAGCCCGCTGCCGTTGGAGGAGAGGGAGGAGAACAAAGTGTTGACAAAAGGAAAGGGGTGGTTCTGGCAGGGAAAGATGGCGGAGAACTGAGGCGCAAATATATCGAAAAGGAAAAGTTTTGTCATGTTTCTAGCGAGGATAAGGACCAGGGTCAGGTTATTTCGCTGGCATTTGAGTGAGCATTCATCCAAGGTAGCGGCCAGATTTCTTTACTACACCTATTGGTGGCGATACAGATTTTCAAGCATTTCAGCAACTAGAAAATATTTTCCTTTTCAAGACAGTATGGTAAAGTCCATTGGGTATCTATGTAATGCCATCTCACAAAATATACAAGATATAGATGGTGTGCCTCTAAATCTTACACGTGTGGTATCATTGCAGCACACGGCTCATCTCTCCACAGAGTCCCGTACTCATAAATTTTCATGGCCCCTCGAAGGGCAAGCATCGCACCCGCATCGTGGCCTCTTTCTGACCGCAGGGCAAGCAGGGCAGCCGCAGACATCCCGTCCGCTGACGTCAACCATCTCAAAGGACTTGTGCAGCTTCTCTTCCTCGCCCACGACCGTCTCGCTGCGGTCATCAGCATCGTTGTCCTCGTCGTCACCCTCTGCCACTCGGATGGTGAGTGCTCCCGAGTCATTCTCGCCGAGGCCGTGGTACAACCCACCAAGCGCCTCCTCGCTGTTGGGCATTAAGGAACGCCCTGCCCTCGGGTGCTCCGCACCCGCTCTGTCTGTCGTCCTCCACCAGAACCAATACAACACACCGAGGCCCAGCACGCCCAGGCTGGTGGCGGGGTAAGTGAAATAGGGGAACTGGTCGTCCTCGCCCATGCCGTTGTGCGATGGTACCCAGGGCAGCACGAGAAGGAGGATGTTGCTCGCGGCAGACACCAGGATCGCGATCCGCGGCGCCCTGCAAGGCGTGACCCAGCGCTCGCTGGGCGAGTTGTGGAGGTGGAGGAGCCCGAGCGACACTGCGACGCTGATGACCGACACGGGGTATCCACCGATGTCGACCAGGAAGTTGTAGATCTTCCCCGGCGGCGGGAGGACAATCACCGCCACGGAGACAAGCCAGTGGAGCAGCAAGCCTCGCGAAGGGGTGCGCGAGGCGCCATCCCTCCTGGGCGACCCTGCGCGGCCGCGGGCCTTGCTCGGGCTGGATGACCGGTCGGCAGCCACCTCGGCGCTCCGGTCCACGGTCAGCCAGAAGCGCGGCAGGACGCCCTGCTTGGCCAGCTCCTCGTTGACCCTCGCCTGGGCGAAGCTGGTGGCGGCGATGTTGCCCGCGGCGGAGACGACGACGAACAGCGGCAGGACGTGCTCGCCGAGCCCGTCGCCAAAGACCTTGCGGAAGAAGGTGCCGGCGACGACGACGCCGGCCGAGCGGAACTCGTCCTTGTCGACCACGAGGAAGAAGGCGACGTTGATGGCGAGGTACGCGACGCTCACGAAGGCGAGCGCGGCGGGGGCGGCGATCTTGAGCGTCCGAACCGGGTTCCTCACGTCGCTGAGCACCTGGTTGGCCGTGCTGTAGCCGCGGAAGCAGTAGATGACCTTCAGCAGCGCCGTCGCGTAGTCGTACGGCTGCGTCGACGTGCCCTCCCAGATGTTGCTGAAGTTTCGCTGTGCCGACGACGACGGCGCGTTGCCATTCATGGCCAGGTCGATCCTCCTCCCCTCGATGGTAGATTCTCGGTCGGCGCCGACGCCCATGATCCCACCTGCGATCCCTGATACCACCACAATGACCAGGATTAACATTTTTGCCACCCCGAGGGTGTTGATTAGTTTCAGCCCCGTGTTGGGAGCACGCGCGTGGATGTAGCACAGTGAAGACACAGCGAGGACCGCAATGAGCCGGACATTCCACCTGTTTGCCTCGGTACCCGTCGCATACAGGGCATACTCGCCAAGCACGATTGCATTGGGCGTCGAGAAGCCCAGCAGAACGCCATAGGACATGAACATGCATGTGGCCAGCATGTAAGGCTTCCGGAAGATTCGCTCCAGGTACACCTTCTCGCCTCCCGAGCGTGGTATTGCTGTGCCAAGGTCAAGGTACACCGCCAGCCCGCAGAATGAGATGAGGCTGCCAATGACCCAGAGCAATAGTGTCACTGTTCGAGTCATTGTCAGTAAGTGAATCTGAGGTAGTTCGGCCATCCCAGGATTGTACTCTGGGGGGCATTTTGAGACCAGTTGCCAAGCCTCGAGAGTGATAGAGAACTTCGGATGAGAAGAGAACATACTGCCGACGGATCCAACACCGCTGAAAATCGCCGAGGGCACAGAGTAGGCGCCGACGCCCATAGTCTTGCCCACAATTATATTGATGGCGGACAAGACACCAAGCTTGCCTTCATCAAGCTGGGCAAGTGCTGGTGGCGGCGGCAGCCCCGGCGAATGTGGCAAGAACCATGTTTGATCAGTTGGTGAGTCTATCGAGGCACTCTCGTCGTCTTCATCGTAGACGTATTTACCCTCCCCTATTACTGTCGACAGTCCACTTTTTGCTACCAGGCCTGAGAATGGCCTTGGCGGTTCCAGGAACGATCCATGCCTCGGGGTTGAGCTCGTCGGCCTGCCTCCATGTGTTGGTGTGATCGGGGACCGACATGATAGAGTGAACGAGTTCCTTAGTGGCGATGCCGCGGTGGAGAATGCACTAAAATTGCTGAAGGAAGCATTTTTAAAGCTGAGTGGTGGTGGAGCCATTCGGATGGGCTGATGATGGCGTGTGGGCGAGAGACGGGATGTCTCAAGGAGTCTCGCTGCTCTGGGCGAGCACGTTTCTCGCAGGAACTTGCTCAGCTGATTATGGACCGTATGGAGCTTTCCAAACGACCAGTTGAGCAAGTTTGTCTTCCAGGAAACACACTAGGAAAATATTAAGCTCGTCTCGTCGCTCCAAAAGTTGTAGAAAAGAGGACTGCGATCAACGCGATGAAAAGAAAACACAAAAGTCCTGACCACGAAGAGATGAGGAGAGACCCGCCGGATTGTGGGATGCACAAACAGGACCGGACGGTACATTAAGACAACTCAACGATCAAACATCGTCTGAACGAACAGTACGGATGGCATTGGACCTGGGTCAGCTCGGCTCTTGACTGGCTGCTACACAGTTACTTCACCGGCCGGGGAAGGGGGACTCTGTCATTGCGCTACAAGCGAGCGCAGATCATAGTCCCGATGGGAATATATCGGCGGCCATCTGTTGGGTATGACGAGCCGATAAGATCTCGTCGCATCTTGCAAGGCAGAGCAGAGGGGCAGTTCCAATTTTGGACGAGATGGTGAAGAAAACGATAAGATCCCCTCGACTCGGAGCAACGTCACAACATGGGCAACATGGGACTGTGACTGTTTGAAACGGGGGACATTTCAAACAGCCAGCCTGGCAGACGGGTTGATTGGGTGATCTTCACTGCAACGCTCTGGCGCCGCGGCCTGTTCAGATATTCCCAGCAGAGGAGATGTCCCACCGAGTCAGCGAACAAGCTTTTGCCGAGGTGTTCAAGCGAGGGCGGCCTGCAGAAGCCAAGTCCAGCCTCGCGGTGTATCTTTGGATCGACATCGCGGGCCTCCCCTGCACGTCAATTCTCTGGGGCAAGCATTGGCGGTCTTGGCACAAAGCTGTGACAGCACTGGGGCTCTGAAACCAGGCCGGCGGGGACGTTTATGTGGAGCTTTGCAACAGGACTGCTCACTGGGGGGCACGGACTGGACGGCGGTCACGGTTGTCGGTGGGCGGTTCCAAGTTGGACTCGCGCCTCCACGCCCGTTTCAAGCTGCAGTCGATCACACCGGCTCCTTGGGCATCTCTGTTGTACATATAGCAACAGGAGCAGAGTGTCTCCTGTGTCGGCAGTCGGTCCAAGTGACGACGCCCTGTTGAAGACCAAGACGATTTGCAGCCCAGGCAGATCGCAATCGCCCGTGGCCTCTTGGCCAGCGATCTTCCAAAGGGCTGGCTGCAGCGTACCAGAATGTGGGATGCAGCATCGTGTCGAATGCCTCCGGCCATCGCGAGCGGCAACTCAACCCAATCCGTCTGATGTTTGTTGTCGGCAACTGGTCTGTTGGTAATGTGAGCGTCAACACGGTACTACAGTATCCTGAAGACAGGCCGCGTCAACTCATGTTCGGATAAGGCCTTTCCCGAATTCAGACGACGAAGCTCGGATGAAACCTTGAGTTGACGCACCTGCAGGTTGCTTGGGTAGTAACCGTGAGATTGACTTCTCCAAGTTGGGGGCAGCCGCATCTCTTCCTTGCTCGCCCGTATTTAGAATTGGTTACCCAAAGCAGCCCCAAATTTCATGAGGCCACAACGACTGGACTTGACTTCCGTCCCCACGAGGAAGGTCTTTGGGCCGCATGTAGCACCACCAATTAGAACTTATACCAAGATTGACTTGTGAGCGCTATTCAATGTTCATTTTCGTCCAAAGCAAGGTATTGACCAAGATATTGACTCGTCAACTCTAACTTCTTACGAATAAACGCCTTTAATAAGAAGATGTCATAGTGTTATTATCTGTCCTTGAGTTAAGTTACAGATGTCTTCCAAGCAGATATATTATAATAGTGCTATGAAAAGCCATCGGCCATCGCATGACAGTTGTATATCTCTTAATTACTGCCGGGAAGCTCTGCAAGGAGCACGTCGTTGGGCAGCTCCGAAGCGAACTGGTTCTCGTGGCTGGGTAACTCTGAAACATACTGCTGTCCACCGTAATGTGAATCAAGCTCTTGGACTGGGAATTGATGGGTCTGACTTGATGCCAGAGACTGCTTGAATTTTCTTCGATGCCGGAGCGGAAGGATCACGAGAGTGGAAATGAGGCCTAGGCCCGCAACCCCACCAATCACTCCACCGGCAATAGCGCCGACGGGTGTTTTGGTAGTAGGAGATATCGAGGAAGTAGGCAAAGGCGAACCAGACTTCGTGGCTGAGGAAAACTTAGTTTCAACCCAGAGAAGACACAACGTTGTGTCTCGTTGAAGGGGCCATTACTCACCATTGGAATATGTAAACATATCACGCACAGCTTCACTTGTCCAAGCCACCATTTCCAGTTCTCCTTGGCTATACCAGTCCTTGATTATTTCTGGCGAGTCGTAGTCTGCAGCGCTGGCATCATAACCAGAGGTCCAGGACATTTTAGGCATGTCCATCACCCCTAAACCTTGGCTCCATGGGTCCTGATCAAGAAGCGAGTCTGGCCATTTCGTGGTGGCTACGTTGCCACCGATCGACAACATCTGGCGTTTTCCCACAAGGACGCAAGCATGGCCGGCCCGTGGGGTCGCTTGCTCGCTAGCCTGGAAGAAAACAAAGCCAGGAAGAGATAATACGTAGACCCGATCCGACGTGGTTGAATCCGTTGTCCAACCACCGTAAATAAATCTGTTCGTCGATTCAGTCTCCATCTGCTAATGGCTGAACAACTTTCGCTCACATTTCGTAAGTGTTGTTTGGCCCTTGAACGCCAACGCTACAGAACGCATGTCTCGGGGTCGGCCGCGACCCTGTTGTAAGTTGAGAGTACCACTGGCGAGCTTGAGTTCATCAGCAAGAGTACGCGGGTCTTCCAAGTTCCAAATTAGACCTACTTAAGGGGTCCCATATCCAGAGCTTCCCAAAGTCGATGTCATTTGTCTTGTTAGGGTTCCCAACTGGTGACTCGAAGCCTCCTAGAACCAGAATCAGACCATTGGGTCCGAAGGGAACATGCTCCGCACGGCCAGAAAACAGTGTTCCATATGATCCAAACCCGACTGACGAGATATTTTCCCATTTTTGCGAACCGATATCATAGGACACGATTCCACTCAGGGCAATGGATACCCCCTTAGGTATGGATGGGTCGGACTTAGATTCAACCACACCGCCTAAGCAATATCCTGTATTGTTGACGACGCAGAACATGCAGTCACGGGGACGCACGAGGTCGCTGAAAGCAGCCTCATTTCCAGGCTTGACTGACTCCCAGGCGCCGCCGCCGTTCCCATCCGCCGTGAACTTCCAAAGTTCATTATTTGGAGCCAGTCGATCGTAACCCATCGATCCACTCCAAATATAGAAGCTTCTGGAGGAAACATCGAGCCAAAGCGATTCACTGTTGAATATGGGGACATCGGTCTTCGGCGTCGCTTGCAAGCAAACGGTCATGTTCGTCCATGATGATCTAAGATCAATGGATATCGTTGAGTTGACTGTCGAGATGAAGTGGTAAGCAATTGTCTCAAGATATCACTGCGTCGATATATCACACGCACCCCAGTATGAAGGATGGTTCGCGACAGGATGGATGCCATTGACCAGCTCTGAGACCTCCCCTCCATCGAAGTAAACATAATCGCCCAAAACTGTCGCTACACAATTATCAGTCCCAGGTGCCAGCAATATTAGTCTTCAACGGACCTGAGGGCCAAACGCGGCGAAGGAAACTTTCGGGTGCGGGAATATCGACAGCATTGGCGACAAGACTAGAAATAGTCACAAGGAGCCAGAAACGCTGGGGAAACTTTTGAGATGCTAGCATAGTGATTTGCAACAGTGATTTGCAACCTGATCATGCAATTGATGGCGGCAGAAATTCGTGGAAAGGACACTTAGAGAGGACAGTCATATTGACTGCTGGGGAAAGTAGTCAGGAGCAACATTGAGTAAGGCTCCAGCTACAGCTGATCCTCATCCTTTGGTGACACCAACCGGAAAGACTAATACCGAGGTTCTTCCTTGGGGTAGGACAGACTGAGGCGCAAATGGCCAAGAGAACGCCTCCTTTAGAAGTTGTGATACATCTTCTTACTGGTTAATAAGCGTCTACAATGCAGGATGTGTACTATATAGAAGCTAAGATATGAAACTTGTCAATGTAGAAATTGACTAATAATACAAATCAGATGCTATAGTGAAAGTGGACAAATATCGACTTATATGTTCAAAGAAATGTCTATGAACAAATCTATAAACAGCTTCCCAAAAAGAACTCCTCAGTACATATCTCTACATCTTCGACGCAGTTGCCACAAGGATGTCATTCGCCTCTAGCTCGCCCCTCCCCGCTCACGCCAACGCCGAGACGTTCTCTTGTAAACAGTCGATACCAAAGGAAATTTTATGTCATTTGCACAACACTAGAAGTCGACTAGATGGTCGGCAGGCCCCTCCCTATATATATTCCAGGAGAACATACTTGTAGGAGAGCTATGTCCCTAGGAGGCGTGATAGTAGTTTGGGAAGGAGTACTCTACAGATTTGAGCTTCAGTCCCTCGCCTAGCAGGCACACGTGCTGGGTGACCATTACAGCCAGGCCGCAGCGCTTCTGGCTTCCAGCTTTTGCCCATGGGCTTGTCCGAGGCGCTTGCAGCTCAGTAATTGACCCACCTACACTTACTTTTTACTCACTTTAGAACAGGGCCTGCACTTATTCCAGGCTTGGGGCATAATGAATGAGGGGCTTGTAAAAGCACGTACTTAAGTACGTAAGGTATCAGCGGAGATAACCACACCACTCTTTGTTTGCGCAAGTGTTGAATTGAAGCAAAGTCCAACCTGCTGTTTGATACTCAATATTGAAGTAACATTTAGATGGTAGCTTAATGGTAACAACTTCGCTTCCAAACAAGGTTTTCTCCGTATTACTTGGTATCGTGGCTTGATAAAGACAGGGGAACTTGCTACCTGTCTACAGCACGTAACTTGTGATAGATGTATTTTCTATCTGGGAACACTAACTACAATGGAAACTGCTACTGTTTAAGACTGGCTGAGGCCCGAGGGACTGGCTTCGAGGCGGCATTGGGACGCGATTGAGGGGATTGAAGTCAGTAATTGAACTGATGGGATTAGACCCGACATAGAGTCGCTAAGCGTACCGACTGTGTGACATGCAATTCAATTACTACCGGGTTTCAAATACTCAAGACCGACACACGTTTACAGACAATGATGTCGTTGAGGCATTAGAAGTAGCTATGGGTTCACGGAGATACCAAGATGCACAAGAGTGTACAGCCTCGATGGGCATCCTCGAATTTGATAAGATTAGCGTGTACAGTTGTCGTAGCTCATTAAGAAACATAAAACGTTTCCACTCTAAATATCACTTCTAGAGAGGTGGCTGACTTCAAAAGTTTTCATGGATGAGAGGAAGGGAGATATGACAGCTGCCTGTCAAGTATTTCAAGCACTGAGCAGCCACTTGGGCAGCACCTTCCAGCTCGCCCTGCTTCCATTGCCCGGGTTGTAGAATCAGACAGGCACCAGTCAATTTTTCATCTGATATCACCCGCAACTTTCGACAGCTGCAGTGAAGCTTGGAGCCCTCGCGTATCCTCGACTCTACCCATGTCTCCACATTCCATTCGACAGTCTCTCATTTGTATTTTCTTCCAGCCGTCTGTCTCTAGTCATCGCATTTTCTGACCTCGAGGAAAGTCAGGTTTTGGCCCTGATTAAGCCATCTCACGTGCCTGAGTAGGGGAACCAAAGGAGAGGGTCTCACCATCAAGTTCGACATTCTGCAATATCGCTCACGCGTTATGGACGCGTGCGACGGTCCCGAGGATGTTTTACTCCCACGAGAGTAAGTCGCGTCTTTGACTGTGCCAAATGCTGCCCAGTGCGTCACTAAAGCCCGCCTTCAGTTCTCGCGAGCCCTCAGTATGGCGTCGCGACGGTCTGGTAAGCTCTCACGTACCCTACCATCGTCATCATCAGCAACTGACATCAAGACCACAGGCTGGTTGCCAATCTCGGCGTCTATACCACCAACCGCAAACTCAACCGCAAGGCCATAGAGAGTGTCAACGTCCCCCAAGCATGCGACACCATCGAAAAGCCGCCCGGCGCGCCCATCGCCTTGCGGCTGCAGGGGAGCCTCCTTTATGGCGTGTCTGGAGTGTACCTCAAGAAGCACAACTACCTCCTGGAAGATGCTGAGAAGGTATGGACTCACATGCGTGCCTTCTATCGTTCTCTCCAGCAGTCCACCTCGAATGGGATAGACCTCAAGGCGGGAAAGGCCAAGTGAGTGACGACAGACAGAGACGGCTGGGACAGGAACCGCACCTCCTTGCTTGCTTGCTCGCTAACATCAGACAGGCGATCTCAGTTGATTCTTGTTGACGACCCCAACTTCGTTCCGAGTTTCGACCTGCCTCCCCTTGACTTTGACGAGAACGGCGACTTGCTCTTTCCGGGATTGGACTTCAGCCAGCGTACCAAACTCTCCTCGCAGCTTTCTCCGATCGATCGAGGCAGCGGTTCTGTTGTGTCTCCGGCCGCCGCCCCTTTCATCAACCTCAACATTCGCCACTCATCAAGCCAGGAAAGCTTAGGTGTTCCTTCACCTTTCGGTGGCAGACAGCAAAAGCCAAACGACCTCGATATCGAAATGGCGTTCGGAGAGGAAGAGGTGCTGCCGTTTGCAGACTTTGGTCTCACCATCGATGCGGATGGAAATCTTGTCGAGCAGCCCGAGCCGGAGCTGCCTCTCCATCCACAATCTGGAGCAGTCCTGGGCGGCGAAGCTGAGCAGAAAGATGGTAGCGCACTTGCGCTTCTTGAAGACGAAGCCATGTTCATTCCCGGCGATGAAGATCAGATTATCCTTGGTGACGACCCCTTTGCCGAAGAGGCAGTTGTCCCAGCTCAACAAAATGCACAAAATGCTCAACAAGACGAAGTGCCCCTTCCTTCTGAGGAACTAATCAGCTCTGACGAGCCCCAACCTCCTCAGCAGCGAAAAACGCGCACAATCAAGCGCCTCGGCCCCGATGTTGCGACCCATGTCGGCCGAGAAGAATTCAAGAGTTGGTCAGAGAACTATGTCGCTCGTGTGGAGGAGGCTCGCAACGTTCATCACCAGGTCACAGCAGCTCAGGCAAAGAAGAACGCGTACAATTTCACATTTGGTATGGGTGTAATGGGCGTGGGCGTCCTTAACAATATTCCTGAGCTGAATCACCCGCTCGCACAGTTCTTTGCAGGTGACGAGCTCAAGGCCATTGTCATGGGTGACGTCGAGGTGCAAATCGAGGAGGAAGATGAAGAACAGGCTCGATCGCGTCGTCGTCGATCTGCCTCAAACGCCTTCGAGGAGGAAGAGAATGTGTTCAATGAGCGCCGAGTCCGCGCACGCCTAGATGAAGGTGAAGTCGAAGAGCAGGATCCTCAGCTTGGCCGCAATGAGCAGGAGCAAGATGGTCAAACCATCGATGACCCGATGATGATATTTGGCGATGACCTGCCTGAGATAGGCCGTGAGCACCACGGATCCGCCATGTCTGACCACCGCCGCTCATCCAACGCGCCCTGGAACCGCCCTTCTTCAGTCATTCCTTCCTCGACCCGAAGCCAGAAGGGCCGTGAGGCAGGCATAATCGCCGTTGAGGGCAGCCCACTTGTCGGCCGAGGCAGCATTCTCCCCAACGACCCCAGGCTCAATGATGGTAATATGCCGTCTTTCGGCTACGATGGCCTGAATCCTCATCTCAATGACGGCGCAAACGAACTCAGCTCCCTCAGTGAATTCGGCGCAGCTGCCGGCGTCAGTACGCAAGAGGCCAACACGAGCCAGTTCATGCGGAACGCTCTCGACCGCGAGGGTCGCAACTTTCTCAACTTCGTGGAGCGTGTTGCTGGCGAGCGTGGCGATCGGGATGAGATGGAAGAGAACGGCCGCTGGGTTGAGTTTGACAGCCTCTTCGAGGAGCAAGACAAGACGAAGGCGGTTGTTGCGCAGGCTTTCCTGCACATCTTGACGCTTGCAACCAAGGGCCAGATCAAGGTGAAGCAAGAGGGCATCAAGGAGAAGATTGCCTACGGTGAGATCCGCGTTGGAGTCACTGATCCGTCCGTGGAGCAGCCAAAGGACGCACCCGAGGAGATGGTGGGTGTGGAGGTCGAGGGATGATTTGTTGCAGCGTCATGACGATCGCGGATTGACATTCCACAAGTCTACATGTTCACTGGAAGGTGACCAGTCCATGGTCCGACAAGCACTCTTCGAATACCCTTTCGGTTGATATGAAAGAGACGCACACGGGTTCTGTATTCGGATCCCAGTATCAATATGCTTTCCCAAGTGGAGGGGCACGATAGCCACGGACCTGTCGACGGCGATAGGCTCGGGTTAAGGCTTTGGTATTTACGGGTGTGCTTGTAAAAGTATTTCGTTGCATTTTTTGGCACCGTTCGGGCTGGATTGACACTCAATATTTGGATGGACAGGCGTCAGCAGGGGATTTGAAGTCATTCTTGCCTTGGACCGGCACGTCAGGAAGAGTAATTGGGTCCTCCTCAAGACTCTCCCCACGATTTGGTGATGCACGCCTATCTCGTCTACTGAGAAATATTGGGCAAAGAGTAGTGGATGGCATACCGCTTTGGGAGTCCGGCTTCTAGGTACTGAATCAAATCAGCACCGTGATTAGTGTGAAGTAATGGCAACAAAGGATCGCAGTTAAAGCAAGATAAGAAAGAAAAAAAAGACAGGGCAAAAGTCAAGGATGAATCAACATGGCTTCTCATTACAACGCGTATCTTCATGCCGTCGTGGACTACCACTATCAAAACAAGACGAGAATGCTTAATGCTTCTGGCATCATTCGTAGTCGTCGTCGTCGCCAGCTCCCTCTCTATCTGCAAATTTCAAATACTCCGCCAGAGCCTCCTCTGACACTTCGCCTCCCATGGCTTTTATCCAAGCCTGGTGGACGGGCTCCAACCTGGAGTCTTCTAGTGTGAGAGAGACGGGCGACGGCGGGAAATCGACGATGCTCTGCTCTCCTGATAGAGAGTTGCTAGTGCTTGATTGTTGCTCGTAGTATAGCTCATATAGCACTTGCGGCTGAGAAGAGCCCTCAGGGCTGAGGGCAGCGAGCAGTGAGTCTACACTGACGTCCAGTAGAGATTTGGACTCTGGAGTGTGCATTGTACTGAGATAGAGGATGCCTTTTGTTTCGCCAATGTTAGCAAACTCGATCACTTCAAGCGAGTTGATAATATTGAATGTGGGTGTGGTCATCAGAAGTAAGAGTTTCTTAACTTCATAGCTGTTGCTCAGGCAATGTAGATAAGGATTGTATAATTTTCATCATGAAGGTAAGGAGTGGAGATGTGCGAGGTCACTTACTTTGTCCAGCTGGGCATTCGCCCGTGTCACTCGAATGCGCAATGGCGTAAATCGGATACGTCGACTCGACCCCATCACTGGTCTTCACCGATCCGGGCGCCAGAGCAATGACTGCTACTGCAGGTGTCGGAGCTCCTTCCATTGTTGCCTCGAATAGTGAAGTAAGGGGCGAGCCGATGATGGCAACCAGCTTGCTGACCTTGGTACTATCGCCAGCAGGAACATCTTGAGGCCCCCGAAAGAGCATCTTTGTCTTGACGACCGTGCCCTCCGAGAGCTCTAGCTCAACTTCTTCTGCGCCAACGGCCGTGAGCTCCTTGATGCCTGTGCCAAGCATGTACACACTGCCACCCACTGCACCAGCCCGGCACCCCACCTGCGCGATCTCAGACCCTCCACCCCACTTGGGGTAGACGGCAGCAAAGCCAGGCCCAAACAGACCCATTGACGTCAGGTGCCGGTGTATCGTCGCCAACCCGTCCTTGGTACTGATGCGCCCATCGAGCGACAGCGTCAGGGTTGTGATATATGTTCGCAAGCCCTCATCCAAGCCCATCTTCTCCGACAAGAGTTCAGCCAGTGGCCTATCGGCATAGTCCTGCCATTGTGGGAGCGACGCCTCCTCTTCGTATGACAAGACGAGCTTCAGAAACTTCATGAGCTGTCGCTTCACCCGAGCGGAGAGGTCTGTGGAAGAGAACACATCCTCGCGCGTGGACGGTATCCGTGCTAGCGTCGGCGTTCCGTCCGGCTCGGAGGATGGCTTGAATATGAAGAAGGACCCGACTGCCAGAAACTCCAGTTGACGGTAGCATCGGGAGGAGACCAGTTGGGAGAGGAGTTTGGAGTTGGCATGAACGATCTGGGGTGCAAGGGAGAGAGCGTAGGCGCGCGGGAAGGAGAGTTTGACGCCCGAGTCGGGGACTTGCTCTGGCCTTGTTACGGCGGCAGAGGTGAAGACCGAGGACGAAGGTGCTCTGGCAATCTCTGAGGCCCAAGCATCGGCTTCCTGGAGGCTGAATGCCGCTTCTGGTCCCCCATAGTACTCATTGGGGTCTATGTGGAGGATCTTCTTGTCTGATCGGGAGAGGGCTCTTCATGGGGTTGAAGAACTAGGTTAGTTAGATGGGCTTCCTGGTGTTTTTGCAGGACGATGGATGTGATAGGGAACGGCTCACAATGCCAGGAGCGACTGCTGCAGGCCTGTGCCGCAGATGATCACATCCCAGGTCGTCTCACTCAGCGACTCCATGATGGCTGCGGTACAGTCACGGTGATGGTTGAGGAGGAAAATTGCGGGAATGAAGCTGTCGTTGAAAAAGCGCGAACAAATTCAGCTCCAGGCAGCGGGGATCCGAGCTCTGCCGGAGCGCCTAATTTTCCGCGGCAGGCGCCCCACCACTGGGCGATCTACCTTATCATTTCATGGGTGTGAATTCTGGCGCTGCGTCTCTCCTCTCTTCTCTTTTTTCGACATCCGCCCAGCGAGGTACAGTTGCCTACTATTGCGATAGACAGCATTTTGTCCTTAAAAGTTTCCTTTCACTAGGCAGCTTCATGCTGGGCGGTAGACCGAAAATCCACCTGTATCTACTGCTCTTGATTCTCAACGTGACAGAGCGGTTCGAAAGGTTCGCGAGACATTCAATTCATTTTCCATTCGTACATTATCATCCAACTGCACAACTCTCCTCAGGACTAGGCCTTGATCATAAGCCAAACCTCGTCTGCAAATATTCTTAACTCATTTGTCTTCATATCTGTGTGCCTGAATTAGAGTGACTGTCGTCCTGGAATTGGACGCGGTGATTGCCGTCAAGGTCTGGTGTGTTTTCCTTGCCCACCACAACAAGGTCACCATCACCTGGCGTAGGTGCAACACTTGCCAAAGGCCCCCCCACATGTCCTATCGCGGAATCATGGATAGAAAGATGAATGGCCTCGGCGGAAGATCCGTCTTGAGTGCGGCCTTGATTTGCCTACCCGCAGCTTTCATCTTGCAGCGCCATCTCTTCCCAACGAAGACAAGCAAAATCATCGAGTCACCCAAGCAAACGGCCCTCTCCTCCCTCTCATCAAAGGAGCTCTCATCCCTACCCTACCCTCCCGATGCCCTCCCAGGAAGTCGTGACGTGCCGACTCCTTACGGCAATGTTCATGTCTTCGAATTCGGTCCGTCGACCGGCGAGAGAGTCCTGTTCCTCCATGGCTTGTCGACGCCATGTGTTTCAGCTTCCAACACCGCGGTCGCTCTCGCTGCCAAAGGCTATCGAGTGATGCTCTTTGACCTCTTCGGCCGTGGTTGGTCGGACACGCCAGACCCTGAGGAGTTCGATTACGACGAGAGACTCTTCGCTAGCCAGATCATGATGGTTCTGGCGAGCTCAGAGGTCAGCTGGACGGGCTCGGCTTTGGCAGGAGGAAATGGTGGTTTCCACATCATCGGTTACTCTCTTGGTGGAGGCCTGGCTGTAAACTTTGCAAGCTGGTTTCCGCACCTGGCCCGGTCACTGGTCTTGGTCGCCCCGTCTGGACTGCTCAAGCGGAGCGATATCAGCTGGCGCACGCGACTGCTCTACTCGAGGTCCTGGCTGGCGGAAAAGCTGCTTCACTACTTCTATAGGCGCCGACTCGAGCCCAAGTATATCGCCATAGAGGAGGGCAGTGATAGTGACATTAAGAAGACTGGTGACCCCTTTGACGACGCGGTCATATTGCTAGCCCGGCCCGACATCACGGCGGCATCGATCATGTCATGGCATCTGCTTCACCATGAGGGCTTCGTATCGGCCATCATAAGCACTTTACGTTACGCTCCTATTTACGAGCGGTATGAGGAATGGAGCAGGTTGGGCTCGATGCTATCTGCAAGAAGGAAGGATCTTCGTCTACCAGGTCTGATCGGTGGGAAGGTGCTGCTAGTCTTCGGTTCCTCGGATGAGATCACGCGGAAAGAAAAGATCTTGCCAGATGCGGAAGACATTCTTAGTAGTGATGCTTTGCGGGTAGAAGTACTTGACGCTGGACATGAGGTTGGCATCACCAAAGGTGCTGAAGTGGCGGAGGTTGCAAACAAGTTCTGGATAGAGTCTGTGCAGCACAAAGCTAGCACATAAATATAAGACAACAGCATCAAACCTTAAAACCAAGCAGCAAGTGGGAAGTAGCTCAACTGACAGAGAGACGTATCCTGGGGACTGTGTACTTGAAAGTCTTTAGAGGATGCCCAGGACACAGGAACTAGTGACGGAGGTTCTATGTTCGATCCATAGCTTCCCTAGTTGCATGTGGTCTTCTTCTTTTGGCCTTGTGATTATATCTCTTGATCCTCGAATCACTAGCCCGCACTTGTTCTCCAACAGACTATCCGGGTGCTCCCTACGTCTTTGGAGCTTCCCTCTTGTCTCAGTCCAGTCAATCTATTTGCTTTGGTTCAAATCAATCATGCTCAATCATGCTAGCATCCCACATTCGAGGTCATTCCACAGCATATGATCCCGATGACTGGTCATTAAGTGCCAGCAACCTCCCCTTCGTATGGTTTTCTGCCGTATACGATGTACCTGTTATGGAATCTAGTTAGTTCCAGTATTGAGGTAAATCTCTTCCATTTCACATTGGTCTGTCTGTTATGTCCACTTACATCGGCATGTACCAGCGGATCTCCGGATTTTGGACGTCCTGCTTGACCTGCTCAGTCAGCTCATCCATCTCAGGGGGAGACAACTCCCTGGCGGCACCTAGAAGTTTCTTGAAGCTGTCGATGGCGCCCATTAAAAATGTGTTCGCCAGGTAGGCGCCCATTAGTTTCGCCTTGCTTTCATCAGACCAGGGCCCACCGGGAACGCGAATCACTTGCTCGTGGACGTCGACGAAACCGGTCTCCGCAAGCTGCTGCTTGTACAGTCGCGCTTTGGTCAGATCGCGGCCTGCGTTTGCTGCGCCAGCAGCTACCATCTGACACCACCGCCCGATCGCGGTACCCTCGAGGGCATCGTCGTTGGGCACGCCGTGCAGATGGAAGCAGCCCTCCTGGAACTCGATCCAGCCTCCGGCTGTCAGGGCGTCGAAGGACCTTCGCATCACTGTTGTGACATCGTTGAAACATGCTGTCATGCCTCGCAGGTGGACGTAGTCGAGCTTATGGGGTAATAACCCTAATCTCTACGGGATCAGCCATTCGCCCTGGCTGCACACCTTGATTGAGGAAGAGTCTTGTCCAGAAAGCTGACGTACAGTCCTGCAGCTCAGAGTTCTCCATCACGAATTGACAATTTGGCATCCAGGACAACGGCTGGATCAAGCTGAGATCTGTCCCAGTGACTTGACATGTTGGGTTTTCCTCAGCTATGGAGAGAAAGCTTTTCAGCTGGACTGATCGCATACTCACTCAATTACAAACCGGTATCGAAGAAGCATACCAAATTGTAGCGCCCAGATACCCGTTCCTGTCCCGACTGTAAGAACTCAAAGTCAGCAAATCATCTGCAACAGTCACAATAGTAGGGATGACAACTCACTGTCAAGTGCGTGCTCAGGTTCCCGTATTGGAGCTGCGGCAAGCTTGTCATCAAGCATAAGCCGATACAGGGCGTGAGAAAAGTCTGAGTGCAATATCAGCTCGCCAAGTACAATGAATTGGACTGTGAAATGTGTTCCTAGGTTGCAGCCTACCAAGTCGATGTTGCTCCGCCTTTGGGCTTCCACATCAGTCTTGTGTCGAGCCTCTCGGTGCAAGTAAATAAAAGGGATACGTACACGATCATTCGGAAGCATGTATTCTGCAGCATTGTTAGATGCAGCTATGCAAGTATACAATACATAGACTACGCTTCAGTCTCCTCACCGCCAGGCTGGTAGCCTTGATATGTTCGGCCATCCTCTCCAACACAGGAGTACATATCGACAATCGTGCCGTCTCCGCTTCTGCCAGTACACATTAGACAGGCTGTGGAGCCAGCGGAAGCATATCCACATACATTGTCTCGGTTTCCGTACGATCATCTGATAGGGCTTTAGAGTCGCCTTGGGAAGGGACTCGCGGTGAACCGCCTGCGCTCGTTTGGTCACCCGCGGAATGGGGTGATCTTGAGGATGCTGGACTGTGTTGCTGAGACATCGTGAACCGTCTCCTGTGCTAAAAACCTACACAAGCCTTTCCCTTTCTCTCTCCCCAGCTCTTCTGAGGGCGAGAACAAGAGTCTTAGAGCAACTTGCAGCTTGAGGACCATGCCACGTCATTAGGCGAGCAGTCTAGCTCGGTTGGTGTTGCCGGAAACGGAAACACGGCCCAACCAACTGCAGAAATCCTGCCAGCATTCCAGTGTCCTGTGCGCACAGGGCTGCTTGTTTACAAACGTGGTGTGATCGACAAGACTATCTCTGAAGCCAGCGCTCTTTGTGGGCAGGATTTCGGGAGGAAGCCGCACACTCACCTCCAACTGCGCGTGTGTTTTTTGGACATCACACTATCACAATTTATTTCTTTTCGTAGTCTGGTGAGGTCAACCAAAAAGACTACACGATGGGAGGCGTTCCATCCAAGCCCGGTGGGCCCTCGAGGCCGCTCGAGGTCATTGGAGCTGGATTCTCACGAACAGGAACGATGTCGATGCAACTCGCCTTAGAGGAACTCCTCAATGGCCCCGTTAGTAAGACTCTTCAAATCATTCCTGTCATACTGCCCTTCTCTCTGAGAGATCAGAACAACACTAACTCATTCCATTGTCCTACATGATCTAAACACTGCTGACTGTCTCTGATTTAAGTGCATGGCGCTACTCACATATTGTTCCGCGAAGACGGTGAGCTGAACCCTTTATCGTCATCCTTGAAAGAAGTCTCACCATTCCCCACAGGGAACTTGCCCATAGCATACAGACAGAGCTGACGTGCCCTGCCTGGACCGCAGCCTTCGGGAGGAACTGGACTCGAGTCTACGAGGCGCGAGAGGCCGGAGATAAACCTAGGACGCTAAAGCTGCTGCGCGAGCTGGTCGGCGGGTTCGCGGGCATCACAGATCTTCCCGGCATCGACTTCGTCCCGGAGCTGCTCGAGCTGTACCCGGACGCCAAGGTGGTGCTCGTCACGCGCGACCCGGAAAGGTGGTGGGAGAGCTTCGGCAAAGTGCTGAACATGGCTCAGCTGCGCTTCCTATCCATACTGGCAGCGCCGATGCCTGGGCTGCGATGGTTTCCCGGCACCGTGATGCACTGGCACAAGGGTGCTTCGAAGCTCATGGAGGAGAAGAAGGGCCGCGGGACACCTCTTGGACCAGGTGAGTTGGTTTGATCTGGAAGTAGTGCGTGTCACACAGTCTGAACTGGTATGGCTCGGCTGACACCTGCCCTCAGAGCTCATAGAGCTGCACAATGATATGGTCAAGTCGGTTGTGCCACCTAAGCAACTGCTGGTGATGGACATGGGGGAAGGCTGGGAGCCACTCAGTCGGTTCCTGGGCAAGAAGACCCCCGAGAAGCCGTTCCCTCGCGTCAACGACGCCGAGGCTGCTGAGTCGGTCGCCAACGGCATAATGGCGAAGTGTCTACTCGCGTGGGCAGGAATATTCACAGCTGGAGGTATAAGTGTCTACGCTGCAAGGTGTTTGATAAAACGGTAGTTGAGAAAAAATGGCAAGGGCAAGGAAGGAGGCTCACGTACCACGAAAAGCCTGCGCTGTAGTTTTTGAATAGATACAAACATCCCTTCAATTGGGTATCATTATCAAGGAATCATCATAAGTGGTCATCTCTTGTCCCTGAGACTTTCCTTGGTCATCCTGATCCACCTCCGGATCCAAGAGCTATGCAATGTGAAGCCTTCCTCTACTCCTCTACTCCTTCTCTAGCGTACCTTTAAGCTAGCGCCTTTTGGATGTCCTCCCATCTACTCTCTGCCATCACAGCAATCTCACGTATTTCTTTGGGCCCCAGCACCCTTCCACCACTCTTCGATATCCCTCGTATCCTCGTCTCACCACTTGTGCGATCTACCACAACAGTAATGCTCTCCTCACACAAGCTCTCCTCCAGACGGTCTGGATCTACCAACACAAAAGACTTGCTCTGGCCAGCGACCTCCGTCTCCCTCTCATTAAGCACGCCAGCCGTGCATGCAACTGGCAGCCCGCGAACGCTCAGGGGCCTGGTCTCTGACCGCGAGCAGAGCACCATCTCCCTGTCCGGGTCCCACCAAGCCCGCGGCAACTTCGTGTCCCTCAGAGCCGCGAGTATGGCGATCCAGGCCGCGTCAAAGGGGTTGCCGTCGAATGAAATGAACAGCACGTCGATGTACAGCGTCCAGTAAGCCTTGATCTCGGGCTCCTGCAGCTCTGTCTCCTCGCCGTCCACGCCCTCCATCTTGTCGTACTCGTCAGCGTCCAAGTTGGGCGGCGTATACCACACCCTCAGGTCCTCCGCGTCCAGCAGCTCCGAGCTGTGCAGCAGCGAGTACACGCGCGTGCTTAGGGTCTGTGCCAGCGTCGTGGGCGGCACGCCGGGGAGGAACTGCGGCGCGCAGCCTGTGGCCAGCTCGATGTTGGGCACGAGCAGGTCGTAGTCCCGCAGCTCCCGTGCGCCCTCCTCCTTGACCTCGGCCTCCTTGTCTTCCACCGTCTCCAGCTCTGCTTTGCTCTTGGGTTTCCGCCATTGTGGGATGCTTGTGGACGGTAGCAGCTCTCCCCGCACGCCGCAAATGACGCTTGTGTCTCCGATTCGCACCATGGCGCTGCCATGTGCGTGAGATAATGACGAAGCATTTATGTTGAGTGGTCGGGCTTGGTGCGGGTCGCGGCCGTTTGTTCGTGTTGGCTTGGCCGAGGCAGCATGGCTGGGTGGTTGGAGGTTTGCGAGGAGAAATGGGTGAGGGGAGAGTTTGGCGAAGGTCTGGGGCGTGAAGGTAGTCGACGAGGTCATCTTGAGTCAATTGAGACCTCGATGGCCTTGGGGATCAAGTCTTCGTGTGTGTGCTGCTGCTATTCGGGGTGAGGTCGTTGACGGGGCGCGGACTACGCGAGCCACACACCGTGGTTGGACTCTCAAGGGACGAATTTTCGTCCTCAGCCTTAGCGGGGCAGCCAACAGCCTGGCCAATGGTGAATTAGCGGGTATGCAGAGGCCTGAAGCTACCCCGCGGTGCCCTGACAGCTATCTGGGAGATCGATCGTCAGGGCTCCCTGGTGCAGCACTGCAAGTGACGTCTTCAACGGGCAGAGCCTCATGTTGCCTCTTAGCTTCCTTTAGATGCTCGATCTATCTTTTGTGCTGATGCTGAAGCACAACAGCCTCCCGCAGATCAACCTTTTGTGTACCAATCCTCTCACCTGAACAGCTGTGTTGACATCCTATGGAAGTTCATGGACTCTTTGAGAAAGTCGAGCTCTACCAGACAGACAGATGATCGCAGCCTGTGCCCCGCGCGCATCGTCGATAGCAGAATGGCCACCATACCTAGATATGACGTAGAGCTCCAGTCTTTTTATATTCGGTCCTGCAGCCCAACCCTACGTACTGGACAGCAGTGGCATAGATGATCCTCGATGACGGAAAGTTGGAGGGCAAGGCAGGCTGTTTGTCAAATTTTCAATAGCAATATGACGTAGATGGCCAGATGTCGGATGGGCGGCCAGCTATATCAATGAGCAGACTGGCGAAGAAATCGTAGGCTTTTACTTGCTCTCACCATCCATCAATACTTGAAGATACAGACTCTTTGCAGACAAATTCTTAGAAAACCTGACATACTACAATCTTCTTTTTTTTTTCAATTCAAATCTTGAAATCAACCAACACATCCACCATGACTGGCACTTCGTCTGTAGGCCCCATCAGCGTCAACGGCGCTGGTGACCAGCGCAACGTCAAGAACTCGGAGCTTGAGCATGGCGAGCGCTTCGAGGAGGGCAAGGTCAACTCTCACCAGACCGATGACCCCAGTAAGTCTCACTCCCTAGCTGATCTCATTTGAGAACACCGGTATGCTGACCCAGGCCATAGAGGACCAACGATCCATCGCCAACCGTTTGGCCGCCGAGGAGAAGAAAGAGCATGAGGGGGAAAGCGATGATAAGGAGACTGCGCTGTCCAAGAAGGACCCAACACTTCCAGTACGTTGAAACCACGGACACATTCTAGACCCAAAACACTTGACTCACATCGTTATGTTAGGCCAAGGCCCACGGCAATGAGCCTTCCAAGGGTGCCAAGATTGATGCAGAGCTTCGGGCTGAGGAGGAAGAGACTCTCAAGAACAAGAAGGCAGGAAAGACCGACAGTATGCCCGGCAAGAAGAACTAAGCTCAGTCAAAGTGCGTCGGCGTTGAAACTTTCGTGACCCAACCACGTCTGAAGGACAGCTGTGGAAACACTAGACGACACGGAGCATATTTGTGAATTAGGATTCTCCCGGTTGAGCAATGGCGTTTACAGGCATAGATTCGACATGAGCTGTGCGGAGATGAATTGATATTTTTTTTTTTTGAAATCATTGGAATAAAATCTACTAAAGTCCAAGTGAGAACTACTCGTGATGAACTGAATAAACGCGGAACGACAGGCAATAGCCTTGACCTGCTGAGCACCAAAACTCTAGGTCGACCGCAGCCCAGGCCAGTTGAATCTTGGTCGATCGCCATCGACAATCTATCGACAAGATCGTACGTGAATTTTCCAGACCAGGCTACACCATTCGCACAATCGGGACTACCTATTGGTTCCGACGTCAGCAAACAAATCTCATCCAAGCACATCGAGCTGAAACAAGAGAGTGACGATCAGGAAGCCGGTGGCGTGTTCAGAATATGTAAGAAATGACTATCACTTGACCGCAAGATATAGCACAGCAGGCGAGCTGGCCATCAGGCGGAATCAATCGCAAATTACTCTCATCATAAAGGTACAGTCGCCTGATCGTCGAGGAAAAGAATGAAGTAAAAGGGGAAATAGTCTTACCGATGCGCGCTTGATGCCAATATGATTGAAACCTCTGCCGCCCTGTCTCACTCTTCGCGCCCAGGCACGAGAGGCTGAGAACTAACTGATCAAGAGGCTTCCTTGTTGTTGTTGCCGTTGTGGTCGTTGTTGATGTTGGAGGAAGGGCGTTGAATTTCGCACAGCAGAGATTTTTGAACGCGCTCGCTTAAGGCCTTTTGCTTTTTTTGGGTCTCAGTGCGTGCACGGGCCACACGGGCTGGGACCAATAGGAGCGAGGGGAACCCTGACCGACCCGGCTCCACTCCGAGTCTCTCGACGTCCGGGTGTTTACCGCCTTTAGGAGGGCCAGGGAAGGCCTCGGCGCCGGCCTCTCGAGCCACTTTCATCGGCAGCCTGCTGAGTCGCTCGGCCCGCCCTTGGGGGTTTTTCAATTGCCTGCGGACCACCCGAATACGAACCCTTCACGTCCACCACCCGCCCAATTCCCGCGGCTTCGTCTGGAGGCCTGGAACTTGACCACGTCCAGTGGGTGGAGAGCGCAGATAAGAGGAGAGGGGACGGCAGCACGCAATCAGACGGCTTCCGAGGAAATCCGATGTTTTGTTGCTGCTGCTTGACGCTATGTCCTCTCACATCTGCCGATCCATTGCGTTCAGCTGATCGAAAGCTGACCGCGTGGGCTCCAGGATTATCAGATGGGGACCCGCAGGCCTTCGGTGATTGCAACATGGGTGAGCGATACGAGCGGGCATGGCAGCTTGGAGAGGAGGATCCTCGTTTCGGTTGGCCTGTGGGATTTTTCGGCAGCTGCTTAGGCTGGTCCGTGAGAGAACAGGCAGCAGGGCAGCAGGGGCATTTCCAGCTGAGGGTTGGTGGAAGAAGAAGGGACGATGAAGCGGTGGAAGGAGACACAATTAAGCCGGGGCAGCAAAGCCAAGTGATGTTGATGATGATGGGCCCAGCTAGCTGCATTGTCAGACCCAATAGTATGTGCCTCGTCGTGTGCACACCGGAAGCACGGCGCTGCCAGGACTCCCATTCCGGAACAACACTAAGCTCCTTCAAACATCGTGGGCCTTCACTATCATCATCCGACGGGTTCAAGATCTCCTCAAGCAATGTGAGCAAGGGCTAGTCTTTCCCAAGATGGCTGGGCTCTGGTCAGTGTAGCATGGCATGGCGAAAAAACGTGAGCTCATGGGTACCAATAAAGGCGATGATTCGCCAGTGGGTGCTGCGCGGTATCTGGCGCGATACTACCTGATCCTCCTGGGCTGCTTGACGCTTGCGCAGATGGGAGTCTGGCCTGGGGGGTAAATTAGTGAGTCACTGGCCATTTGGCATCGTCCCAGGCCGCCGCCGTTGAGAGCGCCTGCAACTTGCGGTGTGTAAACGGTAAACGGTGAGATATAGTGGCCTGCCGCCCCTCTCCATCTTTTTGACCCCCGGCTGCATGCCCAACTCCCGGACGCGCGCCAAGGGGGACAGATAGAAAGAACCCTTCCGGAACCGACCAGGGACGGGAGCCAGCAGCCAACAACAGCAGCCTGCCTACCGGCGTGGCGCCGGGGAAGGGGAGAGGGGGTTGGGAGGCAACGCGACTAGTGCCCAAGATCGGTTTCTATCCATTGCTTATACGGGGGCGGCACGGCACAGAGCCGTTTCTTCCAGAAGCACGGGAGATGGTCAACGTCAAAGCCCCATGCCGAACCAGGAGAGCCCTGGCGAGGCGGATCGAGCCGCAAGTCACCTGTCAAAAAAAGGTTGACAGAGTCATGTGTAACCAGGCCAACACAACAGAGTCCCATTTTGGCCAGAAGAAGCAAGCTACAAGAAATCCCCATGTGCCGTGTCTGAGGCTCCTCGATAGGGCTGGGGCGCCCTTGAGTCCCCAAAGGGCAGACAGAGGGTGGCAAAATATATCCTGGGTGGTAAACTTCCTCCGGGCTCGGTCGAACCCCTTGCTTGCTAACTGCCTTGAGCCTGTTGCACAGCATACGTAAGGTTGCTTGTGTGGCTTTTATTACCCGGTTGGTGGATTGTGTTCATGTGCTCGATCTTGGCTCTCGTTGATTCCGGACCTGTGTGGACTGAGAATGCCCAGAGCGGCCGTTGAAGCGCTCGTAGAGTGAAGAAAGGTCTGTAGCTCGACGAGCTGCGATGTGTCTGTGCGCCTGTCAACAAGCGGCATATCGGCAGCGCGATGAAAAACCAAGAAGTGAGTGGAAAGAGAAAATTTGCATTCAATCTAGAGGACCATTACCGTACTCGTGCCCCTGCCAACCCGTCGAAATATTCGTCAAGACGCCTGTTACATATGTTTTTGGATCTCCCTTCCCAGCCTTGCCCCGATACAGAAATTAGTGAAATCGTTAAAGAGAATAGTAAAATGTCTTCTACTTTTGCGCCCCGTGAGGGGTCAGTAGGAAATCTCATGACGATCTGGAAACCTCATGATGTTGTGTGTTACCCAAACCTGGACTGTCAACTCTTGCCGTGAAGCTCCACCTCTGTAAGTGTAACAAGCGCAACTGCCACCCGACGGCAGCGACCTTTTTTGTTGACGTTGAAAGACACAACGCGCAAAAATAGAGAAACATAAAAAAAAAGAGAGATTTTCAATGCCGAGGCGGACGGTTGACTCAGAGCCTTTCCGTCTCGAGTCCGTTGCTCGCCCTCAACAAACTCAGCAGCACGGCGTGCCACAGTTTCCACATGCACGACCGGGGATCACCCAAACCTCCTTCCCATTGGCAGCACAGGTGGGACAGCGCACGCCCGGGAGCTATAAGTGAGAATGGTCAGATGATTCCTGGTCTCTGGCATGAGCTAAGCTGAGTTGTGGTGGTGGTACTTACCGGCATGGACCGAATGGGCAAGCCGGGATGTGATGGTGCGGTCGGCATAGGAAGAGGCCCCAGAGGTAAAGGCGCGATGGCAGTGGTGCCGAGGTCGCGGGGAATTGTTGGCCGAACCATGTTGACAAGGCTGTGTAGTGGGCTTGAATGTTGCTTTCTAACTGTAGACGCCACTGGCGGCGTAGGTTGGAGGTCTGTATAGGTAGAGCAATAGGTGATGTTGCTATTGTCAATGAAGGTGATGAAGTGATTCTGAGGATAGATATGTTGGAGACGTGGAATTTATACAGTCAAGGGAGGGGAGAGGTAGGAGTGGAAAAGAGGCGGTGGAGGAAACGGGAGTTATATATACATCCAAGATCTTGGAGTGGTTGTCCTGTCATGAACATCCCTAAGCTTACAATATTTGCAGGGACCAGGCCTGAAGGCGAAGGGGTAGTAGAGGGAGAAGAAAAAGGAAAGATCAGATACATGGTTGTTGTGTCCGTGACGGGAGAGCAAGACGGGAAACGGACGTTTCCCTGCCCGCCTGCATGATGGGCAGATGTGTAGCCAGCCCGGGGCAGGCCCATGCGGTCTGAGCAAGTGATGATGGGAGATTTGGCCTCGGATCGTCGTTAGGATACAAGCACCCAGCGCACAATCACCACACTGGTGGGCTCCTGCAGCTGGCGTGAAAGCCTATGGTGACGGTGTGTGCGTGTCAACGGGCCACTTGGTCCAAGGGGAGTGACTGCCGGGGCGCGGCGAGGCGTATACCCAGAACATAAGGTTTGGACTACCGCCCAGGTACGACGGTACCGTAGGGAGGGAGGTGATGGGAGCCACGAAGAGGACGAAGAGTGATGTAAAGTACAGTAGCAGCCGGATGCTGAGCTTTGGAGCCGCCGTATGGGGGTTTCACGGCGGAGGAGAAGCTTGAACTTCTTCTTTCGAGGTCAGCAGCGTTGCATTGAGAGATTTAGTGGATCTGCAAAGCGAGATATCGATTCCACCCTCGATCCCACGAGGTATCCCCCAGGTAGTAGCATGGTGTCAAACCCCCGGTATGGGGCTTCTGTGTCACCCGTGCAGCCGTGCTGGTACACCCTGAGGACTTGTGCCTCTGGCTGTGGCTGAAGATCGAGCTAGAGGCGAGGAACAGGGGGGCCGTTCCAACACACCTGGGCAGACTACAAGCTCGTACTGTATGTACTGTAGTAGTCTACTTGTAGTCCCCATGTGGAGTCAGCTCACCTGCGTTAGTTTTTGGAGCGCGCCCATGAAACTACCAGCACTCGGATATGAGAGATGTGATAGAGCCAGAGCGGTGGTTGTACCGGTACAGTATGAGTGGCCAGCGACCTGCCTCTCTCGACTGATTTCGCCAGAGGAACAGATGAGATCAGATCAGATCGGAGCGGACCAGACCAGATCAGGCCAGGTCAGACTAGGCCTGGGCTGGCTGGTTGGCCAGACGAGTACCAAAGGCCTAGGCGTGCCTGTCACTGTCACGGCCTGTCACGG